ATGATTGATGAATGAATATATATGATAATATTATTTATATGACTTTGTGATGACAATCATTCATTTTGAAAGGTAATTTTGGTATTTCTTGCAGCTTCACTGCACCTTATACCATACTAAACATTCTCCTTTGTCAGTGAATTTTATCTCTTTTCTCACCTCACTTTTTTTCTTAATCAGTTTCATAGCAATGATAATGTTGCAAAAAACATTTTACTAAAATTATTTTCCAATTGATAAGAATCTTTTTTTGCAGTATTTTAGAAATTATATATTGGTCACTATTTTTTGTTTTATATAAAAATTGAATTTTGAAAATTGTCGATGAAAATATCTCTCTAAGATTTATTTATATATTCTACAAAATTTATGTATCCACTAAATATTATTTTTGTGAAATTTACTTTGGTAAAATTTTAGTGAATTATTCTCATTTGTTTACTTTTTACGTGGTACCGTAAAGAGATATGCAGTTATTTACAAGAAAATTGATAATAAATACCTTTCCTCAATAATTTTAATTTATTTAAATTTAGGGAGTTTTTAAAAAATTTTAAAGAATTTTCACCTTGATTCACTTAAGTTCGACCGTTCAGTGACTAACAAATACTTTAAATTTGTCAGTTTTTTTTGATATACGTGCTTCCTATTTCCTCTAATCTGCACTGAACGATCGAACTTAAGTGAATCAAGGTGCACAAATGATGAAAATTAGGATCATAACAAAAGGTTTTATCAGTCAATCGATTGTGAAAAATTAATATTTGACTTTTTCTAGAAAAAGTTTCTATTTTTTACCATACAAAATAATATCATTTGTTGTTAAAGCACAGAATCAGTAATGATAGGATATATTTTATGAGAAATCTTGCAAATTTCTATGTTATTGGAGACGGAAAAATTTTATTATTATTAAATTATTAAATTATGCAATCATTATAAAATGTTCGGTATCTTTTTTCTCTAGTTCATTCAAAATTTTCTAATTTTTTATAATGCTATTTCAACTGGAATTTTTTTTATAAAGGGCGAAGGGCGTTTTGTTCGGAGAATTTTAATCATATCAGCTGAGGCGGTTTACTAATTTTTACTAATTTCATTGGCGATCAATTTGAAAAATTGTTAGAACTTGGAAAAATTTTAATTCGAAATGATAATCTGAGAAAAAATTAGTTTCCATTGTTTTAGTTTTATATTGAAGAAAGGTAACGAAAAGAAGCAAAATTTTCAGGATGAATACTCGTCCTATAGGCGTTCTTGTGTTTCCGACCCGATTATCGGAGAAAATTCGTTCGAACGAAACTCTCATACATTATCGAATCCCACCAAGAGAATTTGATTTTAACTATTCATCGAATAACCAATCACGTAACCAAACATGCAAAAATGTAAAAGGTTATTTTTCACTTCCTTTCTAGAATCGTAGTCGTCTAAAACTGAGTATGTCTCGCGACTCACTAAATTAGCAGTGCAAGTAATTAATCAGTTAATGTAAAAGAGCTGATTTCTTTCGTCTGAATTTCGCAAAAAATTAACGCCAAGTTCGACAATGAAAAATTGGTTGAAACTTTTGAATGCGTTTATATCGTTCTACAGCTTGATAATTAAGTTGGGTGATTTGCATGGAATGTAATAACCGTCCGTCGAATGTAACCGCCGAATCACTGCAATTCTCTCTATTTTTCTAGTTAGGATCCTTGGGCGAGGCCCTCTGAAATCTCATCTGTCTAACCTCAATCTCTCAGGCCTATGGTGAAGGATCTAAGGTTGAGGAATATCCCATACCACCCAAAGTGATTGATTGAGAGGAGGATTCATATATATATATATATATATATATATATAAATTTGGCCTATGTGCCAAATTTTTCAAACTCAAAATATTTGCACATTAAGAGAATTAAGACCTTTCGAACAATTTTTGATAGAAATTCCAAGCCACAGTTTAACGATCATTTCTTTTTTGTAGAAAAAAGAAATATTCCAAGAAAGAATATTATTGGAAAATCCGAAATAAATCAAATGAAGGAGATTGAAGTTCTTAACGATCTAGATAATGCACTTGTAGAAGAAGAACGAATGACAACCAGCGAAATCTCAAAAACCTACGTAAGGAAGCAATAATGAATTTTTTTCAATAGGAAAATGGAAAATTTTGGTTCAGCCTAATATTTATATTTCTGGCCATTCCATTTTTTTCATGTTGTTACTCTTTGTTTTTTATTTATCATAAAATGATCAAAAATTTCATCGCTCAGGATATGAAGTCATCATATCTGCGCTTTGCTCCAGATGTTTCCACATATCGTTCACAGTTCAGAGCTAATGACTTCCGAGGTTAACATAAATAAATAAATAAATGAATTGATAAAGCCATTAATCATAAAGCCATACTTTTACTAATAGATGAACTGTCACAATGATGAGCACTTCACAGATTTTTTGAATCTACAATATTTCTCAGCTGAGCAAAATTGAAAGACAAAGAAGGATATTTTTTTAAATTTTTTTTATATTTTTAAAGAATATTTTTTAAATATTTTTTATTTTGAGATATTTTTGTGAATAAATATTTTCTTTAAATTTTTAAACTTTCAATTGCATAAAATTATGAAATTCGAAAAATTATTCGAAAAATAGATAATTTGTATGCTTGATTTGATTCAATCTGATCATTAGGAAGCAGTAAAGAAAGGCTTAATTTTTTCAACAAACCAAGTGCTAAATATTTGGAGTGCGATGAAACCGCCGATGTATCCATTGTTCCAGCAAATAACACAGCAATGAGAAGCAAGTTAAATGCCTTTATCAACGCTTTTTTATATGAAATTCGCCACAAATCTTAACTGATAAAAAGTAAACAATGATAAAATTTTTAGAAAAATTTTTGTCATAGTCTTTTAAAACTGAGGGGATTACGTTATAACGCAAAATATTATAGAAATGAAGACATCGTCTGATGAAAATTTGTTGCAAATGTACAAAGACGATGAAAAGCGGATGCTTATTGATAGCGCATACCGAAAAGTTAGTTTACGAAAAAAAGACTGAAGCCTCGATTATAAAAAGTTTTAGACTAATGATAGTCCAGTTCATATTCATTTCTTAAGGTTGCTGATGAAATTCATCGAATTCGAACAGGCATAACGGCTGAATTATTTTTGGACAAAACCCCATCGTACTACACGGAGACTAATGCTAGAATTCCACAATGGAAGAGGTTTCTGGCTGCTCAAAAAATGGCTAGCAATGCTATCGAAGAACAGGAATCTTTGCTATTAGTTAAAACTTTTTCCTAAATTTTATATTTCTTCTTTCGATGGATTATTCGAAAAGAGTCTTTAATTAGGCGAGAATTATGATCAGTGATACGTGTATGCGGTAATTTGTGCATTCAGTTAAAATTACCCCCATCCACTTAATAATCTTAATTTTTCGTTTACAGATGCGCTTTAGTCAATGGAAACAAAACTGTTCGAAAGAATTTCTTATTTAAATATTCTATAATAAAATTATATTCTGTAATATAACTGATCTGCATATTGAATATAACCAAATTTAGACATGTTTAATGGTTTTGTTGTTGAAAAATGCAGTTAACGCTAAAATTATGGTTACATATTATTATTATGAAAACATTATTTGCTTATTTTTTTCTGCTTTATATTGCAAAATTATAAAAATTATACAATTTATGAATCTACAAATAATTGAAGTAAATAGAAGAAATGCAGAATATGGCTACAGACTAAGAGGCGATAATTTTAACCTTTTATTATTAATAAAAGGTTTATTATTATTATTATTTTATTATTATTATTATTTATTATTGTTATTATAACATTATCAGGTTTTTTTAGGCTGAATATTAATGAATTAAGTATAACTCGATTGGCTCGTTTTCATTTGGCATCTTGCATTGTCGTATCTTATCTTAGCTTGTGACCAATATTTGTTGCAACTGTGGATTCGTCGACATCGCGCTTTTTGTTTTCAGCCAAAACAATAAACAGCAAACAGTCTAAAATTTCTTCCAAATTTATATACCACAAGAAATAATCTTTACTGAAAATAAAAAATGGCCAACTGCTTGTAATATAGGACGTAACATAAAAATTGTCCCTTGCAAAAGCTAAGAGCTCGACCTGCCCTGAATTTCCCAACCTTCCGCACCAAAGTTCCTGCCAATTATCAACTTGAAAGCCTTTTAATTCCAATACATTTGTTTATTTACAAAATTTTGCCCAACCTAAGAGTGATTTCACTCGTAAGCACTCGCCATTTCAGATTAGGCTCGTTCCACTGCCATTAGAATAGGAATGCTTATTTAGAGGTAAAACTGTATGGGTTCCCGACATTACCCGGGTTCTAATGGATTTTGTCCCTCCCATGGGTAAAAGTTTAAGCATGAGGCCTAAAGTGCCAGTTCGCCACTTGGTCATACTATTTTTCAATATGTTTAACTCCAAGAATTTTTAATATTGTGCTGTAAATATTCTTATTCAAAAAATTCTCTTAAAGCGATTATTGGCTAGCATAGCTCATTTCCCAATGATTTCTTTTTGAGGTGAGAAAGGGCGAGAGGGCGGAGAAGGAGATGGGAGAGGAGGGGAGGTGGGGGGAGGGGGAAAACAGATGAGGGGGTTGGGGAGAGAGGAGAATTGGGAGGGATTTAACTATCTTCTTATTAAAATATTTTTATGGTAAGTACTATATTGTTTCTAACGAATAAGAATTTTTGTTTTCATCAAAAAATGGAATTATTTATTTGGTAAATATATAGAAAAGATGACAATTAAGGTAATTCATTTCACTCATTCATCTTATTTTCTGGGTAGAGGAATAACTTTTGACCTTAGTCTGACTTTTTTCTTTTTTTCAAGTCGTGTTATATTCAAGTCGTATTAATATTTTTCTCGATTATTAATTCTGTCTATATCTCCCCTAAAGATCTATTTTTTATTTTTCAGGTTTAAAACAACTTTCAATTTTTATTAGAGATGGGGAAGAAGCAACATCAGAAGGACAAATTGTAATTTTCATAATTTTTTTCTATATTTTGTTTTCATTGATTTTTGATTACAAATTATTTACCTTTCAGGTATTTAACTACGACTGAGTGGAAAGAAATCTATGGAGGACACAAAGATGGTTAATATGCTCTTTGCTTTGATTTTTAAGTAGGCAGATAATAAATTAATGTCTCAGTAAAAAATGAATTACGAACGATGTATATATAAACTCCGATTATTTGTAATAATGGGTAAATGAAAACTGAAAAAAATTAGTCGTTATCATTGTTGGATTGGATTAATATTAAAGTTTAAGGTTGTCGAAACAATAAATTGATTAGAAAAAATTGACCATTTTATCATTTTTTTACAAGTTCAGATATTGCTAAACGATTGCAAAAGGCGACATTCAAACGTTTACCCTTTACGCACTGCTCACTCTCATTTTTACCTTTTGAAGATCCGGTATGTTCGCAGGATGGAATCATTTTTGATTTATCGTATGTACTTTTCTTTTCTTTGATTTTGAAGGTAGTAGTACGACCTAGGTTATTACATAGTATATATAGGCTTTGAACTATAGGTGATATTCTCTTTTCGTATGGTTTATGTGGAGATAAGATAAAGGTAAATTATTGCTTATCAAAATGTATGGCAGTGGTCATCAAATTGACCGCTGCGAAAGCATCGAATGATGGAGGCGGCTCGTAATATGCAGGCAAATTTCGGGTGACAATGTTCTCAAAGAGCAGTGAGATTATGATTCATGAAATTGAAATTTGATTATATAGATCTCGGAGATGCCTCATGTTGCGGATGAATTGGTCTAATGCTATTGATGCTAATCCCAGGAGTTGTTCATATTCAGATCTTGGAGTTCCACTTGGTATCGTGTGAAATCGCATGCGTGCAATGGGGGCGAAGAAAAAGCTTGGTAAATAAATACTCCACGAATCATTGAGATAAATATACGTTTGGAGATGTATTGTTCGCTGTTAATACGACACAAGTTGAATCTCCTCGGTTCATGCCATAACCCGATCTTTATTACAAGAGGTCCATGCTTATTCTTAAGTGCTGCAGGGTTGATTAATTCTTAAAACCTAGTGCAGCGATTACAAGCTGAATCGTAAAATAAAGAACTGTAAATGCTCCTGGGGAAATTAAAAACAAGCAAGCAATGGTCAACGGCTGGTCAAAGATCCTATCATTCAGAATGAAAACACTAGACCACTTTAAAAATTTGCCGAGTTGAGTATCGAAGTTCCCCACATCTTGCACCAAGAACTTTCGTTCTTTAGGCAATTTTCTCGGAGAAAAATACTTTTGAAAAAAAATTTTAAATCACCTAACTCTGGTTCCAGAAGGTCGCTCGAATGAAATAAGTACACTTTTGCAAAAGTATGTTCATTGTAGTGATGTTCATTGTAAAATAATTTGTTACGAATCAAGCGACAAAAAATGGCTCGAATTCTTTTAATGATCTGATATGGTGCCGTGTGAAATTACATACAATGAGGATTATTCAAAAATGGAAAAATTTTAGAATATTTCAAAATTTTGAAGTATGAAAATGTTATACTGAGAGTTCATAGATTTTTATGGCATTATCTAGGAAATCCATAGAAAAAATGCTACTGATTTATGGTAATAGGTAACCACGCATTATTTTTCATATCCTATGGTAACTTTGGAATAGATAGTTAAATTTTATATAAATTTTTTATATAAATTTAAATTTTATATAAATTTTTTTTATCTCATATGAATTTTTTGTTTTTTCCCATATATTAAGAAATAAAGTTCAATTCAAATCCTATGGAAATTAAGAAAATTCCTTAAATGCACGTTGTTTTCTTTTAGGTATATTATTCCCTATGTTAAAAAATTTGGCGTTAATCCAGTATCCGGAAAGAAAATGTCAACTAGTGAACTTGTTCATCTGAAATTTGATAAAGATGATGAAGGTAAAATTTTAAGAACATTTCGAAATGCAGAAAATCTTGAAAATTTGATTATCGTGGATTTTTTCCCAGGTAATTTTCGTTGTCCTGTTACTTTCCGAGTGTTCACCCCTACAAGCCACATTGTAGCCATCCGTCAGACTGGTAATGTTTACGCTCTGGAAGCCGTACAAGAATTAAACATAAAACGAGGATTTTTAAAGGATCTGTTAACGGATGAGCCATTTCAAAAAAAGGATATAATCTCATTACAGGTGGTATAATTTCATGCTAGAAATACATTTCGAATTTTTTCATTTTTTACCATTTTTTATTTTTAATATGTAAATGCAAAGAAATATTGATTTATAAATGACTGTAGTTTAGATAAATAATAAAATACAGATTTTATAGAAAACTTAAATTCAGGTTTCTTAAGTTTTTATTATTTTTTCCTTTTAATTTTCCTAACTTTCTTCACAATTTGCCATTTTGTAATTTTGTTTGTTCAATATAACCAAAAATATATTAAAGGTATTAGTTTATTTCGATTTGCTGACATTGATTGAAATATTCTTTCATCATTTTCCAAGTTATTGAAGTTAATTAGGATCCTAACAATCTGGAAAAATTCAATATGGAAGCCTTCCATCATGTTAAACTTAATTTAAAAACAAGTGCGGAAATCGCTGCGGAAAAAAAAGCAATGGAAAATCCTAAATTTTTTATTCGGTACATGAATAATGAAATGAAAGAGACTCTTGATAAATTGAATCGAGAATATGTTGCTCCCGTTAGTTCTTTTTTCTTTATCAATTCTCAATAACCAACCAAAAAATATTTGCAATAAAAAGTACCCTTGATTATTAGAATAGCAAAAAATTTTCTGGTTACAGTGGGAAAAAACATCTAGAACGATTCTCTAGACCATTGTTTTTTTTCATAATCAAAGACAAAAAACACGACAAAAAAAAGACAAGACCAAACCAAAAAGCCAAAAGAATAGCAATGCCTAATTTTAATGTATAGCAATAAGAAGGAACTTCATTTTCTACTTTCATTTCAAATCGAATAAATGTCAGGATAATCCACATACTTATATGCCCCATACTCATTTTTATTTCTTTTCAACTAATTTTAAAATATCCATTGTCATTAATTTTTCTAGTCGAACTTTTCTTTATTATTTCAAGAAAATCTTCATGAAAATATTATGCTCTTCATTTCCATTCCTCTCTTCTTCTTTTTATCTTTTTTTTATTCTCTGCTTTCATCATTTTCAAAATTATATGCAGAAAAAAGAGGAAAATGTGGAAGAATTTGCTGATGAAATAAATGCCGCCCATTATAGTCAAGGGCACGTTGCTGCTGGCCTTACATCAACAACTATGGAGCCAATCACTCAAAATAAAGCGGCTGTACTAGGTGATGACACCGTTAGGTCAGTTCATTTATTTTCCAAAATACTTTCTATTATAGAAGTATTTCGTTAACTTATACCATGTGTGGTTTCAGATATGCAAGGGTCACTAAACAGGGTTATGTGCGAATTATAACCAATTTTGGTCCTATAAATCTCGAGCTATTCTGCAAGTTAGCGCCGCGAGCTTGTGAAAATTTCATCATTCATTGCAAAAATGGTTATTATAATAATACCAAATTTCATCGAATTATTAGGAATTTTATGGTATGTTTTATTGGATTCTTTAACTCCTAAAAAATTATGTCTTAACGAGTAATTTTGAGGGAAAATTTTATGAAATATTTAAGAATTTTGTTTTAAATTTTTAGTTTAAATATGAATATGAAGTTTTGTCGGAGTTCAGATGCAAGGTGGTGATCCAACAGGAACGGGTAAAGGTGGTGAATCAATTTGGAATAAACCGTTCAAGGATGAAATTGTGCACTCATTGAGCCACAACCAGCGAGGCATACTTAGCATGGCGAATCGTGGTACTGATTCCAATCAGTCTCAATTGTAAATTTTTTATTTTCCAGTTTCGAATATTTCTTAAGCACCGTACAGCGAATAACCATGTAGTAGGAAAATTATTATAGAATTAAAAAAAATTGTATTAAATAATTAACAATAATGTCACAAAATTTATTAAGAAGTTTTTAAAAGTTATCTCGCAGTTATTTTTAGTTTTATCACTTTTCGTTCATGCAAATATCTTGATGGAAAACATACAATTTTCGGTAAAGTTGTTGGTGGTTTAGATACACTGGGTAGCATCGAACGATTAGAAACGGATGCTGCTTCAGATCATCCTCTCGTAAATAGTTTATTCTATTCTAATCGTAGTTTATATATCGAAGAAAAAAAGGGAAAAGAGCGCCTGTTTTTGCGGGGGACGCGGTCACTGCATGAGATGTATCCGCTCTACTTCTCCATTTTTTCTTTTTCTTCGTCTTCACCTTGCAATTTAATCGAATAATTTACAAGAATCGTAGAAAAATTTTCTAATATTTGCTTCCATTTTATCATTTCATTTTGAATTTTTTAAAAAATTGGAAGTGGAATTAAGATTAAGAATTAAGAATTAATATTTTAAATCGCTGGCCAGTAGCCCTCCTTTTTAACAGTTTTTTTCTCCATAGTTTTATAATAATAATTAGTAACTTAGATGGATGTAATATTTATGGCAGCAGAAGTCTTTGTCGATCCATTTGAAGAAGCCGAGGCAGTCATAAAAAAAGAACGAGAAGAGTTATTAGCGGCCAAAAACAAGAAGGAAGCGGGTATCTTTCAGTTTGATTAGATGTTTTTAGATTTTTTTTTCGAATTTCAAACATTGGCAGCTTAAATTTTATGAATTATAGATTAAATTTTGCGCAATTTTTAATGGTCTCGTTTATAGAGGGTTTTCAGTGTGAAAGAAAAATCCTCCTTTTTTATATGGATTCACTAACAAAGCAGTGTCTCATTACACTTCTTAAATTTTATCGTTTATCTTCTCGATTTTACAGAAACATATAATTCTACACCAGCAACATCAAAGCATTTACCTCAACCAAAAATTTATGGTGATGGAGTCGGCAAATATCTTAACTTAAAAGAACTATCTAATTCAATAAAAAGGACTTTAACTTCTGAAAACCGTATGATATCTGATAAAACTCAAAAAAAGAAAAAATATGTAAAATCGAGGTTGTCTGATTTTAGTTCTTGGTGAAAAATTCTTAACCAGTAAACTTGCAGTTTTTCTCTTATTAACTCTCATATGTATAAATAATAAATAAAATTGTGTATAATAATAAGCAATAACAGTTATATTGAAACAGTTTTTTGAAGTTATTGAACCACAGTTTCATTAAGCCATAAAATAAACTGCACTGTATAGCACTGTTGTATGGAATACCAAATTTTCAAAAAAAGGCTTAATTGTTCGGAACTCTTCATTATCCTTTTAAGAAATTAAACCAAAAGTCTTTTTCCTAGTTGTTAAATTTATTTTTTCTGAAGTGATGGTCCTCTTAAACTGCAGTTAAGTTATGGATATTACGATATCTCATGTGCGGTATATTATTCGTTACTTCATGGCAATCATCTTTTATACAATAAATAAATATATATAGATATATATATATATATATATTAATAATAAATATATAAATATATATATATATTAATAATAAATATCACTTTTGAACTAATGCGCAAAGTAATTTTAGGTTTTCCTTCAAAAAAAAGAAAAAATTCGAAAACAACAAAACTGGTATTGCTAAACCCCATCATTTCTTATCAATACACAATTATCAAAATGGGTTGTATTTTTCTGTGGCATTGGGACTTCTTTGAACAAATCTGATTTAAGCAAAATCGGCATTTAAGCAACTAATAGTGGTTATGCCGTTGGCTTGTACGGACCCTCAAATTATGTTAACATTACCGTGCCATGAAAGCTGAAATTTGAATTTTAAGAAGTCATTGGAACAAATATTCGGTACATAAACTTATGACGTTGATTCCTCTCATTCCGTATTACGCGGACCCTTTAATTCGTAAATTTTAGTTCTAATTTAATTTTAATTTTTTTTATTCTTGAAAGAACAACTGTAATTCATAAAAAGCAAGGAACTGCAATTGGCCTGCGGAGGATCAATTCACTAAAACGTTATTTATAAATGGACTTTAAATTTCACTGATATGTTTTAGTCAAGTTTCACCTTTTCACCTTTTATTCATCAACTGAGCTATAGTTAATCAAAACTGTCCATTGTCGATCCGGCTTTGAAAAGCGTCGAAATATTAAAAAGTTGGATTTAAATATTGGATTTTTAAATTCAATTTTCAGTGTGTTCTCAGCAATTCACCACACTGAACAAAAGTTTTTCGATTTCGTTTCATAATTAGAAGCATGCATAATTTATTCACCCGATTACCAACCTCAGTATGCAAAATATGCAACATACAAAGATGCAAATTATTAAATTATTAAAATTACCTCTTCAAGTGGTACAATAATCTCGAAAAACATTGGATTCGAAAATATCTAACAATAAAAAAGATCCCAGATAAGATTAAAATCACTTATAGACTTAATTAATAAGTAACGGAGTCCTGTTTTTCGAAAACTGAAAAAATTTGTGCTTCGAATGCGAAAACCGGATTATATAAAAAGCTGAATCAAAAAATTTTACCATGCTGATCGACTTGGTTAAAAAAAATTGGCGAGATTTAGATAAATATTACTTATTGGCACTCAAATTTGACAAAAATTATTGCATCGAATTACAAACAGCAATAAACACATAAAACTAAACTTGCTGAACTTGCAATAATCAGAAATACATAAATACATGTTGAAAAGAAAAATCAACAATGCAGTTTTATATAAAGAATTTGGAATTTCGTGGAAATCTTTGTTGAAAGAGGTAAATTAATAGAGAGAGGTAACCAAGAATCATTTTTTACAACATATAAATAGTCGCATTATTGAGTATCATCTACTCCCTTATCATTTAAATCCAATTTGGGGAAATCAGTTTCAATAGTTTGCACATTACTCTCAAGCTGTCTCTTCATTTCCCTTTCTTCTTCAACTGCAAGAATAATCATAGAACAGTTGAATTTTTCGATAAATATATCATTTACAATAAATATAAGAATAAATAAATATATGAGAATTTAATCCAGTAAATCTTTTTTTTTTCTATTCATCCTATTAGTTAATGAAAATCTGAAGGTCAAATCTATTATATAGATTTAAATAAAATATAGAATTAAAACTTGATCTTAATTTTTTAAAAAAAATCTAAAAATTTTGTCTAAAATAAAATCTAAAAAATCTAAAATATTTTTTGCCAAAATATAAAAAAAGGAATAACATGGAGCTCCATAATCTAAAATTAAGAAAATATTTTACTTATTATTCATAGAAATATAGTTATGGCACTCAAAAACAGTAAAACCACGCGTGAATAAATAACATACCCATTTCTATGAAATCTTCATAATCTCGAGTTATATCCAAGTTATCCAAATCCTCCGGATCAACTGCAGTTGACCGTTGTGATTCCACTTTATCAATCTGACTTTGAAGAAACTCTAATTCTTCAAGCGTTAATGGTTTTCCATCAGGACCGATAATGTCGGAAAAATCTGAGTCTGCGATCGTTATATCCGACACAAGTCGCTGAAAAATTAGATCAAAATTAGGTTAAAGTTTTCCAAGTAAAAAAAAAAATTTGCCGTGACTTCTAAATTGGAGTAGATAGATACATATAGAAATAAAAATTTCAATCAAACTCAGAATCCATGAGAAAATTATTTATTTCATTGAAATTTTAATATATTATATTATATTATAATATTATATCAGTATTATAATATGCAAAATAAAACTAAATCGATGCAGTTTTTGCGATAAATTAAACAGATTTATTCATAAAATTGAGGCAAAGAAAGGCTAATGGGCTGTTTCGCTATTTCGCTATCATCACGAAATGTCGAAATGATTCCTAGGCAAAATTTATCTGGACCAAAAAGCTCGCAGAAAGAGCTTATCAAAAATGAGAGCCCTTAGAAAAAACATCCCATGAAACTTAGTAGAAAAAAATTCTCAGTATAGACAAAAATGTTTGATTGGCAAAACATTTTTTCCCTTTTTTCATTTTTTATTTTTTATTATTTTCATTAATATTGCTTTGTTGACGGGGGCATGGGTATCCCTCTCATTTTTCTAAATAAATAATTATTTTGTTGAATCGATTAAAATTGAACTTTCAATAGTTATTTTCAAAAATACATCAAAAAAATTTACTTTCTCGTCCGTTGAGTACCAATCATTATTGCGCATAACGTTTAAATTCCGAATTTTATCTTTTACATGGCTAAAAATAACTTTTAAGAAATAATCTGATTTATATTTCATGATGGACAAAAATGTGCATAAGACAAATAAATTTTAAAACTTATATTCGCGCTTACCTACTAATTCCAGGATGCGCATTAGCAAAAGCATTCAGTCTAGTTAATATCACATTCATTATTTCATTTCCTTGTGGGTCACTATCAAGATATTTCCCCGACACCTGAAAAATTACTCAATTTTAGGAATAAACGATCATTCATAAAATTTATATTTCTTTCCCCATCCTTTCCCTTCTTTTTCCGTTTTCACATTTTTAAAAACCATTGAGAAAATTGAAAATGGAAAATACTGGAAAATTGAAAACCTGGAGCGCTCCAATTACAGCTATAAGCGACTCATCAGTTATTTTTTTTTCATTAAGACAATCATTATTTGTGAATTCATATAACTGCTCACCAAAGGATTTCACAAGACACGGAAATTTTTCGCCAGCATTCTAAAAAACAATTATGCAGTACAACTGAAATGAAAAACTATATTAACCAAATGAAACAACATGATTAAAAGTTCAAGTTCAATTCAGCAAAGTCCAAGACTTTATAAAACCTGTTTCCAAATTTCAAAATTATGTTTGATTGACTCAAAAGATCAAAAGATATTTTAAATACAATGAACTTTAATATAATCTCCAGTGGTTAGACCAATTAGAGAAAAAAGAACTTGAAGTCATAAACCTTTTTGCTTAAATACTGTTCTCAATAATATTTACCGTTAAAAAACTTGCAAAAATTTCAGCAAACAAGTGTAAAAGATTTCGTTTTTGATTATCAACTAATAATCGCCTTTGACTTTTGGTGAATTCCAGTAAAACAGGTACAAGAAATTTTTCGCCAAAATGCAGTTGAGGCAATCCTTCTTGAATATACTTAAAAAGTTGCCCAAATGTATATTGCGTTGAATCTATAGCTGTCGCCTGTTAAAATTAATATAAATGAAGTAAAAACACATAAAAAAAAATAAATTTTTTATTGCTGAAAAAAACTAAAACTTGAACGGACCCTTCTTCTAGACAAAACTGAGAAAAAGCAGCTATAATACAATAAAAACAGTGGCAGAATAATTTATTTATCGTGTACTCCAGTTGGCATATGAATAATAAAAAAAAATGAACATTTTACCATTTGCAAGCTCATTTCGACTACTTTTAACAATGCTTCTTCATTGAAAGAAAGATCTCGCATGCGATCAACAATATTTTGTGACCAGATTGAAAATTCATCAGGCGCCTTCATAATTACTTCGAAGCCAACTTTTATCTAGAAAAAAATTAAGTTATGCGGATCTTTAATAAAAATTTTGGCCGAACGGATCCATTAGTATAAAAAATTTACACTATTTCCAATTTTTTTCGTAATTTTGTTACCTTTTCCGACTTTAATTTCCACGTCAATCTTTTTTAAATTTTATTGAAAATTTATTCCTTATAAGTTACCTGTTGAATTATCCCACAATAATCATCACTTTCGATACGGGCGTTTAAATCGGGAGAGAGTTCGAAACCTTTCATTCCATTTGAGACAAGAGCTATTTCGTTATCTAATGCTCCAAAATCTGCACAAAATTCATCTGGTATTACGCGAATGCCGTTGAATGCATCATTATTGTATGCTAAGTTTGAAAACAGCATTCTTCCATTTCTTGTACCATTAATTAAATCGTTTCCAGTCGAAGCATTCATATACGCCAAATCGTATGACTGCTAAAATTTATTAAAAGCTAAAATCTATTAAAATTCACAATATGCAATATGAAAATGTCAGAAATGTCAGCATGGTAAAATTTCATCATCAATCAATAACAACCATGGGACCGAATCTTCCACCAGATGGCCACAGGAAAGACAGCACATGTGGGCCCCACTATCACTCGCAGAAACTCGGATTATGAGAATAGAATAGGGCGTTGAACTATTGATTATTAATGGAAATATGAAAAGAAATAATGTCAGATGAATACTGCTAATAAAAAATCAATAAAAATAATCAAAATCCTTTTTCCAAACAGTAATAGAAAAATAAAGAGATGAGATTTTACAAATATTAAAATTGAATAGACGATGCCAAGTTATTGAAGTGGATGTGCACGTGCACTGGGTGAATAACACGATTTGCCAAAATTCTTTTAGTGGTGCGAGGACTGGAATCAACGAAAAAATGAGACCCAACCCAATAAATGTGGTCGTCAATGACAAAATAGAGAACAGAGCAGCGTCACGAGTCGGAAAAATACAACTGAACCGGATTTTATTAAAGTTTGGGTAAAATCAGACGATCTATAGATGAGAGGAATACATAACGGGCCACCCCCTCCATCGACCGTTTTCGACCAACCAACTAAACATATATTGCCAACACTGAATAGATCGTCTGCCATATGTAAACCCATTTTTCCAATTCCCACAATGATACTATCCGTTTGTCATTTATTATTTTATATATTATTATTATTAATGTCATTTATTATTAATTTTTTCACAACCTTATTCCGCATTACTGTAAATAATTTATATTCAAAACAAGAAATAGCGAAAGTAATTTTGGCTAATTCTATATGCACTGCAAACTCGTCCCTGCAGCCAGTGAAATTGGCCTAATCAGTAATAGTCAGAAATAGCCTATACCATAAGATTCATACAGTGGTCATCATAAATTAAAACGTTAATTCGCGGTTATTTGGTTCAATTAGGAAATGAGAACAGAGCTATATGAAAAGATGCTAAAGTTAAGACTAAGTCTAAATTCAAGATTAAGAATGAGACTCAGGAAAAATTATACATAAACGTGAAAAAACAATGATGGCTCGATTCCTTCCTATCTCTTGATGGATCCGCACTTTATTTTGTTGTTACAAAGCCGACGACTAATTACAGCGCCAGTGCGAGTATCGAGAATTACTGATAAAATAGAAAAAATTTCATGCGTACATGCAGAATCCAACGATAATATAGGAACGCTACAGAATGTATGTCCAAAAACCATATATCATTCGCGCTTAACTTTTAACTTTTAGAATTTTTGGAAATTTGAGAGAAGATTTTTGGCCCAAGTTTTTTAAAACAAAATAGATAATGAAATAAGCAAGACGAAGACGCGAATGAAAATAAAAACAAGAGACATATGGATGAGATAGAGAGAGACACAGAGAAGAAAAATAATAAGAGTGGAAAAAAAGCGCCCCGATTGGGGACGTTCACCCGCAAACGCTAGATCGGCCCGATGCGTGGTTCGCGTTGCTCTCCCACAAAGCCATAGATTTTTAGTATTATTACGTGATTTTAGCATCGAATCAGTTATTAAAGCGAAAGGCCAAATATTTGGAAAATGAAATTTCCAACTTATTCTTTGCACTTCTACTTCTACCAGTACTTCAATACTTTACGTGCGCTCAAGAAAGCCGAAAGGATGGGCACTCGCGCATTAGGTGGACACAAAAGCAAAGCAATAACTACAAATAAACCACAGCTCTCACGTTCACTGCGAAAATCAATTATAAAATCGATAGCAATGAATTACTGAATGAGAAAACAAAAAACAAGCACAAGCGTTGCTGAAATATGTCGTTTATTCCAAAAAATTCATACAACAATAACAATAACAATGAAACGGTTACCAATGAAGAACAGTAAAAGCTTGCGAGCTGATGATTTCTCGCTTCCGATTAATTATTTTGTGCTTTATAACTTCAAATCTGTCATTATTACATTAAGATGCAGTTACGCCGGGAACAATGTATACCAAAGCATACATGCCCTTAGAACCAAACAATCATGAACAAAAGCCTATATAAGCTGCAACGGCGTAGGACTATACTAAAGGCAGAAAGCCACATGTAACAATGGCACAAAACATCATTTCGGATCGTGCGGCAGAAGGCAGTGGTGAGCCATTCCAACATTATCAGGAAAACCACAAATAAAATCAACCGACTGATGCACGCATATAACTGAAGAAGAGCTGAGGATCTTTTAGATATTAATAGTTTTTATGGCTAGATAAAAATCTCCGAAAAGTTTCCACAAAATAAAAATCAGCTGCTAAAACAGAATTATAGTGGATAGGAAAAACGTAAGGAAAAAACTTGGCATCTCAGCCAAACTCAACACATGAAAATTAAAAGACCACAGATTGACATCTTAGGCATCAACGAACTGAGATGAACTGAACATATTTAGTCAGAAGATCACATCAATTATAACGCCAAGGATACTGACTGTGGATCACGAACTGCATATAGAGAAGTGAAATTAATAGATTGCGCTAATGAACCGATGATACCAACAAAAAGAGACAAGTGACGCCTAAATAAGTCGCCAAAGGACCATGGGAAGAAATTAGCTAAATAACTTCTGAAGATTCAAATAAATAACTCAGAAATAGATGAAGATCCACTACAGGTGCCAAAAAAAGACAAAGACAAAAAAGACGAAATGGCCTCAAAAGTACCTTCTACAGTCGCCATTCGATGAAATCTATATAGATTAATTCCATGTAAGCCATGGTGTCCATATTATTTTCTATGGATGAAATTTGGATTTTAAGGTAAAAAAAGAAGAGGAGAGTATTGGTGCTTTTGAATCTTAACGGAAAAGAATCCTGAAAACATCTAGGCTAGCTAAGAAAACAAACCGATGAATCAAAAACCAAGCCAGACTTCCCACTCGAGCCACAAATGACCAGGCTCCAATTATTTTATTTTTCACATATATGAGGATTCAGTTCTCTTGAAAAGGAACGACTGGGAATGACACGAGAAAAAAAGAGGACTTGCAACAATGAATAGATTTAATTATAGAGAGACAATATTGATAATCAAATTCGCCTTAATAGCACAGGATCAATCAATCAACAATAATTTATAATTTATAATAAAAATAATAATAATAATCAATATTTAAACTATATTTTATACATTTTATTTATTTTTATATTAATTATTATCAATTAATAATTTTTGTTCATAATTATTAGTTAGCAACAATTAATAATTATTAAAAATGTAAAATATAAATAAGAAATGATACTAATTAATAATAATATAAATCATAATTAATGAAAATTAATAAAAACTGTGATGATATTATCAATACACATTTGAGTCGATATGACTATGACGGATTTTATGTGCTCAATAAAAGTATTAAAATATGTTTTGGATAATTTTGATCAAAAGGCTTAAAGGGCTAGAAAAGTTCTTGATATCTGCCACCTTCATTCGCAGCTCTATCATATGATCGTATACATTGCAATAAAATAGAGGCACACTCGTTATAATGGTGATCCCATAGACGCCAAAAGAAAAAAGGTTGTAATTTCCAGCCATTATCCAAGCTTTTGTTTGTGGATCCAAAATTTTTAAAGTCTGTCACTTTCTCAGTGCGATAGATTGATAAAATTTATCAGCATCAGGTAAACTAATGAAAAGATTTTTATCTTATTGATCCTGAGATCGATTTTTGCTATAGTTGTTCATATCTCGTTCAACTCGTGTAATTTTTCATGTTCACAAAAAGAGTTAAAAATCTGTGATATTAAGATATTAAGATCTGGACCGGCTTGCATATTTTTAATGTTGAGCAAACGAAATCGAAGTCCATTCAGTCTATCGAATACAGCAAGAATTCCTCATACATAAAACAGACCTGTGTCGATGTGCTGGCAAATTGTCAATATGAATCGAACGATTTTTTCAAGTTCTTTCTTCAATACCAAAGAGTGCATCCACTGACAATTAGTTGCGAAATATAACCGATAATATTTTACGACCTGAGGTGGAAGGCCGTCTTTTCTGAGAATTTTATTGGAAATTATTTCTTGCTCTGTTGGTGGCACACAGTTTCAAATGTATGATTCAGCGAGTGTCTAAGATATGTCCAGGATCATATTTAACCTTGAACAATTCGCTTCATCATACATATATTCTTAACAGCACATCATTGTCTCGGATCATCTCACTGAGCGTTTCCCGAATTACGACTATTTTATGAGGAAAACGGAATAGCTTTTTTTCTATCACCTTCATCTCCATATTCAAATCCATATCATTCCGACAGTGGTTTCTGTATGCTGTGCCAATGCTGTTGTATGACCTCGAAGTAGCCAGAATCTCCTGAAATTCGTGCTCTCGCAATATTTTTGGATAACTGGACTTGCCCTTCCTGAGGTACCGATGACATTTGCATTATCGTAATGTTTCGGTAATCTCATTTGAAACGCCTATTATATTCTCCTTATATCTTATCTTTAAACCCTATCATGGTTTTATTTATGAAGGTTACCAGTTCTAATGTCGCGATATGAATAATTATTTAGAATGATGACGAATGATTAAAATAGAATGATTAGAATCGATCTCTTAATTATCTGGGGCAACCATGTGATTAATTTTTTTGATTCTTCTCTGATTCCCAGAAGCAATAAATAACAATAATTAATACTAATACTAATAATTAATGAATAATAAAGTAGAAAACTTGAAACCAAAAAAAAAGTGGAACTAAGTCTCACTAAAATGAACTGTACATCTATACTGACCGACAAGATCCACTTGATCCACTTGTCTGGCTTCCATCCAGTCATCGAATTATTTATCACGATATTTCAAAATGAATAGATACTATCAGGTCCTATCAAACATTTTTCTAACAACTCTCACCATTACTGGTTAGGCTGGCTCCTAAACTGCTCGATTTGATTTGACCGCTGACAGTGATAAAAGCCATTTTTTTTCCATCACCTAAGTCCATATGTCACTACTTCTCTTATATAAAATCTTCAAAATTTTTCTTGTATCAGCCCAGGTCTTGATTGGTTCACCTCACTTTATGCCACTTGGATGGTAGTGTTAATACAAGTGGTTCATGTGAGATTTTATCCACTCGGCGAACCCGTAAAATGTATCTTAGATATGTGTGGTCAAAGGTAAATAACTTCTTAATATCTTCAACAATCAGCGGTCACGTCTAGCAGCTATATAGCAAGATCGAGTGAATAACAGCTATATAGATGCGGAATTTCGTTTTTATGGTTTCGTGGTTCCATAAAAGTTTTATTAACTCGAAGAATGCTTTCTAGCTGCCATGATCCGGGTTGCAATTTCGTCATTTGTCTGAACATTTGGGATTAGAGTGGATTTGAGATGTTTAAAGCCGAGCAGGCACTTTCTCAACCAGTAATTAATTTGTAAAAATAGGTATTTTATCATCTTCTTATATATAAGACGAAAAGATACATTGTTTGCATTTCCTTGTAACTGCAAAATCAGCAAAAAGAACTAAATCATCAGCGTAGATTTGTGATACGATGCTCTGAACTTATTTATACATCTCTTGAGTGCTAATAAACAGTATCCATTATGTCTATTGCATATTGAAAATTATAGGGGAAAGGATGCAGCCATGATGGACACCTGTTTTTATTTCGAAGAAGTTTGTCAGTTCCTCATATGTACAGATCGCTGATCTGCGCTGATGTACGCTGGAATGCTTGTATGAGCCGAATGATCTTCTCTTGGACACTGTCACGCTTCACCACTTTCCAGAGCGTTGCTCTATCAAAAAAAGGCAACTGCAAAATCGATAAAGAAATGACAGTGAGTTTCTGGTATTCTTAATGTGAATATCTGGTCAGCACAACCGCATCCGGTTCTGAATCCAGCTTAATTAAAGCGCATCCTGCTGTCCCATACTATCATGAATCTATTAAGTAAAAGGGAAACAAAAATTTCTGAGACGTTTATTAGGCTAATTCTCCGATAAATGTCACAGCATACCCTGTCACTTTTTTTGGAAATTGGGAGAATTGTTTTGCTACAGTTGTATGGTATTATTTATGGTATGTTTTTTCCAAACCAGACAGCATATTTGTTGAAGGACGTCACGCATTAGAAGATTCTTTTGAATCCCTAGGATCAGAGATATCACGAAAAAGATTCATGCTTGAATGGCACTTTTAATGGTTTGGAATGTCACTTTTTGCAATATTTAAAATTTTTGCTAGCGATCTTTTTCGTGATATCTCTGATCCTAGGGATTCAAAAGGATCTTCTAATGCGTGGTGTCCTTTACCAATAATTAGAACAATTCCAACAAGTACTTTTCAATTCATCGGCATAGATTTGTACCCACAACTACTAAAGAAAAAAATTCTCATAAGGGATGTATAAATTATACCACATGTCTATATGCTAGAGATATGCTGTACTTTTAATTCTATATTTATAGATTCTTCGGCACATTATCTTCTCTTAGCTATGGTTCATAGCACAATAGAGATTACCAAACAAAATCTTAATAGATAACGGAATAAATTTTAGAGCAATATCAAAGACACCCTTATCAGAAATAACCTTCCAAGAACAATTTGATTATATAAAGTCAAAAATTGTAAATCATGAAACGTAAATTAACAATAACAAGCTGACAAGCCAACATTAAAAAGCTAACCATTATATGCAATTACAATTGCCTAATCCAACTAGAAAAACATTAACTACTTGCAATTACCAGCCTCCAACAAAAAAAGAAATAATTTCAGTTATCCATAAGCTTAAGGCCAATAAAATTCCAGGAGAAGATGGTCTTCAGGTCTTCGGGTCCTCTGAGCTTTTCAAATGTTGTCTATCGTCCTTCATAACGCACCTTCAACAAATGTACTCTATGGTATGGGAAACAGAAATATTACCAGATGATTGGAACGAAGCAATTTTGCTTCCAATTCTGAAGAAAAATAATAGGATATACTGCCACAATTATCGAGGAATAATCCTGTTAGACGTCTCAGCAAAAATTTTTGCTCTCCTGCTACTCAACAGACTTATCGAAGTACGAGGCAGCACGATGCGCCCTAATCAAGCTGGTTTCAGACCAGGCGATTGTGCTGACCAGATATTCACGTTAAGAAGAATGTTAGAACATTGCTTCAGATATTTGAAGCTCACTGTTACGTGATGTTTCATCGATTTTGCGGCTATCTTTGATTCAATTGATAAAGCGGCACTCTGGAGGGTAATGGAATGTGACGGCGCAAAAAAAATTATTCGACTCATAAGGATGTTTTATGAGACGCAGGTCTGTGTATATGTAGAGCTGGTAGACTCCTTCGAAATAAAATTGATGTCCGTTAGGGCTGCATCCTTTCCCCCACAATATTCAATTATGAGATAGATTGGATAATGGATACCGCTTGTCGGCACTCAAGAGATGTCCAAATTAGTCCAGAGCATCATGCCACAGATCTTGAATACGCTGATGATTTAGTCCTTTTTGCTGACAGTTATGATGAAATATAAATAATGCTAAAGAACATATCAGCAACTGCAGCAAGAATCGGTCTCAGGATCAATGTAAATAAAACGAAAGTCATTTCGTCTTAGTAAATTCATTGCCGGTCGAGGAAGTGCCCGATTTTAAATACCTTGGGTCCACTTTAATACCAAATTGTCAGGTAAAAGACGATATTGTAACCCGGATAACGGCAGTTAGAAATGCATTCTTCCGGTTGACTGAATTTTTATGCAGCCGTCGTGAAATTACCATTAAAACGAAAGTCCGTATCTATATAGCCATGATTCGATCTTGCTATACGGGTCGGAGACATGGCCAGTGAGAGTGGAGGATATTAAGGAGTTATCTACCTTTGACCTTCGATGTTTAGGGCACGTTCTTCCTCGTCCACCACAAGTTGTCGCATATATCATTACTTTCTAAACCGTGTGTCAAAAACGAGGTGGGCCAATCAAGACCTAGAGTGATACGGTTAGGAAAGATTTTGAACGTATAGGCGGGCCAGCAATGGATGGATTTAAACGATGGAAAAAGGAATGGCTTCTACTACTGTCGACGATATCATCAGTCCGCGCTGCCTGGAAGCGTCTAGCTGTTGGAGCCAGTAATGGTTAGAAGAAGAAGAAATCAGTAATCAGTAATGGTTAGAAGAAGAAGAAGATTAAGTCGTATAATTTAAATTCAACTGTTTTAAAATCTAAAAAATTTATTTAATAACTGATCTTTAACTTCCAACCTCCTCAAAAATCTTATAAAACCTATAAATAAAAATTAGTTATATGGATTTTTTTCGCTCTCTTCTTTCGAACTTTTTTGAGTCCTTTTTCAAGCCTCTTATTTCTTTACAAACCAATAATTACTTTAAAAGATCGTTATTTATAAAAATATAAAATATTAAAGTTCATATAAACAGAAAAAACAAGAAATTATTTCCTGTACCTTCTACAGTGCAATCACTCCTCCAACTACAAATAAAATTTTCTTTTCTACACCACCAGATTAATTAGAATGGAAATTTATCATTTCGTATAGCCTTTGGTAAAAAGAGATATGCAAACGACTCAACATGTCTATAAAGCATGCCATCAAACCATTCGTATAGACATGGCATATCATACTAACAAACGGAAAGAAGTATAAGCACAAGCTTTCTGCAGATTCAAAATTTGATTATAATGTCTAACCCGAAAATTTGATTATAATGTCGAACCATGGAATGAATAAAATTGGTTCTCAAAACTGGTGCTCTAATGCTCATATAGTTCCCTTTGTTATATTGTATGTTCCTGGAGATTTTGTATCGTATAATCCTTGAGGGTAGCGTGACTTGTTATTGGTTGGTTATTGTTTCACACCCGCCGGATAAAGATGCGCTTTATATTTCCACTGGACAGAAGAAAACTGCAGCAATTCTGCTTCAAATTTCTAAGGTGGCAGGGCGTACTGCGACAATTACTGAGGAATCAGCCTAGATATCTCCTGAAAAATTTTTGGTTCCGTACAACTAAAAAAACTCATGGCAACACCAGATAGGAGAATGCGTCCTAACAAGCTGGATTCAGACTAGGATGCGGTTGTGTTGACCAGATATTTACCCTAAGAAGGGTGCTGGAACTTCGCTTTAAATACCAGCAATCCAACGTCACTTGCTTTATCGATTTTGCAACTGCCTTCGATTCGATTGATAGAGCAGCGTTCTGGAAAGTGATCGGTTCCCAGAGATCATTCGGCTCATAAAGGCATTTTATTAGCATACCTTGACATAGGTCTAACTAGTGTCCGTCAAGGATGCGTCATTTCTCCTATAATATTCAACTATGCGATAGACTGGATAATGGGCATTGCTTGGCACTCAAGAGGAGTGCAAATCGGTCCAGAGCATCGTATAATACGAACACGCTGATGATGCGGTACATTTTGTTGACAATTATGATGAAATATAAATAATGCTAAACTATTAATGGTCAAAAAATGCAGCAAGAATCGATCAATGTAAATAGAAAGAAATCCTTTTCATCTTATATTCAAGAAGCTAATAAAATATCTATTTTTGTCAATTCATTGCTGATTGAGAAAATGCACGACTTTAATATCTTGGATCCACTCTAAACATAAATGGCCAAGCAAAGGATGAAATTAGAACTCGGATAATGACAGATAGAATGTATTTTTATGGTTGACGAATTCTTTATTGAACTGTCGTTAAAACACTATAAAGACGAAAATCTGCGTCCACATAACTGCAATTTGCTCGATTCTGCAATATGCTTGCGAAACAGTGAGAGCAGAAGATATTAAGAAGCTACCAGCCTTTGACCACTAATATCTAAAATAAATTTTGCGGATTCATCGAGCGGATAAAATCGCATATGACTGTATCCATTTTCGCTCAACTAACATCTGTATTAATAATATTATCACACAGCGTCGCCTTTGCTGGTTCTCTGTCGCACATCACAGGAATTGACGAATCTTTCGCTACTCTTCGAACCCTAGACTGAATAAGGAAAGATTTTGAACTTACAGAGAGTCCAGTGATATATGGGTTTAGACGATGGAAAAAGAAATAATTTATTTCTATTATTACCACTACAGATGGCGTCAGAACGAGCAGCTTAGAAACGTCTTATATCCAGCGGAGCCAGCCTAACCAGTGAGAATTGTCAGAAGAAAGAAGACAAAATAAATAATAAGCTAATGAAAGAATTCCATTCAATAGAATTCCATTCTATTACTTTTTTATAAACATACTAAATAATATAGAAAATGTCAAATAAAAAAAAAAAAAAATTGGTGAAAATTTAATACTAGAAAATACTTGAAATTTAAATTTAAAAAAATAAAATCCTATCACTTTACGCAGAAAGAATCAAAAATTATTCCATCTAAATTAGTTTAAAAAACTAACAAAATGACGAGTACATGCCCGACCGAAAGTGTACGCATCACTTCGCTCTGCAGCGCAGCTCTGATCCGCTATGTTTACATGTGGTGATGGGAATTGATTTGATAATACAAAACCATTTGTCGATAAGTCATTTGGCATAAAATTACCTACAAATTTCATATTATTTCAAAATATATCGGATCTTGATATTCTTTCTCATTGATAAATGAATATCCTTTCTCACTGATAGAAATGATAAGAAATGAAAAAAATGAGAAATCTAGAAGTTTTAGATTAGATTAAGATAAAATGAAGTCAAAAGTTAGAAACCATATCTAAAGAAAGTTTTTAAGCGAAATAAACTGGAGAAAAGACAATGCACTGAGACTGTAATACTATGGTTTAGTACTTCGACCATTTGATATCTAACACATTTTATTTTATTCAAAAAGCTTAGAATCAACTCACTGGATTATCATTGCGACCATCATGCTTTGGTTTTTGCCTTCGGCCTGTCCTCTTCTCTCCTTTCCTCCCACCCTTCCCTCTTTCTGGATAAAATCTATTATTAAAAATCTGTTGCAGTTACTCCTTCCTTATCCTTATTCCTGGAGTTTCCGTGATGCTGAGGATAAAACATTGACTTCCTAAGAATTTGCTTATCCCTACTAACAGCCAATGAAAAGAGATATGGTCAGCACCAACATTTAACACAAAAGCGAAAACAAAAGGAACTCTTAAAGATAAAATATGAATTGCAATTTTCGCTACCATTCTTATCAAATTACTACCAAATGAAAATTGTAATTTCTTCCAGAAATTAACATGCAAAATTAACTCGATGATGGTCGAATATCTTGCATCGTATTGCTTAAGTATGATATTCCAGCATCTGCATATGATGGAAGCGGTCGATTCGGAATCACAGTATACTGTTGGCTTAGTGGTACATTCATTAAATATCGCCTCATATCTAAAAAATTTCAATTTTTTCTATTATTATTATTTTCATTATTACAGTCTGTATTTAATAAATTTAAATAATAATACATAATATTTACAAAGCGTTAGTTTCTAAATTACAAGCCAAATTAGCCAAAAAACGCAAACTTATTCCAATTATCGCTTTCAAGAACTACCAATTTTTTTATTCTTTTCCCTTATAAATATCCTAACTTGAAATAAAAAATCATATAACAGGAGATAAAATAAAAATTAAGGAAAACCAAAATAAGCAAAAACTCAAAAACAAAATCCAATCCAATAATAACAATTAAATTAATAAGTAAATTATCGACTGCCATGGTTATTTAATCCATGATGACATTTTCAAGAATAAGGATAAGGAAGGAGTTTCCGCAAACCAAAGTTGAGAAATTATATAAGAATAAGTAGAAATTTCTTTCTAAAATATGTATTAGGGAGGAAATAAACGACGATTAAAGCAAAATATATAGAAGAAAAGAAAAAGGAAAAAAATGCAAAAGTTTAGCGTAAAATAACTCTTATATTAAACCATATTTCAAATCTTTCTACGGTTTTTAAATGGATAAATCAATTAAATTTACTTGCGGTATCATTAATCGAGCCATTATTTTCTCGACATACCTCCATATCTCCATTCATATGGACTGAATTAAAATCGTGTGGATTGCTTTCCATCGACGACAACTGATAAGTGATATATTCTATGATATATTCTAGAAGTCCTTTTTTTATTTCTCATAGGTTATTAATTAAATTATTAAATATTAAAAACGACACATTCCAAAAAATTACACAAGAAAATAAGAAGTTTGCTGCTGAAAACTAAGAAGAAAAATAATCGAAAATGTCAAAAGAACAGCTTTTAAAAGGCGAAATAACGAGAAATACTATAAGAATAGGAACGATAAAACTATCCAAAAAATAAAATGTGAAAAAATAGTAAACTAAAATTGAGTGCATGCAGTAAATCAATGCAAATGGAGTGGTTCCGTACGATGAACTACCTGTGCCGATCTACTGATCAGTTGTTTCATCCAATTATCCAATTTCCATCCAATTATTTGAAACTATAGAAAAAAATGTGGCAAATGGATATGATTATTTTCCAGCAATATATGCCCTGAATGCCCTAAATATATCCTGCGGCCGCCGACGGGCCAACAACGACTAAGGAATATAAGAGGAATCACCAACGATAACAAACAAGAGTGACCCACCTTGACCCAGTGGTCCATAAAGAACCACAACTATCCTATCATTTGTCCGATTCTAACAGTGCTAAAATGCGGATAATATCAACTGAACATCAATGAACATTTCTCCAATGAGAGACTTCTTATAAACTCATTAAATCGATCTAACGGCTAATTTTGAGCATTTCGAAGCAAATTTTTGCACGTTAATCGTTAATTATTATTAAATAAATTATGAGTTATATTATAAGCTTTTATAAGCTTTTATATTATAAATTATAAGCTTTTTTAAACTTTAAACAACTAAAAATTATCGATAAAATTATGGATTAAACTGATAAAAATTAAATACTAAAATTTACAAAATAACTGCACCTTAAAGATAATAAAGAAGGAAATAAACACATGTACGGAACCGAGCGAACCAGATTAGGGCAAGCAAACAAACAAGCATATTTTTCCATCGAAATCCTTAAGCCTAGCTCCATCTTAGACAGACTATTAACGGTCACACTCAAACCATGGCCACAGCTCGTCATCCATATAGCCGCAACCGCATTTTAGAAGCTTGGTACTGTAAACACCGTCATCTTCAATGCAAGCCTCAATACGAGGTTGGAGAATGCCGGTCAATCATCACAGTTGGTCAACTAGAAATGTGCGCTCTTATTAGAAACATTCGTCGAAAATTAAAATTCTACCCATTTTTTCTTGAACCAATAATTCCAAGTGAATATAAAGCACATTTTGCTCCCACTGGCTTTTCTTTATCGAGTGGTGCTTTCTTTTTTTATTAAAAAAACAACAGCATTTAAAGCAAAAAAGAGTAAATAGTAACGAGGAAAAACTGGAAATCCCTGAATGGGAAAGTAGGTGAGATTCCTCGCGCCACTAAAACGTATATATTGCCATCCAGCTATATTTTCCATGAAAAATTCACTGTGAAAATAATAAAATTTAAAAGAAAAAAAATTAATCAAATCTAACTAAATTCTTAAAGAAGAAATTAAAGAAGAAATTTTATATTTTTTAAAACTCAACAAAAAAAATTTTTTGCCATAAATATTTCATTTAATATAATAAATAATTTATAGAAAATAACAAAGTAAAGCAACATGCAGAAAGCAAACGAAAAAAATAACAATAGGCATCAATTTAGAAACTAATGTCCCATTATAACAAAGATGAATGTAGAAAGATAATTAAAAACCACATTATCAATACAAATCAACCACAATTTGAAGTACCTTCAAAGCAATTAAACATTTTCAAGAGATGATAATCTATCGCGTATTTCTATAATTAAATTATCACGAGATATTTCCTGAAAATATTGCAGATCAAGAAATTAAGGAAGATTTATTTAGCTTAGTGGATAATAGTGAAAATTTATCGCACAATTCTTGAAATTCAATAAATTCAAAACATACTGTTTCTTCTCTGGTTTTAACATCACGAATTTTAACAATCCCATTCTCCAATTCAAATTCGCCTATTATGATAACTAACGGAATTTTGCGCTCTTCACAGTATTGCAACTGATTAAGCATTTTTGGGTTCGACTTATATGACATTTCAGCCTAAATCCAATAAAATCAATAATTACAGCGCTATCAAAAAAAATTACCGTGGGTCTAAAGATGGTATTACCTTTACATCATTGTCCCATAAAAGTTTGCATAATCGCATACGATCTTTTAATAAATTCTTTTGAGCTGATGCAACAAAAACTTCGGTTTCCGACGTACGAATAGAAGCTCCATCAACCTTTAAAATATTTCAGCCAATTAAAAAAATAACAATAAAATAAGATAAGCTACAAGTATAACGCAAATAAATCAACAACAACAAATAAAAAGTACTAGTAAAATATTTCAATATAAAAATAGAACTATAATTTTGGCCTTATTTACTAGATTTTTCTATGCATTTTAGAATGCATTTACAGCTACACACCTGAGCCTTCATTGCTTTTATGCTAAACAATCGTTCAACACCAAACGATACACCTACACATGGTATATTCTTTTTTTTTGGATAGAACATTCCAACTAAATAATCATAGCGACCACCAGCTGCAACTGATCCAACCGTAATAATTTCATCATCCTCACTGCCAAATACTTTCTGAGAGGCGTTTAAAGAATGAGAGAATGCTGAAATAGATTATAACTAATATTATATTCAAAATTCAAATTAGTGCTTAGTTTGGCCACAAAAATTAAAAATTAAACATAAACAATTGGCATGAATAAACATTGTAGGATTCCCCAATTTTATTCAAAAGTTTTCTCCAAAATAAGAGGGTCATGAGAGTTAAAGGAAATTGCGAATTATTATGAATTATAAATTACCTTTGATTACAGCTTCATATATTACGCCTGTATAATAATCAAGGCCCCGAGCTAATGATGGTTCAATAGTAATATTTTTGTTTGCTCCAAATAGTTCACAGTAATTCAGCAATAATTTCATCTCATTAATAGCAGTTTTAGCAGAATTATTGTCTCTGATTCCACTAGAACTAAGAAATTTTTCCAGTAAGCCCATATTTGATAATTCTCTATTCAATTCTAAAAACAACAAAAGGATAATTGATATAATTCAAAAATAGTCAAAAAAATCTTTTTGGTAATCTATGTAGTATAGTATTTTTGGTATTTTTCAATATGGTAATTTTCAAACGTACTATTTTATTCCAACAACGGAAATTATTTTAACAGAAAATCGAGAAGTAAAAAATACCTCGCATACGCACAAACTGTTCAAGTTTATCAACAGCTTCCGAATCAATATATTTTTCGTTAATAAGTTCATAGCGAACGTTTTCCCAAGGTAGTTTATCTAATTTATCTATTGAAGAGCAAACTGTTTTGAACAAAGATAAGTCAATACCACTGGCAACAAACATGCCCTCAAGCAATAAACGGTGGTTCACCTAAATAATATTTTTCTCGTATGTGAATAGAACGGAATTGAATAATCCCATTATATTAAAAATAATAGAATAAAGATCACTATCACTGATCAAAATTACATATATCAAAATTAGAAATTAGCAGCAAAATAATATGAAACCAACCTTAATTTCAAAGTCGCCTAATTTCAATGAATTCAATACTTCGTCTACGATTCTCAAACATTCTGCTTCAGGAATCATTAAATCATATTGACCAGCGATATCAAAGTCCTAAAACAAATTGATTGCTCACAACGATAAACACAAAAAATTTCAAATTTCAGAATTTCAAATTTCAAATTTCATTTTACAAGCTAATAATTGAATTGATTGATTGATAATCTACAAAAACCACTTTTTCAAAAAAAAATTTTTTAAAAACATTTTTAAAAACTGGAATAAATAATTTTTAGTCGTTCACCAAAGGAGTTGACAAATATTTTGTTAGTTTCTAAACCCTGTGATGGATAGCGGTAAAAATGAGAAGGGCCAATCAAGAACTGGACTGATACAGTCAGAAAAGGTTTTGAACGTAAAGGAGGACTAGCGATATATGGACTTATATAGTAGAAAAAGGGATGGCTTTTATTACTATCGGCAAAGATATCAAGCAAATTGGAAATGTCTACCTAGGAGATCCAATCTAACCCAGTAATGGTGAGAACACTTAGATGAAAAAGGATGAAAAATATTACACATTGATAAAATTCACGGTACCGTCCTTTGGTCATAACAGGTTGATCTCTCCGATAAACCTTAGCAATATGGTATCTTTTCAAATTTGTTATTTTATTCATTGCAAGATAACGAGCAAATGGCACCTTCAAAAAAAAGCTGCAAATTTTATTGGAATTTTTTTAAAAATAAATTTACTAAATTTCAGAATTTTGAAATAATGATACAAAACAATAATAATAGCAGAAACTGAACTGGCCTATTAAAAACCATTTTTTATGCCATATTTTACTTGTATTACTAATGATAATAAACGTTTAAACCTATAATAAAGCAATATAAAAATAAAAAAATCGAGAATTAACAAACGAACCGTAAGATCGTAACGTAAACTAAGTGCTTCTCCTCCTTGATCTGCTAGATCAAATATTAATTTCCCACCTTCTTCGCCATATTTTCCCAGTAAAACATCCTTTAGTTCGAATACAGGTGTATCAATCGTTTCTGCACCGTGTCTTTTAAAGCATTGCACTATTTTATTCAGAATACTATCGCGGATTGCCATTGCCTTCGGATCAAAATCCCTAGTACCTGAAGCATTAAAAATACATTTAAGCTCACATTTACCAAAGATATATGTCACTAGAAAGATAATGATTTTTTTAAAATCAAAAAATCAGAAATAAAAAAATTTACAGCAGCTAAAACAAGTGTGATAAATTTTTGCATTCCGTCTGGTTCGACAAAGGCAGCAAGGTGCGTCTAACCACAAATCCTAGCGTTCTTAGTAAAAAAACCTATGCATTAAGCTAATATGTTAGCAATTCTAAATCAAGCTCACCCATGGAAAATAAACAAGAAAATGCATATAAAATCTCTACTGTTAAATTTATTAAAACAAATTATTAGTTGTCGGATCTTATCCTTATTCTTTTTACCAATTTCAATCCAATATTATTCTGTCAAAATTTTTTGGCAAAAAATCTGTGAAAAGAAGTGGAAAGTAATATGGAAAGTAGTACAATTTATGGAAATTCATTTAAATAAGCAGAAAAAAAACCTTTCGGACATTTCAGAACCGTTTTATCAGCAAAACCATCCGCCGTTAATTGTGCTTTTAACTCCATCATTCTGGCTAATTTATCCTTCAGCTATAAAAAAAATTCTACCTGTATTTTCTATCACAACCTTTTACAATTAATATCTGAAAAAATTAAAGAAAAATTTTAATAACTAAAAATTTTAATAAACTCAGTATTTAATAAAAAAATTAAATTAAAAATTAAAACTATCACAATTAAATTAAATTTCTTAGTGGACATAAAAATTTTAAATTTATTCCAACTACTTCCTATTGAAAAATAATTCATCCTAGGAATGAATCTAAAATACCTTTTTGCCACTACGTGAGGCATAGATAACTGTTTTATTGGAATTGGAATGACGAATGATAGACGAAAAAAACATTCCAATGTATCATTCAATTATCATAAAATTTAAGCATAAACTACCTCGACAACGTGTAAAGAAATTGGTCGCACTAGTTCTAATTTATCCACAAGGATTTCTGAAAGGACTTAATAGCTTTAATTCAGATTACTAGAACTATGAGATAAGGGATTTTTAAACTACCATGCGACTAACTTTGAAATATCAAATAAAACTTCCGGCTAGCACTGACTTTTTAATTTAATGAAGAAATCATCAGAAAGGTTAGTAGGAAATAAAAAATAAAAATTTTCCATAGATCTATGAAAGTATACCTCAGATCCAAAGTTTCAAGAAACTTAAAAATTTTTCAATTTTCAATAAATTTTTAATAAATTTTAGTAATCACTAATAAAATTTAATTATTTAGCGATATCAAAATCATATAAATTATTGCTATTTACTGTTGCTTGAAATGAAGAAAATGGTAAGGTAAAAAGAATATTTTAGAGCTATTAATTCTATGGCTGATTTTCCGCAGTTATCGACATTCACCCCAATGTCTGTAGTAGTTCGCCACTGCAAAACATCATCAACTTATTCGAAACATATGGTGGTAAGCTCTGGACCAATTCAAATGCCAGTCAAGCGATGGTAAGGTGCATCCACAGTCTAATATATCTATTAATTATTGTTTACCTATTACTATTCTTTTTCCAAGAGCACTTACCATTTCTAGTTAGGCTCTGTTCGCTTATCGCATCAAATTTTGCGAGGCAGTATTGGCGACTATAAATGAACCATTATTTTTGAAGGACACGTTTATTTTTGCCAGGGGTAAAACCATAGCGTCGAAATAAGAAATAATTATCATATTATAAGAAAAGGATATATATAAGTACTATATATGCACAAACATATATATATTTATTTGCAATACAAATATTCAAATGTTACAATATTTGTATATATATAAAAACTTATGATAAAAGTTATGTCATAATATTTTTTATTCGAATAATTCCTTAATAAGCCTGTCTATTTTCTCAGGAACAGCACCGTGTATCATGATGCTCCAGAACACCGCATGTGAAGTAAGCGAGGACTTGAAGCGGTTTTCCAATACTATGTGAATATTTGGCTATATTTTGGCCAAAATCCAGCCCGTTCCTCCTCCCCAAAAGTGCTATAATAGCTTTTATTTGCTTCAGCTTTTATTTACTTTTATTTAAGGTGAAATCCTCCTTCAGCAAATTCTTAAAGGATTCTTAATTTCTTAATTCTTAATTTTTAAGGAAATAGAAAATGTGGAAAATAATTGCAGAAATAAATCGAATTAAAAAACTGTGAATATAAAACCAAATACGAAATGAACGAGCGATATAATAGGTTTTGAAAATTCATTTTTTCGTAAGAAATGAGAAAGCATACCAATTTTTGAAAAGCATTGCTCTTCTTTAATTCGTTAATTTCATCATCAATTTGCTTCAATTCATTTTCTAAAGATTCCCTATCGACTTTCATAATTCCTTCTGCAAAATTTTTGCTCATTAACAAAAAATACCAAAGGCTGGAAGCCCCGTCTGAGAACAAACAATACCGAACCCATTAAAAGTGAAATTTAGAGACGTTAGGAGGGATATATCTGCAATTATAATTTCCAAGAGACAGCGGCAGTTGGTAGTCAATCCGAACCAGAAATGGTGCCCAATTCCTTCTAAAAAGAGTTCCTTACTTTAAAAAAACAAGACGGCAAATTTTTGAATTTTTAAAAATCATATTCATTCGTCAACCGAAATAGCTAAGTAAAAATGTTTAAATTTTATTTTTTTCTAGAATATTTTTTATTTTATTTGAATAATTACAATAAAATAAAATATAACTGAGTGAAAAATAGACGTAAAGAAATTAGAAATTTGAAAAGAAATTAAAAATAAAACAGCTGGTGACTGATGGTGAATTGAGCACACCACAGTTGGCTCCAAAGGGTCCTGTTCTCCCCTACAAATTTGTCGAACTCCCTGAAAATGCTCCACAACCCAATTAATCGGCCTCCCACCCCACAGAATTCACGTAGAATGAAGAATGAAGAAAGATGCAAAGTGCAAAGTATTGTGGCAGATATAAAGCACAAACCGCATCGCGTTTGCTGTGTCTTTTTAAAAACTTCAAATAAATTTTGGAAATAAACTTATTAATAAAAGAAATGGCTGGGTTCGCCTGAATGTCGAGCCGAATGTTCCACACACCTGGAACTTTCCTTACGTTCGACGAGCTCGTCGAGTATCGACTCACTGGTTCGATCTCTAATGCGTTCTAAAATAGGGCTCAATTTTCTCATCTAAAAAGCATAAAGGATGATTAGAATTCCCTTATAATGTAAGTTTATAAGTTTATATAGAATTTGCAAAGATATTCGTCAAAATTACCCAACGATATTGCTAGTTTTCCCCACCTAACTGAAGCGAATTTATATAAATCATTGATTAGATAGATTAAATATACCAGAAAGGGGCAATTTAAGAATCGTATTGAGCAATTTTAAAATTTAAATAAATATAAGCAAATCTAAAAAATATTGCTAAATCCTGCAAAGCCATCTTATTATTAGTTATAAATAAGTATTATACCTATAATTTTAAAATTTTTAATAAATTATAAATAATTTTTATACATTGTTTTGATGTGCCGCTATAATTTATATGATCAGATCCATCGAAACAAAGATCTATCTCAGTAAAACAAGAATCTAGATGCAGACTATGTAAAAAGATCCCAGAAACAGTCCAATACATAGTGGCAGGATATAAAATGCAGGCAGGAACAACATATATTGAAAGGCATAACCAAGTAAATGGCATTATCTACGGAAATATCTACTTGGTATATGTCTTAGATCCTCCAAAATTAAATGGAAGATTCCTCAAAGATCATGGAGAACAATAAGACGAAGATCCTGGGAGTTCCACATCCAAATTGACAGACAGTACTGGCCAATCAACCAGACATCCTGGTAATAAATATATCAGAAATCAGCATTAAATACAGAAAAACAACATTACCAAGCGACATGAACATCAGAAAGAAGGAATATGAGAAGTTAGAAAAATACCAAGGGCTGAAAGAGGAACTAGAGAAGATGTGGAAAATGAAATAAAGGAATTAACCAGTGATAACCCTAACCCTAAACTCTAAACTAGAAAAGTGACTTCAGCATATTCCAAAAGCAATATCAGAGATCTCTATCCAGACGAGCGCTATTAGAGACAACTAAGATAAAATACAAATGCCTCAATCTACCAGGCCTCTGCTAATAACACCATGGTACGAAATACTCGAGGTTGAGGATAGTCTGACCACCCACAGAAGAGAAAAATTTTTTTTAACTTTTCGAATGAAAATTCCATACATTTTTGATATTTCAAAAAAACTTCTGAGCAGATCTTTAAAATTTCTATATTTATTTTTATTAATTTTTATTAATTTTTATTTGAACTCATATGTACACTAAATGAGTTGGTTGAAATCGAAATATTTTAGAGGTTAAAACAGGTAGATAAAAAAACTACAAAAACGATAAAAAAAACCAAAAAATCCGTTGATTTAGCGTTCGAAACTTATGTTTATCATAAATAATATGCAAAATACAATTATTTGCCTTTGAAGGCTTATATATGTTTATCATCTTAGCAGGATGGTCGAGTGGTACGTCATTGGGCTGGAAATCAAGTATCACAATTTTCATTCCTTATTTGATTAGACGTTGTCGTTACAGATGAAATCCAGGTGGTGATTATCCGTTATTTCTCATCTCTGCACTCATTTTGAACAGCCAAATTGAAATGACATATGACTTTAGAAATAAATTTATCATTTACACCAGCAGTTCTCGATTTCTTATTCCGTGATCCACATTTTTTCAAATTTTTTTCTACAGCTCCCGGGAAACATTCTATGATGTTTAGAACCACCACTGATTTACAGCAATCTCAGGCCGGCTGATAAAAATTATTAAAGTAATTAGCAACTACTTAAGTTAATTACTTAAGTTTGAAATATAAGCGAGGAGTTTTCCAGATTTTACAATTAAATCTTCTCCAGAGACCTGAAATTTTCTAAGTTGAGATTTTCATCATTCATTCGTGAATATTTACCATTATTTATTCAATATTTTATTAAACCATGTTGTATAATATGATAACATTATAGCACAAAATCACCAATCAGAACGTCAATTTCCCGATGATTAAAAAATCATCAGTCGATATTAAAATGATTACTGATTAAAATCATCTGTGGTTTTTTCATTACCTGTACACTTGTACACTTTTAATTCCAAGTTAACTCTCCCTAAAGAATGAGCCAATGAAACAATCCAAAATGTGGTGGTGGGGAGAAATAGTGATTGCTGCTAGAAGAAGAGCTTAACACTTTCGCGTACGTATTGCTAAAATTTTTCGGAAATATTTTAAAAAGCTGCTTAAATAATGAGTGAATCAAAATATTGCTATTCACAGGTGTCACCTACTTTGAGGTAGTCTTCCTTAGTGAAAGCGCAAAGAAATGGTATAAGCGAATAAATGAGAGGATATTTTTTAAGTGAGCGATTCAGTATCCACCGAAGTTCATCATTCATTGCAGGATTTTTTACGAACTTTGTTCGATTTTTTTGAAATATCACTGAATATTGAATTTGTTTTTCGATTGGTTTTTGATTGGCTTATTACTGTTGAGAATTAGAATTCTCAAAATGACAATCTCGCGTGGCATTTAATCCCAGAATCAGGTTCATCATTATCATCCCAATACTAGTTCTAATGCAATCAGATAATCAGCTGAAAAAAGTGCACACACATATACCATTATTCTGCTACATTTCGATCCGCTCTACTCGATAGGTTAACAATTTTATTTGTATAAAAGCGCGAATTAACTCTATCATATTATTTTTAGTCGATCCGAGCCATATTCTCTCTCCCTATTGGCTGTCGTTCGGGGTGGGTTGTTTAGTTGGTCATGATGAATTTAGCCGATACTGAGGTTCGATTCCCCGCAGGAGTAAACCTGTACAAAAATCCGAGTGATGCTGGCGACTCACCAAGTCTGGCGATACTGTGCAAATTCCTCACTCGTTGCATTCATTCAAGTTGTTATTTAGAAAAAATGTCAGCAATTAGATAAAATAATGTCGAAACCTATCGAACGTATAAAATATGAAAAGTTATCACAGTTTATTCCGAAACTATAGAAAGTCTTTATTTACAACATAATTATGTTGAAATATCGAGTATAAATTCGAAGTAAAAAATTTTTATAAAATTTTATTTATGCGAATTGTCAATATTTGTTGCGAAATCTGATCTAAGATGCCGTTATACTTATTGTATTGTATTTGAGATCCAAAAAAATACTCATTTTTTAAAATTTATCATATCTGCTAGAATTGCCACATTTATAATTAGTAAGCGCTAACGTGTGGCAGACGGTCAAATATAATAAAAGCTATTCGACATTTGAGGAGCATTAACGCATTTTTTCCTTTATTTGCTATGATTTTCGTGCAAATAATCTTCGATAGGTACGTTTTATGTTTGATATGATTGCATAAATAATGATATTTTCCTTCCCAAAATCGTTTTAGTGCCAACTATTATTAATTTCTATGAATTTTATTTAAAAAATATTTTATGATTTTTGTGAACATTTGTGCCTCGTTTTTTGAAAGCTTTCGCTTTTCTCAAAAAGTTGCTTTAATTATTTATAAAAGTTATAAAATTATAGAATGAGAAAAATGTCGCATTCTTCCTTTTTTTTTCCAGTTCTCACCATTACTAGTGATTTGGCCGACTCTACTGACGACTGTGGTAAACCTCCCAGTCTTATGCCATGCTTGAAATTAAACCTTTTTCGCATTCATTATATGCTTGCAAGCAAAGTGTTAGTTAATTCTGAAGGTAAAGACGAAATGGGCTTCTTATTTGGAATGTAAAATATAAAGGAAAAGTGCAAAAGCATACAAAAAAACTTTCATAAACCCACTAATTTTGTTAAAAATCATTTTTCTTGGCTTTCTACAATCAATTTTCAATGTCAATGGGCAGGAAATGTGTTTTGCGAAAAAGTTCAGTGTTTTACAATTTTCATTAACAAATTAAAACAATTTATGCATAACGAGACCAACTTTGTTAACTGCTACATTTATTTTTTTCATTCATTTTGATTATGGTTGCCTTATTGTTATGGTTTTCTAGAGCATTCATCATTTTGGCTATTAGAACGATTTCGAAGTAAGTGAAACAAAGAATATTTATATTTTTAATTAAAATATTTATTGATATATAGCAATGTAAATATGGAAAAATATTTAATTCAAACTATCTCTGATGATTCTTTTAAAAATAGGCTCTGAAGGATTTTAATTTGCGTGAAAATTCTTTAGTCAGTAAGTAAGCGAAATAAGTGGTCAGAGTTCACCATTTCTGCTTAGTTTAGATCTGCTGGGCTATTGGTATGGAAATGAGTCACTTCACTAAAAGTTTTTCACTAGTACCACATCATTTTTGAGAACTATACGAGTCGATGTGGCTCGCAGTAATAGAAGAAAATAAAAATTTAATAAAATAGAAAATAAAATAGAAAAATTTATGGATGCAAATAATGCAATAAAAGAAGATTGTTAAAGAAATTTTAGCTGACAAAAGCAATAAACTGAGTTTGGCGCTTTTGTTGACGAAAATTTTTATATTGTCAAATGTTGGCGAAATGACTTTTTACTTACGAAGATTAGTGTAGATTGAGTTTTTGTCGGGATTGTAACATACAATAAAAGTTCATCGGTTTTGCTAATGTTTCGCTTTTTATTTCTATTTTTTCAACTTTGGTACTTATGAGTAAACTTAGCAATCATAGAATCGATAAGCTGATTCATGATAAGGAAAGTCTGCGAAGTATGCTTGGGAACCATTTTTTTTCACAGTTCATATGCTACCCACAATTCCAATTTCTATTTCCTTACTAAACAATTTAGGAATATTTTTTATATAGGTGAAGAATTCCGTTTCACAAGTCTTTAAGTAATTTTCAACATGCTATTTTTTCCTCCAGCACTTATCATTTTTAATTTGGTTCGCTCCAGTTATTTCTTTTACAATGGAGTTAAAAGTGGTTGAACAAATCTTACCGATTTCATTCCAAAATTGGTAATCATTTGATAATTTCGTATTATTGGATTGGAAAATTAATGCGAATATCCGAGTTGCCTCATTATAAAGCAATTTTTTTGCACGGTGATTAACATGATAACATATAAATTGCTAATCAAATTTTTTCAGTTTTTTTAAATCAAGGTTTTATTCCGATTTGTATCAATTTATTTGCACAACGTCCATCTAATTTTAAATGAAAATATTTCAGAGCTATTGTCCATAATATTAGGTTCTCCAAATAGATTGGTCAGTTTAGCGAGGCGTATTTTTTCTTTCTAAAGGGATTTCAAGGCAATATACTAGAAAATTTCCCAGATCCTTCTCTTTTTTCCACTTTCTTTTCTTTCAAGCGTTTTTTCAAAAGAGATCTGCCATTATTGTATTTTATATTGTATTGTATATTTTCTCATCATCTAGAATTATAGTTCGAAAACGATATTTTAATCTAATGAAAGATAAAAATTGAAATAAATCGAAATTATAGAAAAAAGCCATTGCTAATAGTTTCAGTAATTGTTTTTCTTCATGAATTTCGCTTGATTTTTAATTGCTATTTTCAATTAATATCTGAAATAATTTTTTCAAGTGTAAATATTTTCATCGCTCAAATCCTGTTTAATCAACATGGATCACTGTAAAACTTTAAAATGCAACTGAAATTTTTCCATTATTTTTAAACACAAATTATGCGAATTCAACAAATTTCAGATAGTTTAAATGATAACTTATCTGGTTTGTAACCTTCTTCTCGCTATTATATTGGTCAATTCATGTGGAAGTTGGTTTTTAAAAAAACTCATTCTTTGAATTAATTGGCTTAATTTATACCAATGAAGAAAAGATATCGTGATAAACTGAAAAACCATTAGAAATTATATTTACTCGTCGAACATCGAGTGATAGCTGAGATAAAATTTGAATCTCGATTATGTAGATTTGAACCTTACCAAATTTTAAAAAAATCCAGATGATTCCAGGGACTCATTTCTTTATCTTTAAGTAATTTTCTGGTAAAAATTACCAATAGCCGGTGAAGCGAGCCTAATTAAAACTTGTACTATCGCCCATCGCCATTCATTCTTTAAATAGAACTCGAAAAATTATTTTTTTTGTGGCTTTTTGTGGTTTCAGTTTTACCGCAAAATTTGTTTGTTGGTAGCTCAACATTTGATCTTCATCTTGGTACAAAATGCGTCGGTGGCAAAATCTATGAAATTCGTGATCTTGCGGTAAATTTTTTTGATTGTTAAATATTGCATTTTTTAACCTTTTAAATCTTGTGATGGATTTATATTTTTGTGTTTAGTTTTATATTTTTTCAGGATATGGGGCAGTGCACGAGTGTCTGCCTTGAATTTTTAAGTCAAGGAAAGACCTGTTTTGCTATAAATTTTTTCCGGCTTATCTCGCCTCAGGGAGTGGAGTTCATGTGCGAACTCCTGGGAACTTTAGTTGGAGTGGAACCAGCTGACGGGGCAGCATGTTATATATTACGATATGATTATTATTGAACTATGATCACTGCCTACTTTTTTATATAAAATTTCTTGAATTTCTTAGTTTCTCAATTTTTCAGCCATAATTTTTTGATGATATTTCAAAATTTCTATTCTATTTGAATTTCTATTTGAATTTCTATTTCTATTTCTATTTCTATTTGACGAGGTAAGTGAATGTATTCATTTCGGATCAAAGCTATGAGACTGAGAGCTATTTAAGTTAAATTATATTTTATCGTTCATGGTCTGGGATTTTACAAGGATTCTTTGCCTTTGCATGGCATTGTTCTTTTTTCTTATTATTGCTAATCCATAAATTCTTATAGAATTTCATTGCATCTGGAAAATAATCGTTTTTAGGTAACTTGCGTTAATCTTCCAGGAAAGATTTAATAAATACTGATATATTTTATTTTATGTTTATTATATATATTTTATATTTAACATTTTACGGAGTGGAAAAAATATTTTTTAATTATTAAGGCACAGTATGCCCGATATTACAAATAAATATGCAGTGCCATCGTCATTTATTGGGTAAATGTCGCTATCAACATCAGTTGATAACAGTCACACTTAACAATCAGAAAAATTATCAAAAATTATCGTCGACAAAATTATTTAATTGAAATAGAGAAATTTTTATAATTATAATTGAATTATATAATTTTTGCAATTAAATGTTAAAAACAATTTTGATATTTGCTAGCGACAAATGTGCTCAAGAAAACTTATTAGCTTGAAAAAGTTCCTCACAGTAAAAGAAGTAAAAACTACCTTTTTTCAACTATTAGTGTAATTCCTCTTTCTCTAATTTTCGGTTTGGCTGGTTATTATGACAACGGATATTTCTGAGCAAGAAACTTGCTTGCAGGCAGAAAAAGTATTCCTAGCAACGCTTGGACCTATCACTCTTATTTAATGCGATCAGTTTGCCAAGATTTTTTTCTTTCCACCGTAATTTTCCGTTCCCAATTTAGTTTTTTAGTTTTGCCTTAAGCACTGCAAAAAGTACAAAGCAAATCACATCAATAGCCCATCAATATATACTAAACCGCTAAAAACTTTTACAATCAAAATGAATTGGTTGTTTCCAAAATTATTCACCAAAACTAGATTTTTTCAGAAGTTTAATAGGATTGCTTTTGTTAGTGATAGTAAAAATGTTTATAAAACAATATTAAATATTTACTTTCTAAAGAAAGCTTTTGTTACCTCAAAGTTTTTAAAGTTTTATATTCGTTATCGACCTATCCGAAGAAAATAAAGCAGCAAACATGCAAATAATCACATTTCTCATCTGGTGCTTGATTTTTTATTTAATACAATACTGGAACGGAGACTATTAGGAATATCAGAAAAAGCCAATGAATGATAAAACAATCAATTATGCCTATGAATTTGTTAATGAGGCCAGTAAGTGAATAAATCTAGTTACTGGCTCATTTAATTTAATCCGTTATCTTTTTATAAACAACAAATAAATGTCCTTGGAGGCAGAAAAAATTTGCATAAAAAATTCTTGTTGAAAGTGTTTCATTTTCTTATTGTTAATTCAAATTAAAATTCAGCAAATGAGATGAGATAAATCAAATCTGTGAAGTTTGGAAAATTATGTGCTTAAATGATTTCATTTTTTTTGAATAAAGTGAGTAATCATAAATGAATAAATTTTAGACATTAGTAAAAGCTTATTTGTGAGGCACAGCGATACATGCGCTTAGAGGGTGAAACAAGAATGGCTTTTTCTTTGCAGATATGGCAGTAGATCGAGAAAAAGCGAACTGCTGAAAGAATGAAACAAAATTGGGACATGAGATTGGGAAATTGGGAAATTGGGACAAAATTGAGGTACTGCAGTTTTTACTCAAATTTGTCGAACGGATGATTTTTACACGAAAAAGATATTTAATAAGAAAAAAGTTACAAGCTTCGAAGAGGAAATTTAGTAAAGACTTTCGTCATTTTAATCTGCAACAATTCTTATATCTAGACTATGCATAAGAAAAATTTCACTTCAGTAGCTAAACCTCGAATGATGAATATATTAGAAACCAGAAAAGAAAAAAAAACTGCCTTTTCTATTGAAAAAAACCTTCAACGTAACGATACTGGGCTTGAGGACGCGTTGTGTTGGAAGATAGGGGCTTTTGGTATAGTGATGTATAAGGAGGATTTTGTTGTATAATTATTATTGATTATTATTAAGCATCATTTTAAGTTTGAGGATGTGATAACTGCCATAAATATTGCCATAAATATTCACCCTGGGCACAATTAGAAGTAAAGTCTCACGTTCCCCCAAAAAGATTACTAGCGAATTAATGGAGAAATTAAAATGATAGGATTTTTTCCCATCCGCTATTTTACAAGAACATTCACATGAGATGAGATGAGATTTGCAGCATTTTTTGATATTGTTTCATTTTCTTCTTCTTCATTGGTTGAGTGAAATTTGAATAAATGTCAATATTAATTTTTTTTGCCAATTCTATTAATAAATCAATATAAATAAAGCGATAAAATATGTGAAGGATGGTCGAAAGCTGTTGAACGCAAAAAACCTAATTTTCAGTAACATCTCAAAGGCAAATCTTACAATATATCCATCTTCGACAATAATGCCCCGTTTCATCAATTCTATTGTGTAGAAATAATTTTACACATTTGCATGAAACCGCGTCGGCAATTTATTGGCTGTTGGCTTGTGTAATCATTTACAATCGGAAACAAGCTATCTCCAGCGTTAATGAAAAAAAGTAAGCAAATTTTCTTCGAGGCAAAAATGAATATAACAACTTATCTTGCTTATGACTGCATTAACAAAACTGAATATTTGTTTCATTAACAAATTTCAAAATTGCATTCATTTCATTAACAAAATTGAATATTTATTTTTCGAAGTTGTCGTGTTAAAATTTTTAAAAGCCTCAAGGAGACTGAGTACATTTATTTCTTCCAGCTGTAATAGATTACTTTTAAATTGTGGAAAAACAATGGAAGTCTTCTAGGAGATTATTCGATTTATAAAAAGTCATTCAGATACTTCTTGAACTCTTTTTTAGATTTTTCTAAATTTTTACAAAATTTCACTGTTTCAATCATCAAATCAAACACCACTAAATAAGCATTAAATGATTTTGCAATAAATTTGAAAATAAAATTTTCTTTTTTAATAAATTCTGAAAAATAATATGGAATAATCAAGAAATGTATCGAATTTTAAGAAATCGTTTTTCCAAAACCAAAAAAAATTTCAAAAATTTTCTATTAGAAGAAATCCGCTTGCTTTGTCCGATTTTTGGCATTTAAAAAAGCATCAATTCACGAATATTAATATTATCAAAAAATTTTTAAGAGATTATTATTGAACAGAATATTAATATTACATTAGAGACGAATTTTTCTTCTGAGATAACTGATTATTTATTAAATGAAAATGACCAAAAAATAAACTTTCAAACTAAAAAACAGTAGAAAAAATTTCTTTCTCTTATAATAATCATTTTTCCTGCAAATCATTCGGTTAAATGAGTAAAATGTCTTGAAAAAAAAGAGAATCACTCTTCTGTAGAAGGGCAGACGGACGGCTAGCACCATCCGCACTCTCGCTTGCAGGTCTGATCTTCTATCACTTAAAAAGAATAGTATTTATTGTAAAGAACCATATCCCCATATCCTACCAAAGTTACGATTTTATAAATTAAATTTGGCGTGACGTCAAGGCAAAGATCTCCTCACCATTATCACCATTGAGAGTAGGCTGTCGATGTAATATTCATATTCATTGCGAATTGCTTATACGTTAAATATTTGTAAATTTCACCGAGATAAAGGGATATTTCAGGTTTACTAAGCGATAATGACCACCACTTTCATTTTCATCTTCTATTTTGCATTTGTTAAATCATGCGGAGGTTAGTAATTTGACAAAAGAAGATTCAAATTCAAACAGTAAATATGCTCTGCTGCTCTGTTTCTGCTCTGTAAGCATGCGTGCAAACGACAATTCCATTTTTTGAATGAGTATCTGTGAATCTCTAAGAGCTGTGAATCTCCATAATTTCAAAGTCCCTTGGTCAGTTATAAAAGTGAAAAAATGATTTATTAAAAATGAATTTAAATTTAAAAGTGATATAATTTAAAAGTACCATTTAATAGAGAGTATTCAAGTTAAGAAGCCAACTGGTAGCTAACTCTGCATATGTCTAGCATAGACGATTATCTGCAGTAAATATCTCATTTATTTATTATGAACACTTTATCCGACTAGTTTATCTGGTTTGATATGATTTTTTTGATTTTCGAAATTAAAATTATATTAATATTATTATTACATGGGTCCTGCCCTACTTTTGTTGAATGAGTTATTAAAGATTTTCTTATGATTCATTTCAGTATTGCCGAAAACTATAAAAACAAAATATTCACCACTCATGCTTCATGCTTATACACAATGTACAGGAAATGTAATATTTACTGTTGACCATCTTAAGGTTTGTATGGAATTTTATCTTTGCTTCAGATCTTTGTTGTTATTTGTTATTGAACATAAACATATTTATGATATTGTGCTAAATTTTACAGTATCATTATAGAGAATTATAGGAAGCCGGCCATGAAGCTGGTGGATCCAACAACCTTTTTTTCTAAAAGTTCTCACCATTAAATTCGCTCTACTGGCTTGTTGCATTGGGCAATATGCTAGGGAGTCCCTTGGCGATAGAAATACTGGTGAGTCGCCAGAATCACCCGGATTTTTGCAGATTTTCTCCCGCGGGGAATCGAACCTCAGCATCAGCGCTCCAAATTAAGCAACAACTCACTGAGCCATTTTATCCCCTACCAAGACAGTTTTTAAATATATCTATATATAATTTTAAGCCTGCAACCTGCAATTATAATATTATAACATATTGCAATAGTACTGTTGCTTTCGAACTGAATTTTGAAAAATGGGTATTTAGCTACTAATCTTCCCTCTGCAAACTTGTATTTCTTGTATTTCACTGAATAACGAATATATTATATATACTTTAGGGTATTAATATTTGTATTTTCGGAATGGAACTTTGTTGTAGCCTTAATTGAAAAATCTCGACTCATTTAATGATATGAAATTGCTTTACATCCTTATATTTTTGAAGCTCATCATATTAAAAAATCTCCTTTGAACTTTCATTTACTTCATCCACCTAATTTTTCTTAATATCTCATGAAGAGCCATGAAAACTGGAAAAAAGCATGTAAAAAAAGCATGCACTCAGATATTTTTTCTTAAGCATAAGAGTTCGAGCTTGCTTCAAAAAAAACAAAAGTGCTTTAAAAATAATCGAGATTATGCTGACTTATCTATATTTCTATTTATAGCTAATGATTTACTGGCAAAAATTCCTACAGCCAGCTTGATTGAACAATAATACCAATGATCACTATTTGCTCTCTTTCGTTATTTCATTGTCATAATTTGTAGCAAAGTAAAACCTTTTTATCGAAACTCCCTCAGATTCATTTGTAATTCCTTAAAATCCCACGTAACTATTTGTGTTTCCTTAATGCCCTCAGCTGTGGCCAAGTCTAAAAATAACGTAATTCAAATGAACTTTGGGGAAACACAAAGAGTTATGAAAAAACTTTAATTCATTAAAGCTTTCGCTAGTTTGAAATGAAAATTTTATTCATAACGGTTTAGTTTTGATTAGAGTTTACACATTATTCCATAATTATCAGTTTACACATTATTCCATAATTATCAGCTAGCAGTTTCATAAAGTTTTCGTTAAAATTATTACATTCTTCAAATATTTTGGACTTATTGTTTATCGGATGGACAAATTTTTCCATAATTTCAGAGCATTGAGGAATGCACAATAATGTGCGCCAGAATGACAGAACCCTGTGCTATAAACTTTTACCAAATTGCCAAAATTGAATTCAAGTGTGAAATTTTAACAACTGTTTGCTGCAAACGAAGGCATCCGAATGCAGCATGCTACGTGCCAACGACCAATATTTGCAGTACGCTCCCTTCCTAGTCGTATAAAAATTTATATAACTAATAGGCATCTCAATTATTTTCTGATTTTTAGGAATGAAGATTAAAATTTTTAGTTGCATTTTGCATGAAATCGACCTTCTTTTTTAAAATTTAAATTTAAGATTTAAATAAAAGCAAATATTTCTAAATATTTCATTTTCAAGCCACAAAAAATTCTTTAAAATTGAATTATACAGTGAAAAATGGCAGTGAATTTAATTTTGAAGAAATATTTGTCTCTTGTTAGCTATTAAAATGAGGTCTTTTAGCCTAAGAGAGATGGTAACCAACACCACTGGAACTCTAATGACAATCAAAGAACTATATACATGATGGTCTTGATTTTAGTCGAAGCAGTACGTCAATTTTTTAGTTCTATTTGGATAATATATGGATAATCTCTCTCAAGCAGTTCTTGATGATTTTAAAAATAATCATTCTTTTCATTTTTTTTTCCATTGTATCTTATCAACAAAGACGAGCATCAATTTATGGAACAGAATTACATTAAAATGAATTTTAGTCCAAAATTTGTTTTTGCACGAATTTTCCTTTATCGTATATCTTCTTTTTTCTCGTCATAACAACTTTAGAAAATGGTTGAATAAAACAATTTCGCCGGACATCCAAGCATTTGCTTCATCATATCGTCTAATAGTTTTTAAAAAGTAACCATTCAAAAAAGAAAACACTATTTCGATATCGAATATTCAAGTAAAAAAATAAATGAAAATTCTTGAAACGTCAATGAAAAAGCAATAATCTCAATCGCTATATAATTTTATATTGTTCCATTACTATTGTTCTATACTACTGTTCCATTTTATTGGATGTTGTACTGTTATGTCCAAGCAATTTGCCATCAATAAAATTCATCAAATATAATATGAGTAAACATTTGATTAAGAATCTTTCTAAATCTCGGATGATTTTTTACATATTGTATTTATATCTAATAATTCGCGACCAGCATCGATGTATTTCATATCTTCATCGCACACAAATGGCTTCAGCCGTGTTGATCCAAAATTTGGAGGAGGATGAAGTCCACGGCATAATCGCTAAAAAATCTCTTTTGTCTTTGTTTTTATTCATTTACATTTCAAAGGACCTATTTAGAAGAAAATTATTCTCATTAACGACTAGCACTCATTATCTTTATAATGAGGATTGACTGCAAGGAAAAGATTATTGGAATTTTTCATTCTATGCTTTAAAAATGATTGGTTTGGTGACTTTGCAATAAATCATCACAAGTCAAATTGTAAGAAATTACCTCTTTGAATGTTCCGTGTTCATCTTTGAAAAAGAGATAATAAAGAGAATATAATGGAACTGCAAGCATAGAACAGGAGGATAAAAAAAATCCAAAAGCTTCAGCCCAGGGTGGGAATTCTTCTCCTGTTGGGTATTTTAGTGGAGAATACTTCAAAATACAGAAAAAGAATAATAGCTGAAAATTTAAAAATTTAAATGGATAAGATTATTTATTTGGAAATTTCCAAAAATAAAACGCTTACTGCAGTAACGACTGGCGAAATAAATTTCCAGAGAATTTCCCACGAAAAACAAACGCTCACATTTATCATATCTTTTAATGCAGTCCTTACTTTGCCTGCTCCTGTAAATAAGGCAATAAGTTTAACATACTTCGTGCCACTGAAAATTTTTAGGGATCTTAGTAATCTAAACTACATTACCGACCTTGTTATTTTCACATTTTTTTCTATAAACAAATAATAGGTTGGTGGAAGGTGGAAATTAGCCACAAAATTTTAAGGAATATGAATAATTAGTAGACAAAGAGAAATTATCTTAAAAATCGAAACTACTTAAATAACTAAGGAACACTTACAAGGTGGTAATACCCTCAAAAGATTTATTACCAGTGAGAATTGTTGCTCTCATTACGTGATGTTTTTTGCTAGAAAAAAATAGAAAAAAATTAAATTTGTATGCAAAGCATGAATTAAAATTTTTCAGTGAAATATGAATGTAATTGTTCAAAAATTTCTCTTAAAAAAGTAAGAATAAAAATTCACCAAATCCCCAGGCAAGTCCAACAATTTCAAAGAAGACTACAAATAATAGGGCAATTCCACTAGCACCATAAGCGTCAAATAAAGTTAACCAATATGAACCAGCCTTAAATTTTCAGCTTTTATTTTAAAAATAGAATACTTTAAAGTGAACATATTTGCGATGAGATGCTGTAGTGATCTAGTAATTATGGATGCCCTAGTAATTATGGAAAAATCTCGAATCTGTCAAGCAAAGAATGAAGTATTTACAAATTTTATGAAACGACGGCTAGTTCATTGCTTAAATGCGTTCTTTAGGTAAACATGTTTCTAAATGAGATTCAAAGTTACTTTAACTGAACCTTAAATCAAAAAAAATTGGTAAAATGCTTACTGATGATACCATTGGAATGCCGATTATAAAAAATATCATGCAAATGACTGCTAGTGAAATTTGTTTATATTTTCTGATAATGTTTGGAAATACGTCTTCAATCGCTGTGAAAAAGCCTTCCATCATACAAACCTATAAATGTTTGAACCACTGTAAACGACAAAATTCAAATACCAAAAGGAGCTTAAATTTTTAGAACTTATGTATTGTTTAATTGATTTGTTTTTTGGACAAATCAAAAAGCATACTTGGCTGTCGATGCCAAGAATAGTAATCATGAGAAAAAATAAAATTGCCCAGATTTGTTTTAGCGGTAAATTACTGGCCACTTCTGGATAGGCTTGAAATGCAAGTCCGACTCCTGAATGAATAAAAACTGATGAATGAGTTTAGTAAAGGTATTTAAAATCCTCTAAATTCCTAATATATCTTTCTATGATCACCAGAAATATAAACTTTGACGAGTTAGGCATGCGCATTTATCAGTATGAGGATGATCTTCAAAATATGCTATTTTTGTGAGCCAGCAAGTAATTATTAAATTAAATAATAACCAAAATAATTGGGTTATGGAGAAAAGATATCTATATCAACATTATTATATTATTTATTTTAGAAGCTTACTTTAACTTACCAAATTTTACTTTAGCCAACTTATTAGCATCGCTAATCCTTCAACCACCCTAGCTTAAAATCCAATTTACCTGGTTTCACTATTTCGGCGATATTTTTATCTGCAGTTGTTGACATATATCCAAGAATAGAAAAAACTACAAAACCTAAACGAATCATTCTTCAATGCATTTAATTAAAGACTGATAAGACCAAAAAAATTTTTTAGCAATTATATGAAGTTATTACCAAAATTCATCCATGAAAAAAACAGCAAATACGAAAAATTTTGATTAATGATTCACTGATTATGAACAGTTGTAGGAAACTGCTGGATGAATATGTTACTAACCAATTTATAGGTTCGAGAGTATTAAGGCATCTCGCCCATCATTTTTATAATTTTTGATTCTAACAAATTTTGTGTCCTCGAGAAAAACGATTGAAATATGACATACCGGCAAAAATACTGGTTGATCCATTAATAATACACATAATAAATGCATCTCTGAAATTTCTCATTCACTTCAATCTTCACTTTTGCCCATATTTTATTGAAAAATAATGATAAATGATAAATGATAAAATAATTATTCATAAAGCCTGAAAAAAACATGAGAAAATTTAATTTTATGAGTACCTATAACAATTATGATTCCTTTTATTGTGTGAACCGAGTGCAATCAATGTACCAAATCCAACTCCATATGAATAGAAGACCTAAATGCGAACTTTACTAGTTAAAACAGAAGGATGGTACCTGATGATTTTATCTCAGTAAATTTTAAGACTATTTAAATTCGAAATACGATATTACAATATCTTAAAAACTAGGACTTATAAAAAGAAATTTTAGAAATTTAGCCAATATCAACCAACCTGAGTGCCTGCATCTTTCCAAACTGTGGTTTGATATAGCTTAGTGATATTTGGTGTAAGATAAAAAGATATTCCTGTCATTGCGCCAGGTAAGCTTATACCACGAATGAATAGAATAAATAATAATAAATAAGGTGATAGAGCACAAAAATAAACAAACTAAAATTTTACTATATTAAATTCTGCATCATTTTTTCAGAATACCAAAAAGTTTATCAGCCATTTCAGATTTCAGTCATTTTCAGCTATTTACAAAATTATATTTGAAGTTTACTGTTTATATTTTAAGTCTACCGTATAGTGAAAAAAATCAGAGAAGCAGGTGGTTGCCACAAAAATAAGATAGGGTTCACTATTTAAACCATCTTTTTTCCACTTCATCTAGAAAATGAATGTTTTTTTTTTTGTAAGTCTGGAAAGCCATGTCAAATTTTTACTTTTCGTGCTTGCGTTATCCCCTTTCGCAATGCGAAATACACAATGAGCCAAGTTATAACCATTAATCCAAATAATTCCCATCGTATTACACCAAATTCGTGTATAGAGCCGGATTGTTGGAGTGCTCTTCTTCTGAAACATTTTTTCCATATTTTGATAATTGATGAATAAATAATGATAATGATGATGACGAACTTTTCGTTCTAAGCAAAACAACTTTTTTTCTATTATTTAAAGCCAAATTACTCCCAAAATTGTTCAACGCTCGTTTCTGTTGATTGATTATAATGCGACAAATTATTCTTGATTGTACTTAATATTGAAGAGTTTTCGCGGCCAGTAATGCATAAATGGTTATTCCTGAAATTTCAAAGATTCTAGATTATGAAATTGTAATATCAACGGATCAAAATTCTGTAAATATTTTTTTGAACCACTGATTCATTTCTTTCGGATTTTTCTGATTTTATTTCTATTCCAGATTCATAAGGAGTATGCCATCACATTCATATCAAACACTGGAAAAAGCAGTACTGACTTTCGATAAAACAACTTACCACCAATTATCACAAGTTTCCCATGGAAAAGTCGAGCTAAACGAGTTGATCATATAAAAAATGGACCAACTGGATATGACACAGAAGTACGATATGCACATAAATGATATTACTATATTGCCAAGTCCAACACCTGGAACTTCTATATACCCATAGTTGAAATTTGCGATGTTTCCATCAGCTTATAAAATGCGATATGACCAATTCGTTGCATGAAGAACCACAGTAATAAATGAAGTTATGAAAGGGATGTGAGCTATCAAAACTACATCTTCAAGCCGAATTAAAAATTGGCTCATCCATCGTCGGAATTTGAATATGATTAATGAAAAAATCTATCCTGACCTTTAAATATCGGACACATATTCCATATTTCCATCGCTCCAAGTTGTATATATTGGCCAATAGTGACTTCCATAAGGAAAATTGGAACTGCAGCGAGGCAAAAGAATATGAAATAAACCACGAGAAACGAGCCTGAGATCAAATTAGAAAAAGGAATTTGATTTTTTTAAATCTGTGGAAAATAAGTATTTTCTTTTAACATATTGACAACATGTTCTTTTGCTCTATTTGTTATTAATCACTATTTGCGCTGAAAAATACCTAAAAGAGACCACTGCGATGGATGGCATTATTTTGACTGTAAGAAATGAAGCAATATTATAAAAAATAATGTTCAAGGCGATTTATTATTTGTTAAGTACTAAAATCAAAAAAGACTTATCAATCAAACAATCTTTTTGATAGTTTTTGACGAAAAAAAAGGAAATTAATAAATAGCAGAAATGAATGGTATTTTATCAAGCGAATGATCAACAAGAAACTACTCGATACTATTCGCATGAAGAAAAATTCAGAAATTATCATAATTACAGCCTTATCATTAAGCTCTACCAAACAAAGGAGAATCAAAATGTTACAAAATGATCCCAAATATTTGAAGGCTAATTGATTATGCATATTAGCATTCTTCTGATATCAATTTTGGTATCAATTTTGGTTTGCCTTGCTCTTCTGACGACGAAACTTTTCCGACACTTCGGAATAGAAATGCAAATGAGTTTCATGCACTACTCGGGATGATCTTGTTATTACTAATTAAATCTCTATTTAAGTTGAAAAAAGCCAACCTCCTCCATTTTTGAAACAAAGATATGGAAATCGCCATACGTTTCCTGAAAATGGAACATTATTAGAATTGCAACTCCATAAATAAATATAATTTAAATTGATTTCAAAATAATTATAATTTAAATTGATAAATATCAATCATCGATAGTTCAGAAGAGTTCGCAATAAAAGTATTTCCCCGATAAATTTGTCCAATGCGTTGAAAATGGCAGTTAATGGCAGTTAATGGCAGTTTTACATAAACTTCTTTCAAATCATAGCAGTCATAATATCATAGCTTGAATAAGTTTTCTGCCATAAATTTTACTTTTGGCAGTCAAAAGAAATTATCATAAATGACTTATATTTGAGAATTGTTAAGTTTAAAGATTGTCAACGAACGAATTAGGTTGTGCTAACGTTGAAATTAGGTTTCGCAGAGCCAATTATTAAGCGAAATTTGAACGAACCTAATCCAACTGCATATGCGACTAAGGACATTATGAAATCAAGTGGTCCAGTCCATTGACCGCGATGGAGTGCCTCTGGGGCGAAGATCGAACTTTTTCGTTTTTTTCTTTCAGTAGTATGAAATGGTTTATTAACTTGTTTATTCATGAATTCATCTGAATTCAACTCGTTCTTGCCATAATCGTCCAATGGTTGCGTCATATCGTCCATTTAAAAAAAAAATTTTTATAGTCATATGATACTCATATCGTATGTTATATACAATTACTGATTATAATAACTGTTAAAAATTGGAATTAAAGGTATTAGTGAAAGGGTCGGAAATGGGGAAGGAGGGGGGGGAGGACATAATCATGGCCAAATTAAAATAATAGAGAATAAAAATAGTGATAAAATCGTTCAACTGTGTTGATCAATCGATATTTCAGGTAGCGAGTTTGAAAATGTTCAAATTTTTTTAATTTGTTGATGCTTTTTTTGATACTTAAGCCAAAAATTTCCCAAATGCATCTTTTAAATATCGCAAAATATTTTATGGAGATAGAAGTGAATCGCCAGCGCAGCCCGAGTTTCGCTCATAAGGACAAACTCACTTCTTTCAAGTGATAAGAATCGAATCTAAGATTATTTGATTTTAATCGAAACTCTCGACCATATTTACCAAAAAAGGAAAGAAAGAGTTAAGAAAAGAATTTACTGAATGGTTGAAATAATCTTTTCTGAATGCAAAAATAATTAAAGATTAGCAATTGATAATAATTCCATACAGTCGATGCATAAAAATAGATAATTATAGGGAAAAATAAAAGATAGGATTTTTTATTATTCTACTATCATTTTTCTGGCAATTAACCGAGTCCTTCAGTAATCGTTTCACAAAAAACCGAACTCTTCTTCAACTGTAAGTGCTCTTCGAAATGACATTAGCAAATATACTTATATTACTATTGCTTGACTAAGATGTCTTCATGAAATTGTCGCAAATGAATTTCGTTTTTTGGCAAAATTCCATACTTGACAGAAAAAATTTAATTGCAGTTAATCAAGCAAAATATAATAAATTTGTTGATTGTAAAGAAAAAATTCATAAAAATAAGTAAATACGAAAGAAAAGAAACCATTCGATGTACCTGATCAATTAGAATTCAAAAAAACGACAATTTTGAACAAAAGTTTGGTTACATTGCGAACGAAATGCAAATGCAAATGCAAACGAAATATATAGTCTCTTATCAACTTCTTTTAGATTATTCAAAAGAATACGAAAAGATAGGCGAATGAATAGTGGTTCTAATTATCATATTACATGGCAAGCGCTTAATTCCTACTTCCGACTGAAGTAAATCTATCATCAAAAATTTAATTACAGTTATTCAAGCAAAATATAATAAATTTGTTGACTGTAAAGAAAAAATCCATAAAAATAAAATAATCCATAAAATCCACAAAAATCCGGATGGGCCTGACAAGCTATCTATTCTTCTATGGCCACTGATCCATTCACTGGCTTTTTTAACATTTTGGAAATTTTATGATCATTAGTTGCAGGTTTCGGCTCGGTCAGACTAAACTTAAAAAGTCATTTTAAATAAATATTTCTATGATTCTTTACACATTTTACTATCAAACAACTGCTTGAAGAGCAATTCTATATCCATGGTCTGCATTTTTCAATTCCTCGTTACAAAAGATACAACTTTATTAGCATTAAACAAAAACTGAGGAATTGAGAAATTTCATTATTCCATGCTATAAAATGAAAATTTTGGCAGCAACTTATCATTTTATCATTTTTCCTTATTTCTTGTGCTTCAATGTGCGGATGTTGAAGTCGTGCTTCCTGCAGAAGTAGACTTGATCCAAGAATTCGGGTTATGCTGGCGACTTACTTCTATTTCTGTGGCCAAAGGATTCTCGTGGCATATTTGTCCAGTGCGACAAGCCAGCAGAACGAGTCTAATCAGTAATGGTGAGGGAAAAAAAGAACTTTTTGAGCTTAGAAATTCCTTGAGTTCCAAGTCAGGATATAAAAAAATAATTCTATTTCGAGGAGGAATTCTTAATTTTAATTTTCTAATTCTTTACTTATCCTACCTTTCTTTTCTTCCTTATCATCATTCTTCATTGGCTGCATGGGTCTAAAAAAATGTTATTTTTTTGGTTTTTCGCAGAATTTATTGTTTTTTATCAACACAGTCTACGAAAAATCAGTTATCCATCATTTGGTGCAATAGTAAGATTCGAATTTTAATTCTCAAAAATCTGGAAAATAATTGAGAAAGAGATAAATTTAAATTACAGGGTGCTTATTGAACCTAATACAGAAGCGTAGGTCGTCGAATAGAGAGTATACAGTACTTTAAATGCATTTGGAAAAGTCATGAAGTAAAAGTTATTTGTCCAATACGAGTACAAATATATATTATACAATGAGATAATTTGTACGGTGGGAATAATATTACACAATGTAATTATAATTTTTCAACAAACTCAAGTTTCATTATCTCAATTCTCATTTTCTCATTCATTTAATCATAAATAAAAATTTTCGAAACAATTTAATTTTATGCATAAATAAATCAACGAAGATGATAGAGGAGATCCATTCTCAGACCAAATGGCCAAGCGAAAGAGAAAATTGCAACCCGATTACCTGCAGCTAAAAAACGTTCTTTCGTTTAGCAAAATTCCTCTATGGATTAGCCGCGCAATCACCATCAGAACGAAAATTCGCATTTATATGGCGCAGCACAGCTCTTATTATATAGTATGAAATGACTAATGAAGATTTTAAGGAACTATCTACCTTTGATTATCCATGATTAAGGCATAAAGATGTCATAGATCGAGCGAATAAAATCTTATATCAATAAATCGACCTTCGCACAAATGCTATCTGCTTTCAAAAAATATAGTGCGTACTCTATGTTGCCACAGTCACCCATCCCACCCATCGCAGGAATGGATGTATATCTCGTTATTTACTAAATTCTGATGGATGGTGTCGAAAGGAAGGACCTAGAATGACAAAATCGGAAGAGGTTTTGAATGTTCAGATGATTCAGCGATATACACATTTAGATTGTGTGGAAAAAGGAGTGGTTTCTTTTAACCTTAAACATGGCAAAAAATCGAGCTTTATTGGGAATGCCTTACTCTTATAATCAGCGGAATTAGCCTAACCAGTAATGGTGTGAGCCTTTGGAAGAAATAGAAATAGAATAAAGACACAATAGTTAAAAAAGATGATGGAGAAATATTTCTGGATACAACAGCTGAGAAATAATGCTAAGAAAATTTAACTGATTTTTTTCCAACTTAATTCATTTTTTTCCAATAAATTTAAAATACCGACAATCTCGATTTTTTATCGAATATTTTTCACCAGTTCGCTTTCTTTTTTTTTACAGAATAGTGAATCTGTCAAAATTTTCAACGAAAAATAGTAAAAAATTCATCGATTCAATCAGATTTTATTTTATGAGAGAACTAGTTATTTATGAATTAAAATAAACGCTACGAATCGAATAATTTTTAAATTTTCATTATTCGCAAAGTCTGGTTCTTTTTTAATTTATGAATTGATCATTTAAGAAATTCTCAAAATCGCGAAGTATAAATGATGTTTGTCAAATATCAAACAAACTTCAAAATAAAAAGTTTTTTATATCGATTGTGCATTTTAAATGCAGGAAATGGTCTCCAGGTTGCATTTTTTCTTAATTATGACAATTAGCAATTATGAGAAAGTGCCAGAGTTCATTTTTTTATTATCTTGTATAATGACCTTTTTTAAATTGTGCGTTATCATGCTATCATCAACTATCATAATTTAATCATATTTTTATCGAATCCATGAATTATTTCACTCAATTTCAAATTCTTTTCAAGATATACTGATTTAGTAATTACTCAAGGAATATTCCAGGGATGTTAAATTAAGTATACTTGTTTAATGAAAATATTCATCCACTTTTAATAGCTCTCATAATTTCTTGTTTGGTTCGATTTACGAATTACTAAGGCAAGAGAATTTCGTCAGAAAATCAATTGAGGATAGAAGTACAAGCTTCATAAGCCAAGTAAAGATTCATTGACTGTGACGAAAACGAAATAATGAGTCAGTTCTTTGCGAAACAAGAGATAAGAAAAGTACCGTAAACGAATTTTAATGAACTATGATATTTTGACTGCTTTAATTTCATACTCATAGGAACGAAACTAAAGATTCCGAATCCTTTAAAATTTAATCATAATTAAGTTTAAATCGAGTTAATTTGAATTTACTTAAATTAAATGTTCAAATATAAATTAATAAAAAATTTGTTAACGAAAATGTATTTTGCGTTTCATGGGCGAACTCAAATTAATCTGGATTAGGAAATCAATTATCAGCAAAATAATTACCAATTATCAATAAAACATACTATTGAAAAGCTACTGGAAATGAAGTTTTTATACATAATTTTAAGAATTTTAAAGATAATGATGTGTATAGACAAGTCAAATATGTGTAATTACAAATGCGATATCATCATAAAGGGATAAGAATTAAAAAAAAAGATTTTGAGGACTGAGAAATAGTGTAAATAAAGTGATTTCGTTGGTAATAAAGTGAACTACCACTGTTATGTAATATATTAATGACACTGTCCTCATAAAATCATAAAAATATTCTTTCCTATGTAGCAGTATCGACAGAATGATGAATTTTTTATATTAACATTCTGAGTAAACAAGGGAAAGACTGGTTTTTGGTTGCATAATCAATTTGCAAAATTTATAATTCATAAAATTACCTATATTTTTGAATGAATATGACAGATTATGCCAGTTTTCCATTATGCACAACGAGTGATAAGCAAAAAAATTGAATTATAAAATATTTTTAAAAAATCTGATTGGAAAACAACCCATATTTTAAGCTTTATTTACTTAATGGAAAGGAAAATACTCTTTATATGTGCCTAAAATATCAATTGTGTTAGCAGGAGAAAGTGATCAGTAAAACACCGAGTGTGGTTGGCAATCCACTGGTACTTCTGTTTCTTTTGCTGATTAAAAATTTTTGCAATCACACCCGGTGTTTTACTAGCGCCAACCACTTTCATTGGCATGGCATAGAAAATTTCTTTGAAATTGATCAAACTTTCTCCAAATCTTCTGGCTAATTAAAATACCACCATAAACAATGGCTAAAAATATGGAACAATTCGGGGAAACGCTAACATTAATGCTTAATAACGTAGTTTCAGTGCTACAGTGTTTGAAAAAGGAAAAAGCCGAATGCTTAAGATTTGTATAAAGGAGAGGTGTCCAATCGTTTGGCTTCCTTGTGCCGCATTAAATGGAAAGGAAAAGCGCGTACAAAATATATAACGTGGTTAAGCATATAAAAATTGAAAGAAATAAGGAAAAAACTTTTTATACTTTTTGTCACAAAATTTAAAGAAAAGAAGACAGTGTAAAAGTGATGCTTAGTGGTAAGATGACTGGCACCGACAATCGAAAATGGCACGGGTTCCAATCTGGCCGAATCATATCGCTTCGTTCAATGTTCCCAAATGACGAAAGCATAGCGTAAAGAAATAAATCAGTGGAATATTTCTCAGTTTGGAGCACTAATGGTGAGGTTCTATTCCCGACTGATTAAATCTGTTCTTCAGAGATCCGGGTGATGTTGACGACTCACCTGTATCCCAAATGACTCAGTGACAAAATTTGCATGGTCAGCCAAGTCAGTGGAATGATGAGGCTCTAGAAAAAATTACAAAATTAGAGGGACATTCGATTTTGTTTCTGTGAAATTTTCCTGTAATTGACTAGTTCAATTCAAAGATGCTCATCAAAAATTTTTTTTCTAAGTTTTTTCTTTGTGTTTTCTTTGCATGGTGCTTCGTATCACAGAAAATAATTGCTCAAATCTACGTCCCAGCAAACTGAAAGTGACAGCGCGTGAAGTGGGTGATGTTTTTGTCTGCGAAAATAGGTCTTATAAAAGCGCAGTAAAGAGACGGCGAAGGGGAAATTTTTCGTTGAGATAAATGTCTGCAACTCTACGCATTCGCAAGCAGTGCATTTATGTTGACTGAAATTGGTCTCACAACTATATCAAAGTGTTAATGATAATGATTCTTGAAGGCTGTCAAAATCCTCTATTAAACGAAAAGCAAGCTTGCATATTTCTCGCTATCTATTATTTTTACTTTTATCAAAATGCAGAAATTGTTTGTTATTATTTGATCTTGCCGTAATTTTATTAATAATTTCTCTTTAGCCTTAAAAACGCAAATTAAAAGCGGCCAAGTCCACCAAAAATACTGAATTCCACCATTTACAAGTTCTTTATTTTTCTTTTTGGTTCCATAAATGATTTAATTTCGCAAGTCATAAAATCTTTTCAGATTTTACCCTAATTTAGCCCTTATTTCAGAAAAAATTTTATTATTTTATTTATTATTATTAAATATTTCTATAATCATATTTTTGAGGAACTCTTAGAATTTCTTTTTGTGCTTGCAGGAATTACTGGTTTTCAAGAGCCCTTCAAGTGGGGTAAAAGCTTGGCGCTTATAACTTCTGGTTAGGCTATTCCGTTTGTTGCTAAGTTCGATTAGCAAATTTATATTATAGAGTCAAAGAAAGGCTCATTCAAAACCATTCCAAACAGAACTTCGTTGATTTTCGTCAATTTAATTTCATTTTATAGCGTGGAAAAATTTTTATGAAAGTTTATTTTAATTCATTTAACAAATTTTTACTATGAAGTTAATGATGCGAATTTCATACAACTTTATTGAAAGCAAATAACGCGAGTGCCATTTCAGCAAACGACAGCTTTTATGAATCCGTAGATAATGAATAAATAATGAAATAATGAAAATTTCTGGCATAAAATTGATTAAATACAAGGAAAATTCATTCATTTTTTCATAATATAGAAATTTTAGATGATATTTGCTGAAAACTTGCCGTTTTTTGCAGCAAAGCCTAAGCCAATGTAAGGAGTAAATCAAGAAGTGGGAAAAATTCGTTCTACCTTCATTTTTTTATCGGAATAAGTGATTACTCTTAAGCATTACTCTTTAGTTTTTTCATTTCCATTTTTCAATAATAAGGATTCCTCTTCAAGATTTTCCATACTCAAATTCTAATAATAATTTTATTTCGCTTTTTAGAATATTTCACTTTCGAAATTGTCCAGTCATTTAATGTGGTTCGGAGTTACCTGATTGGGTCATCCTTAGGACACGGCTGTGAAACGAAGACCGTGAAATCCCTTGGCCGTGGTATAAATTATTTCATATTTAGAGTACAAGTGATCATGTCATGTCAGAAATGTTAATCTTTGATAAAAATTCTTTCCTTTTATTGCATTTATTCAAATTCCAACAACATATAACGCAACCATTTGACCGAGAAAAAAGCTCGGATGGCTTTCAGGCATGGCATCGAGCGCCATCGGACTCGGCTTATCCAGTAAAACTGTGAGCTGTTAGAAAAAGAAGGATCACACAAAGGAGGCTTTTATGAATTTTTCATGCAGATAAACCGTATTTTTTAAATAAATTTGATGAATTTTCTTTTTCTCCATATTATCCAAAATCTGAAACCATCTCAAGAAAATTTCACTCTAAATCTCTCTGAACTTGTGATTTCATCATTTCTTATCTTTTACAACATTCACTTTCGGACTTTGCTATTTCTCTTCCTTACTTTTTACTTTTTTTCGCTACCACCTTTCTAATCGAATAGGAATTAGAAAGAAATAAATTCTAATTTTAGCTAAAACTGTTGGCTGGGCTGGGACAAATCTATGCTTGTTGACCAACAATTGTGCAATAATTATATTTATTGGCCACAGCCACAAAATGAAAGAAATTTCTTTGCCAGTTATTATATGTTACAATTCCTAGCTTCAAATTTTGAGGCTCACTCTTACTATTTGTTTAAAAATTAACTTGAGTTGCTTCTTGCAGTAGATAACTAAATTCTAAATCAATAAATCAATCTAATCAAATAAATCAAAACTAATCTATCAAAACTCTATAAATCAAAACTCATTGCCTCCAATGATTCAGCAAAATATATATAAAACTGCAAGAATCGAAATTTATCGAAATAAATCGAAATTTAATAGTAAGAAAGATTCAGACTGATCAATTAAACATTGAACATTTGCATTTGACACTTTTCGTAGTTTACTGCATTAATTAATTTAATCGTAATTTTCGTAATTTATTACGCTTTTACAAAGGAGATAAAGGAGATCTATCAAAGTACTCCATTAGAACTCGCTTATAGCATAAACAAATAATCTATGGCTGTAGAATATGTGCAAAATCATATAAAATATAGCCAAAATCGACTGAACCACCAAAGAAAAGCCCATAGCCTAAAATGAGGAACAAAATATTGTAGCAGGAATAAGAGGAAGAAAATTTGCAACATTATCGATGGAAGCAAATCTGAGAAAACAAACATCAAGGAGAATGTGACCATAAAATGTATAGCAACATTATCGATATAATCAATGATACTGCAATTGCAACCGCCATATGGACAACAAATATACAAATCCGTACGGTTGCGAACTGAAATAAACTGCAACCAACAAATCTATATTGGAAAGATGTTGTTTTCAGCTAAGGATATGCCAATATAAATTCGGTTCATATCTCTCAGCGAAATTAAATCAGTCATTGAAAAAAAACTCGAATGAGTATTGAGGATCCATTTGTATTCTTTCATCCTCAGTGTGCATTGGAGAGATTCTGCTACAACAGTTCGCAGAGATGCATCATGACTAGATTGATAGATGTGTCAATTGAGTATAGGTTATTTTCTTAGTTTAATTAGCAAATGAGCCGTTAAAAAAGGAAATTGAAATGAAATACAAAACCAGAAAACCAAAAAGGGCGCTTTCCAAAGTGTCAAATGAAACCTGAAAATAAACATATGGAAGCTGAGTACAGAAATTTAAAAATTACCGTTGTTCTTCCATAAAGCGATTCAGTTGATGGCCCATTGATTATGTTCAATGCCATATCACTCGATCCTAAAATGCTTTATTTAAATTTTTAGCTTATTTTAAAATTTTACAACTTTCCATTTATTCATAGTTATTTGTTTTTTGTTTGTAGGGAATAGGGGATTTAATAAAAGAAAATAAATATGATCGGCGATGTGATATTGAAAATAGAAATACGTGGGATTAAATAATCCTTACTTAAGTTAATTCAAAGGTGAAAGTGCCTTAACCATCTTCTTCAACCATAAATTCAATTTTGTCATACCTATAATTTTAAATAAGAAATTCATTAAAATCATACCTATTTTATCTATGCGCCGTTCAGAAGTTGCTGCAAGAAATTCTAGCACCACGCAGATTAGAAGGAAAAAGATTATATAAGAAGCTATAATCCAAGTTGGTGTATGACCGAAAACTCGCTGGAGACCAGTTTTCCCCATTGGCACTGATAAAACAATCGTTGTTACTGTAATGAAATCAGCACCTTCGTTAATGTGCTTTTTTTGCTATATGAATAGTTTTTCAAATTAAAATATAATTCAGATCTTTGATTCAATATATCACTGAAAAAATCTATATAATTTGCAAATGAATGCTATACTTGCGAATGACCAAGCAGTCATTCCGATGAACCAGTGTAGCCAGTTAAAGATTGGTCTGAATTTATGATTGGGACCCGGGCGCAAAAGTGCTAGCATCGGTTGAAATAAAGCTAGGGCTGTGGCAGCTATTCCAGTTATTACATGCATCTTCTTACTCCAGTCCTAAAAATATTTTCACGCATTAATTTCCACTTTTTAACTTGCCCAATTGCATTCAAACAGCTAATTTATTGCCGATTTAGAAAAAAACAATGGTTGACTATCACTTTTCTACAACCATCAATATTTCATTACAATACTATTGCTTCACAAAAATTTCATGTAATTTCAATTACATCCGATGTGCATTCATAGGAGCATTCATACAATCGACCCGCTTGATAAATAATTAGAAATACGGCCAAAATTTGAAGAAGAATAGAAAAAATCCAGAAATCTCGGTGCAGCTGAAAATTCTTGAATTGCGACACAGTGGAGATTATTGATGCAGATAAAATGATTTATGATATATAGCTCACATGATTTGAAAAGAAAAAAATTTTCGTCTACAAAATGGAATAATGCAAAATAAGCTTTTTTCTTACCTGAAACCATACCGCCGTGCCCAAAAGTTTTTTTCTCGGCCAAAGTGGTTTGAAAAATCTTGCAAGCAATATAGCAGATGAACCAAGAACAAACCAAGCAAATAACGAAAAAATTCCTGTAATCCAGTAAAATAAATTGCAAATTTATTAATTTATAAGAATTTAAGAATTTAATTTGAGGTTTCTCGCAGGAAATTTATCAAATCTACAGTATTTTAATTTGACATTTATGGAAGAGTGGAAAATCATTTTAAAATGTAAATTGGTAATGGAGGAGATAAAGAAAATCAATTTTCCTGCAAACATGAAAAAATACAGGAAAAAAACAATTTAAACGAGCGGTTAACTGATTTTGCCCACGCTTCTCATTCTTTTAATGGCACTCCCAATTATCAATTAGACTGGCTTCGCTGGTTACAAGAGCAAGACAAACTGTTCGATTCGGAGCCATTCGGCACCTGTAGTAATAGAAGTCATGTCTTTTTCCATCGTCTTAGTCCATATATGGCTGGTCCAACCATATGTTTGAAATCTTTTCTCGATTGGTTCTCCTCGCTTTTGATACCATCCATTATAGGATTTAATAAGTAAGGAAATATGTCAATTTCTGTGATGGGTAACGAAGAATATTCGAAGCGAAGACAACGCTCTATGATGGTACTCATAATGCATGTGATATTTGAGCGAAGATTGATGTAATTTTATACGATTTTATCTGCTTGGCGAACTCTAAAATGTTTCTTAGACATGAATGGTCAAAGGAAAATAATCTCTTGATGTCCTCTATCTCATTTCTCACAGCCATATAGTAAATCAGCTATATAGACAGGGTTTTCCTTCTTTATAGTGATTATTGGCGATTAATGCGGGAACTATTTTTCTTATCTGAAACCACACCGCTGTGCCTAAAAGTTTTTTCTCGGCCAAAGTGTTTTTGCAAGCAGTATAATAGATGATAATAAACAGGCAAATAACGAAAAAATTTGTGCAATTCAATAAAATGGAAATTTGTTAATTTATAAGAATTTTCCAACGAGTCCATAAAGATTTCGCTGACTAGAAAAACGCATTTCTAACTATCGTTATCGGGCGATTTCATCTTTCTCTCATTTAAGATTGGAATGGAGTGTATTTAAAATCTGGCACTTCCTCAGCAGACAATAAATTGAAAAAAATAGGTGGTGTTCAGCTTCTTGCTTATAAGATAAAAATACTCTCGTTTTATTTACATTGTCATGACATTATTTACACTGACTCTGAGTCACTGCAGTTGTTGACTATTGTTTAGCATTATTTGCATTTGTAATAATCATCATAATTGTCAGCGAAAAAGGCTATAATATCAGCGTATTCAAGAACTGTGAAAGATTTGCACATCTCTTAAGTGTCGACAAGCAATGTCCATTATCCATTCTATCGCATAATTGAATATCGTAAGGGAAAGGACGTAACCTTAACGGATACCAGTCCTTACTTTTCATTATTTGTTTTGAAGAAATAGAGATCGGCAAGAAATGGAAATTAGAAAATGAGCATCAAAACAGATCCTTTTGCATCGATATCGAAGCATACCATGAAAATCTATTGTCAGATTTAATAGCTTATGGCTTGCTGGATCCCATTTTTATTTAGATTTTACTAATCATTATTGGATTTCAGACGATGAGGGTGGTTTTTTTACTTATAAGTGCGTTCAACTGCAAAAGTATTGAAGCAAACCGTGAATAACAGCAAATCGATATCTCCAATATCTGCTTACATTACTTTGCTTCATTTCAGCGATAATGAATTTCTCATCCGTACAATTGTATCGACAAAATGAAACTAGTTGCTCGGTAATCCATGGAAACTGTTCTCCATCATTCACCGAGTGCATTTGTTTCTTAAGACCTAAATTTTAAAAATTTCCATTTATTATTTCTTTGGATTCATTGAGTTATATTCGAAAAATTCGAAATTATCTTGCCAATATATTCTATATATTGAAGCATATAAAAATATCTATAGTATTAATGATACTACGAAGTTGTGAATTAATTGTGAATTACAAATAACTAACTTCTTTTATCAGCTATCCCTCTGGCAATCATTAAGTTCCATTTTCTGGATTCCAGATCAAAAACCTTCAACCATACTAATCAAAAAAACCAACTGCAAGTTTTTACAGCAAAAAATTTATATAATATGCAATTTAAAAATAATTAATCTTGCAGTGTGGTAAAAATTATCAAAAGAAAAAAATGTGCGAATTCCCTGTGTTAAATTAGTTAACCAACCTTAACAATTTGAGGAAAATAAATTTGAAAAAATTTTTTATAAAAATGGATAAATTTGAAATATAAAAGTGATAGGCAAGTGGTTTTCCAGCACCATATCTATCCTTATCTCTTTGATAAAAGTATTTTACAAATAAGCCAGCCAAACCGAAATGGTGGAAATAAGTGAAATGGTGAAAGTTTGAAGAAAAAGAAATAAAATTTTTATAAAATTCAGTTTTTATAAAATAAAAGAAACCTTAAATTGGTCCTCTTTATTAACTTTATTTCGCTCGTCAAACAGCCATTTAGCATTGCAGTAAATATGTCCATCTTTAAGAGAAGCTGAGCTTTCTTTTAGCATCATTTCCGTGGCATAAAATTAATTTCAACGACATAAAGGCGACTCATGAAATTCTCCAAAAAATTTCGAAGAAAATCAGTGAAATGAATCTCATTTAAAAAAAGAAAAAGGGGTGAACATCCAGGTCAACACAGTCTAAAAGCAATGGCTCGGCCCTTCTGTGTAAATTGACTATTCACATATTCACATATTTTTCATCATTAACAGTAAATTAATTTCACACTAATAACGGATATGTTGAAGGAAATATTAATAGCATAACTATTTAATTAAAAATATAGATTATACCTGCAACAACTGTTTATTATTTGTTTCGTCGTTAAAAGAAATAAATGACTGCCCTTTTCCATCTGCACTTATTACACATTCCATAACTGAATCGTCCCCCTGAAATACTACAAAGTATGCAGGATGGCTAAAAAGTCGATTCCAGTCGATTTTGGTGCAAATAGGAATTTGAGGATTCCGCGCTATTTCAGCATTGGGCTCTTCTAGAAAGTGGTCTCTGATATTCTTCCTGCAATCCATTGAAACCACTTCTCCAAGTTAGAGGTCACACTCCTGGCACCACTGCTATCACCACTGAGACCAATTTGGCGCTCATTTTCCGCATCTTTAGCTCCTCTTTCAGTCCTTGTTACTTCTTTAATTTCTCATTTTTCTTCTTTCTGATATTCCAGTCACCATTGCTGCTTTCGGGTTATTGTCATTTGCCACAATATCTGGTTGATTGACCGCTATCTACTTGTGTTGTAATTGTTTATCTGAGTGGGGAAGTTGCGCAGAATCTTGGCCTTATTATTTTCCACTATTTCTGAAGAATCTTCCATCTGGTCTTAGAAGAACTTAGCCATATACTGGGTAGATATTTCTGTAGAACTTGCTTGTCTATTTGCGATAGAAATACAAGTAAGTCGTCAGTATCTCTGGATATATAAATATAAATATATATATATTTATATATATATATATATATATATATATATATATATATATATATATATATAAAATGATATCGAAATCAGGCGGAAGTTTTTAGACACTCCATAAATCATAGGATAATGCATTTTTTCGCTTATTTAAGCATAATATAATTGATTTTTTCGGTTTCCAGAATGCTTACATTCTGTAATTTGAATGATAAGATGGCCTCACATAATTAAGGGTAACAGTTTAAACTAGATTTAATTAATTAATTGAATTAATTCATATGCATAATTCATAGAATCGAAAATAGTATATTACAATCATTTATTTACTATTATCGCGTTAAATCTGAAACCATTCAACATTACCATAATGAAAATAAATTTGATAACTTTGATGCAGTGAATGGCTTGGTTGAATTTATGTATACGTGTGTTTATGCGTGTATGAACATGTGGAGTCGTTGAAATTCTTCCCAAAGCCATTATAAATACTTCTTAACACTCTTCAAGCCCTATTGATTCCTTTGCTATGATCTATTAATAACATCTAAGATGATGAAAATGCTCTTGAACCTTTTTAACTACACCGCTCAGCCTACTCAGTCAAACCGACTGTCCATTAACTACACCAACCTCTATTATATTTTTGTCATCTTGACATCTCGATAAAACCTTGCAATCCACTTTTGCTGCAACCAGAAATTATGCAAAATCACAGAAAGAAAAATGGATCATAACAAATGATTCAACATTGGCAGAAGGATAAGTGAAATATACGGAATACCATAGGAACTGGAAGAAGTAGTGGAAACCAGTGAGACAAGTATGCCGAGAAAATACAACCAGTTTTAAGGTTTTATATAGATTTTACGTCCAGTTTTGAAGGTAATTCTGTTCAGCATATCGGTTTTTTAAGTAGTGAAATATTCAAATTAAAAATAATATATAAATATTAATAATATAATATTATATAATATATACATATATAAAAATTGATAAGGAAATGTTACCATCCATATATCTTTGCTAATGCCGATTGCAATCCAATAAGCATTGTTTGGTTCAAGATCTGTGATAATTGCTTCGAGTTCAAATTGAACACCATCTGCCATAACAAACCATTTTACTGAACTATTACAATGTTCTTCTGCGCCAAGCTTTTCACATCCGGATGGTTGAAACCAACAATTCTTCGTTTTACCACAACCAATCGTGGATAATGAGCCATAGGTCAATCCAAACTGATTAACAAAAATTGATAAATAAATTAATAGAAACTAATTAAAACTTAAAAGTTAATTAAAACTAAAAATTAAATAAAACTTTTAAACTTAAAACTTTTTCTTAAAACTTTAAAACTTTAAAAATTTTTTTTCAATTAGATGAAAATTTTTTATCAAAAATGGAATTACAAATTTGATAAAGTTTAGATATTGATAACTCAAAAAATGGGCAGTGCTCTGAAATATGCGATTATGTAAATGCGATTATGAAAGACCCATGGCAATCAATCTTTATTAAAACTAAATTTTATTTTATGAAAAACGCATGTCATTTCAATTATTTCTACAATTTTTCATGATTTTGACTGTCCTTGGCGTTTTGATTGATGAATAAATAAATTATAGATTAATCAAAATTAATCAAAATTTTAAGAAATGGCAGTTTATTTTATTTCATCTGATATACCAGTTCATAAGAAATTATGGCCAAACATTATCTTTGCGGCGAAAAATTTATGCCATAAAACAAATATATTCTTTTCATAAAAATTTTGCATATTTTTAAAAATTTTCTCAATGTTTTCATTATAACGATATAGATGAATGCTGTTGTTGATCAACATTTATCGCCACAAAAATAATCTTTGATATTTCCATAATTTTTTATCAACTGGTATATCAGATAAAATAAAATGAATTGACATTTCTTGATCATTTCATAAATTTAGAAATCTTTATAATTTAATAACAATGGATAATAACAATGTACAATGGCAGAAGGACGAACGAAAGAATATGAAACAAAATTTGTTCATAAATAAACAGAAAATATGGCCATAACTCTAATATCGACACATCAATTAACTAAACGAGCAATTGCTTAGATTATCTGGTGATGAGGGTTTGATTTCTGGTCTCTACACGAGCAAACCAGTTATTTAACAATCCTGGCTACCCACTTATATTCCCATCATCAGTGGCTCTGGCAAAAATTTTTAAAGTATAACAATACTTAAAAGAAATCTGAAGAAAGAATACATCATAGAATAAGTTGGCAAGAATAGGAGAAGCTGCTGAGAGAATACCTAAAGCATCTATTTACATTGGAAAAAGGTCAAGCAGAGGAAGTACCATGACAAAACAAGATCCTCTATGGGATAAAAGTATCGACAGATCGTTGAGAAATCCAAGCAGTGGTTGGGAATAATTTAAGCTAAATAGTAATACTGAGACATTGACCACAGTAGGACAGGCACAGGTTCTATATTCTATACCAGATCCATCGAAGCAGAAATCTAATACTAATAGATAGGATTCAAGGTGCAGATTGTGCAAACACATCTCAGAAATTATCCAAACGGTAAATAACGAAGTAGTGGCACCGTTTAAGAATATTTCAGAATCGCTTAGTCCTCAATTCCCAAGACCAGATGGAAGATTTCCCAAAAAATCATAGAGAATAATAAGTCCAGGATTTTGAGGGAAAATTGGCAAATTCGCAGAAATTTTAATGCAAGAAGTGTCCTTAGAAAAAAATTAATATATTGAGCATGTTAATTACTTTCGAAATGGTCGACCGAAAGATCTAAGATCTGAAAAATTTCTTACCAATAATTTCGCGTAACCAATTAGAAAAAATTTTAAACGAAGGATATATCTTAGAAAAAATCATAGAAAAAAATTTATGAAAAATATGCAAAAAAAAATGGACTTTTGGAGAAACATTTGGATCGTAAAATTAATCACCTGTGTTATGAAGGCGAACAGTAAGAAACCCATTAAACGCGTTTTGCACAAAGTACTAATTGCATGTGATATATACAAATATAAAAGTGAAAGTGGAGAATTTTCGTCGTCATTCAAAATTCCAGTTTTCAGCCTTACGAATCGAATTTTCACTGTTCTATTAAGTTTAGTTGTTCTATTATAAACAATTTATAATAATAATAATTTATATAAAATTTATAAAATTTTATCACTTCTCGATCTTTTCACATTGAATAATGAATTTTCACATATTTCTTTCAAACATCGATTAACAGGATATTTCAGAAGACCGAATGTTTAAATCGAATTAGAAGATAATTATGGACACATATTTCTAGAAACATCATTGCTTTCCTAAATTTTGAACTAAATTAAACTTAAAATTATCTTATTCTTTCCAATTATTCTTACTTTCCAATTATCAGATTGTTTCATTTTGTTATAACTCCTGGCAAATGTAGAATAATAAGGATAAGAATAAGATTACTGGTAGATAATTTCATTATTGCGGCTTCACCATGGGTTAAGAATCGAACCATATTTCTTGCTCAAAGGCTTTCAACTATCATACCACTCAACTATCCTAGTCTTAAAAGTGATAAAAGATTAGTCCTATCGCAATCATCGAAGCTCGTCTCAAAAAATGGTTCCACTAGTTCACCAAAGCGAATCGAATAATTCTATTCATCAGTTAAAATTGGAGTAACTATCTAACTGACCAACATATGCATGCAGCTCGCAGTATGCAAAGGTGATAAATATGACAAAAAGGGTTAGAAGAAGATTCATTTTTAACGAATCATAACGAAACGAAATTTTTTTAAGCTAATTTCGAAAAAAAAGAAAAAAAGCCAGAAACCAGAAATTTGTGATCGTACTTTAATAAACTGCATGCATGATAATCTTAAATTTGTCTTATTCAAAGATATTTCTGATTCACTCAATTTCAAATAAATTAAGCTATAAGAATAACGTATCGTTCCGGCTTTAATCACTAAATTTCATAAAAATACAGAATTCATTTGGTGAATTTGGAGCATTTCTCACAGTTCATATCAGTGACTTGGCTCTTCCCTGCTCGCGCATTTGTGTGGTGCTATTAATTCAGAAAGTTATATTTTTATCGCGAAGTAAAGTATTAAGGCCGGTTGATGAGCTGACGAGATTCCATCGAAGCTGGCCTCCATAAAATGCTGCCCTCACCAAATTGAATGTGCTCAATTTGTCGAACGATGACGGGGCCATTAAAGTAATAAAACTAGTATATAAAACTAATAAAACTAATAAACTTCAGTAGAAACAAAAAGTTTATGTAATCAAAACAAAAAAAAAGACAAAAAATTGGATTATAACGTAGAAAAAATCTTATAAAAATATTTCGCATTTTACTGTTCGAAAAAACATCGTATTTAGTATTCTTAAAATAAAATTTTTAAAATTCAAAGTATAACATTGTTTTGTACGAAAATTTTTAATACAAAATCGCAGTTGAAGATAAATTTTCGTATATTTGGCTAGAAAATCATTAAATATAGGCGAAAATCTCCCCTTTTCTTTTCTTCAACTCCTCGTTAAAAAATTTGCAAAACTAGGAATTGATTTTTCAAAAAAAAGTAAATTTTTATCCTATTTTGTAATGCAGTCTACTTATAGCTTTACGCCTCTCTTGGTAGTTTTCTCACTTTTTCTGAATTTTTTTTATGTGGCGTCCAAGAAACATTCCATGTCATCCAAGAAAGTCGCATGGTTGAAAAGACTGATTTACGTAAGTCTTGTAGATACTAGTTTAACATATTGTCACATTATCACAGTAATCATGAGAATTATCATAAATCTTTCAAAAATCTTTTCAGAAATTAATACCATTTGATATCACTAGTCCATCTGCAAAAAATTTATAATAGTTCAAAATCTTTGCCAAGTTTTTGTGTCATAAATTTTATTTCTTTGTATAATTCAATTTTAACAAATTTCCTTGCGACATGCCAAATTTTATCATTTTCTGTCATTTCATTTTCTTTTAGCATAAAAATATCATTTATCTACAAGTGGATAATAAGAATAGATAATTCAATAATCAAGGCATAAAAACTGGGTTAGCAAAATTTTTACCAAATATATCAAATATTATTTGATTTTGATTTGAATATTCAATTTAATTTGTAAAAATTAGTTATAAAAAATTAATTTCTTCGATAACAAAACATGGCGCTATTAGTGGTAGTTGCATGAGACCGAAAAGATATTTTTTGCTATTACGCATAGGAAATTTAAAATTGCATAAAATGGATCATTAAGCTACCAAGTGAAGATAGTTCATAAAAAACATCTACGATGATTATCGATAAAGAAATTTTAGATGGATAAAAAGAGTATTTCCCAGTTATAAATTGCAATATAATATTTTTTGCATTAATATCTTTTATACTAAATTAATTAATAATATAAGATTAATTAATAATATAATTATTAAATACTTGAAATGATTGAACTTGCAAGTGAAAAAAAGTGGTCAAAATGATTAAACAATGAAATTTTTGTTGATTAAAGAAGACAAAGATTCTAAATCTTTCGCTATTTTCGTTGACCATTTTTTAATTAAAATTTAATTATAAGCAACGCAAAAAAAAATCTTCCGTGTTCCAATATGAAGAAGATATCAACCAAAAGGCATATAGCTATAGTCAGAAATTTTCACAATGTCGGATCTACTGGAATTCTCCATCTTGATTTTCTGATTCTGGTTCGATGCACTGTGTCTTAAGAAAAGCTTTGACACCTGGTGAAACAGCACCGTTACAACTCGAATCTTTTGCAAAAATTTCTAGATGGTTTTTGCCTTTCCAGATAAGACCACATTTAAATTGCGGATCATTCTTGATCATGAATTTTGCAATTTTTCCGAGACAGTCGTGAATTTTTGATAAAACAACGTAAGGTAGTGGTTTAATCAACTTTGATATATCCGATAAAGTATTCATTGCTGGTTTTCCAAAATCTCCATTGCCCTTGAACCATCCCACTACAACCTAAATCAAATACATAATTAGGGGGCAAGATCCATTTTCCATTTTCAGAATTATTTTTTGATATTTGGAAATTATTTTCAGATTTTTTAATAAAATAAAAATAAAATTTTTAATAAAATAAATTAATTTTAATAAAATTTTGGAATGGCGTTTCCAAATTCAAATTAGTAAATGGATAATTAAGTGATTAAATAAAATATAAAAGATCGTCACAATGAACAAATAAATCAAGGCAGATTACCTGATCAGCAACTGTAAAGAATAGCTGTGCCCAGGTAAAAAAAGGAAATCCAGCGCCTTGTGGATATGTTGTCAGCAATTGATTAGGCAGATTATTAGGCACTCCTCCGTGTTCAATATAAGCGATTGATTCGTTTTCTGGAAACTTTCGCTTCTCGGGTTCCTTCTCCATTTCAACATTCGTTTCGTCCATACTAAATTCTGTTAAATTGAACTCATCCCAACAAAACCTTTCATTTTCCGACTTTTCATTTATTCTAATCCTAATTAATAAAATATAAAGCCTTTTAAAGACTAAAATATATTATAGATATTATATAATGTATTATAATGCAAGAAAAGCACGAGAAGCACTTGGAAAAATAATTAGCTATTAATAAGTCTGAACAGGGCTTACTTTTGGGAATGAATAGAGGCAAAATCCCCACAGTCAACTTCATATCGTGCAAGAATCTTGAAATCTCCAAACTGATATGATACCAGTTGATAAAATGGCCCCGTTGTATATTTTGAACGACTTTTGGTCATTTTTCTTTTCAGTGCTTGATCAAATGTCACATGACCGATTTCCATTAAATCTGATGCTTCCATTCTTAAAATTATCAATTCTCTTCTGTGGTAGTACAAATATCCAGAACGAATCTAGCAATTATAAAATAACATACCTAGTGAGAAGCACGGTTTTTCCTATTCTTTCGACATCAATTCGAAACAATCCGTCGCCAGCCTCTTGAGCAAAAGCAAATAATTTCTGCAGATTTACTGCATCCGTAATAAAGTCATAATCATTAAAGTTGATTGGTTTTTTTGATTTTGCAGTTAAATGTCGAGCAGCTAATATTGCACAATCTAATGGTCCATTTGGAACCTAAAAAAATTCATTTCTTATTAATAATCTACCAAGTTCTATTAATTCTTTGATTGTCGTATTTCTTCAAACGAGAGGTTTTGCTGATGAAATTTTTTTATTTTTTGATTCTTCATGGGTGGCAATCCTTTTTTCCCAAGTGAAAGATTTTAGTTATTATTCATGATACAAAAATAATACAAAAATCATTAAAAAAAATCCCTATTTCTTCTTTATTTGTTTGTTTTAAAATAAAAGGCAAAAGCCATACGTTTTTATAACAATAATTATAAATGCAGTATATAATTATAAAATGATAAAAAGTAATGAATTTAGTAAGTAAGTAAGTAATGAATTTAAAAATTAAGTGCAATAATTTGTCGAAATAAAAAAAAATGATAAGGAAAAAATATTGCTGTTATATTGGCGAGAGGGTATGAACGATGTGACTGCATTAAATAATGGCACGGATAATAAATTTCAGTCATTTTATGTCATTTTATTATTTTATTTCTTGATGGTGCAAGAATAATATCAGCAAATAGTTTGTTCCACTAGCTAATGCTATGAATGAAAAATTTGTGATGAGCTTCTCTTATAATTGTCTTCCAAATTTTCAAACCATCACTTCTCGTAATAGTCCAAGAAAAAAAATCTAATTCTAATACCTGAGTTCAAAGAAAGATAATGAAACTTGGAGGAATCTGAACCAAAAAATTTTATGAAGTCAAATCTGTTTAATTTTGCTGGGTCTTAGCAAAAAATCATATAACTTGAATATGACAAATGGTCGCATCTTGATTTAAAGGGCACGGAAGATATTTCTACAAGCCCTCGATAAATTTAACTGATTTGTTTTATCTTAAGAAGAGATGATAATCTTGTGTAAGTGAAAAGAAAAGATATGAATTGATCCTTGAAAACACTGAAATTCTGAAAGATTTTTTAACTATTCTTCCTCATTACAGTCTGTTGTTTTGATCTTTATTACTTTTGCAGCGAAGGGTGCATTCACCAATACTTTTCTTCTCATTGCATCATCATTTTACTTTTGCAAGTTGCACTTATTACCAAAATGAACTCAGAGAATGCGCAAAAGATTTCCAGCACCACAAGTTCTTAGTGGCAAATTTACCACTATCAAAGACCCAATCAATGGTGGTTTGATTGTAGTCGAAAGAAAACAGCACATTCGACCCTGGGGTAAATATGCTATATATTGATGCAAGAATATATATATATATATATGCATTTTTCCCAAATCGTTCCAGAGATTTTAGAAAATAATTTTCTAAATTTAAAGATTTAAAGGTTTTAAATAAAAAAATTTTGAGTAAAATTATAGTGATAAAAATTTATCATAAGTTTGATGATTATTTAATTAAGAGCGCTGGAAAAAAACAGATAGTTATATGTGATTTTGGAATCCTAACCTTTAAATGATTAACATCATAGATAACTACGCCGTGATCCTGTTGAAGCCTACCTCCCGGCCAATAAAGCGACTCAGGTGGCATACCTGGTACCTGAAATAGACATTAACGATAGCAGTCGATTTATCTATTTTTTTCCAAAACTTTTCAAATTTCTAAAAATCTTTTGATATATCTTAATAATAACCTTTTTTATAACAATTTTTATTATTTTTATGAGAATGTTTATTATTAAATTTGCAAATGAGTTTCTAACATTAGACGAATTTGCCCGAATATTTTTTGAAAAAAGGGCAAACTTTTTTCTTTCTCATTGACAGTGCTGAAAATTTGGAAAATCTTCAAGATTGCCATAAAAAAACTAGTCATAAGCAGTAATAGCCAAAAAAAATATCGTACAACAATAGTTGGCGTTTCATCATTTAAATACCATTGATAAGAACCGATTCGTTCAACGTGCTTGGTAGATGTTGGTCCACCTTTGCCCGAGAGATTTATTAGAGGTAGCAAGCCATAAGGTTCATCATCAAGGCCTTCAAATAACCAGAATCCCTCCGCTGCCATTTCTGGAGGGGATCTGAAATCCATAAACACTTCAGTAAATCATTTTGTTTCCATGAAATTCAAACGTTGTGGAAAATAATATTTATAAGGCGAAAATTGAATAAAACGATGAATATCAAACATGAAGGAGAATAAAAGATTAGAATTTGAATTCGAGAAATATTTTCAACTGTGAAAAATATCAGATCAAAAGTCGATAATAATTTGTATTGACGAAAAACTTGTGTTTGCTGACGTGGTTAGCCGATCGGCTAGGCAATTCATTACTGTGATAATGTGGATAAAAACCGATCGATAACGAAATTTTCATTTTTACCATTAAAATAACTTCGAGTCCATAAATTTGCTGCAAAAATAATTGTTCGAATGAAATTCACCTTGAATAAATATTGTAATAATAAATGTTATCTAATTTTTATGCATTAGATGATGTATAATAATTGGTGAAATAATATTGAATATTGAATTGACGAAACAATAAAAATAAAAAAACATATGGCGATAGAAACTCAGTTAGGTCACCAGCATCGCCCTGCCTTTAGGATGGATAATTTACTAAGGATAGTGAATTCCATGAAAAGCATTTGCTAAAACAACGCTTTTCGCATTCTACATGATGCAAGAACAAATCTATTAAAATTTTAATGGTTCGAGCTTATTATCCACAGCAAATTAAAAGAATTCACGAATGACTTTATTTTTTAGATTAAAAAACTTGAAAATTTTTTAGTAAAATATAAAGAGTTTTTGCAAAGGCTTTACGAGGAAGTTGCAGAATGCATCATAAATAGAAATAACAAAAGAAAAGATTGCTGACTGATTTGCAAATGAAATCCACCGACTAAATGATTCAGTACCTCGCACAAATCCATTGTGTAATACGCAGTCGACGCTATTTCTGCTATTAAATTCTTCTGCCATTGTTGATTATCATCTTTGTGAAACATATATTATCCATATCCTATCTAACTATTTCTTATCAACATTTAAAACTCCAGAAAATTTCGAAATTTTTAAAAAAAATATAACTTTTAAAGGTATCTGTTTTAATAGAATTATCTGGAAATATAACATATAAAAATTAATGAAGCAGAATGAAAGTCGGTAAATTTTTGAGATTCTAATATTTAAGATTTCATAATCATAGGAACCGCGAATGTATAAAAATACTAAATGAAATATTGATAATTGCTATATTTTTGAAATTTCTACGTAGTTGAACACCGCTTTTTTGAGAGTTCTGAGTTATTCGCAGTTTCAAGAAGACTCGTTCGAATCGTCTTTTTGTGACCTTCTGGACAAAAAAATGACCTTTACATATTGAAGTGATGTTAAAAAGTCAGCGAATGCTTTATTTTGCAGCATGATGGTGAAGGAATATGTTCCTTCGACTGGTGAGTCGTCAACATCACTCGGATTTTTGGATAGGTTTACTCCTGGGTATAGAACCTCAGTATTGGTTCTCCGAATTGAGCAACAACCCACTGAGCCATCCTATTCCCAATCCTAATAGTCGGTGGAACCAATTAGCTAGAAATGACGGGTGTTTCAGAAGAAGAAGAACGGGCAGATTCAAATTTCAGTTCAGTTTAGGGTTCGCTTTATATCCCGACTTGGACTATAATACATATTAAAAATTTCAAATTTCAAAAATGGAAAAAATATATTTATTTATAGAATTACTATTTAACCTCAAAATTTTAGTTCTTTTATCAATCCCATCAGTTCTCGAGAAGAGTGATAGAATCTTTCTAATTGTGATCCTGTTACTTATATATAATAAACTATCTGGCTTTACTATTTATTTATAGTGTTTTATTTTTCCTTACGTAATTTCTTAGCGATTTTTTGTAATTTAGAGGGGCATTTATTGTAAAATTACCTAGAAAATAGACTATTTTACTAATTTATAACTTAATAATCAAGCTTTATAATTAATAAATTGAAATGAAATGAGTACAATCGTTAATAATTGAAAGTAAAAGAAATAGTGAGTGAAAAAAATGAAGAATTTTGAAAAAATCCAAGATTATTTGAAATGTTCAAACAAATTTGTTAAATTTTATTAAGCCATATGTTAATTATTTAATAAAATATTATCATAAAATACAATCATAATATTAATATTAGTTATAATACAATCATAATATTATAATATTAATATCCGTCAATATTCAATATTCTTTTTCAATAATACATATTCATGTATTAATTCATGATTATGATTGTATTATATATTAATTCATATCAGACCGCGCCGCTTGGAAGCGTCTTACCCTTGTAGCCGTTGTAGCCTAACCAGTAACGGTGAGAGCTGTTAGAAGAAGAAGAATACATATTCATGTCAATATTTATAATATCAATATTCTTTTTCTTGTGAAAATTTCCATGAAAATTTTAGTGGTTAGTGCTCGTTGAATCTGGCTCTGCTGGTTGCAAGCACACTTAAAAATTTTTGCCAGAGAAATATTTAATGATAAAAGTACGTGTAGGCAACCTACAACACCTTAATTTTTTGATACTTGAACTATCCTTGCTTCTCAATATTCTTTACTAATATCCACTCGGTTATATTGCTGCTCACCATGAAAATTTAGATGATAAAAATTTCGATTTTCTGAAGGTTCTTTAAAATTATTTTTGGTGTATATTATTTTTATATGACAGGTGAATTTTTTTAACAGTTTAACATGAAACAATTGAATAAATACCATAATTATTTTTAATAATGGCTCATTTTTGCATTCTATAGAAGAGAATTTTGCGATTTCTCAAATTTATACAGCAATAAAATTTTAATTTTATCTTAATATGCCGCAAAAATGATAAAAATGATTAAAAAAATGATTAAAAAAATGCCGCCCGAATCGAACCACTGTTACGTCTCTTCAGCTAGCTAATCATTGCAATCTTAAAATATTTCGATCATTAAATGATCATATATTGACGTGCTTTAAAAATTGCAATTCCATATTTTCAATTTGTTTATGCCATTGAAATTGACAATATTGGTAACAACAATCTGAAGCATTTAGAACTGTGACTCGTAAACTAGAGAAATGGCTTCATCCAGGATTAGCATTAGAGATTTCTGTCCAAAAGAGCGCATTGTTAGGAACATTAGAGCTAAGATACTGTGCTAAACCCTCAAGTCCCCAAGCCTCCCAAGGTTGAGGATGACCACAAGATGTCGCAGTCCCTAGTGTTTATATTATTACTGGGGCTACTTTGGTTTTTATTTTTCACATCTCTATTTCTTTTTTCGCCCTGATGTTTCTATATGTTCTCAAATTTCTTTCTAATGTTCTTTTCACATAGTTATTGCCTTATCTACAACCAGTGCTGATTTTTCTACTATATATCCGGTTGATTGACCACTTGTTTACCTGCAGATGGAGAAGTCCCACGGGGTCTTGTCTTATCATTCTCCACGATTTTATGGCGATTTTCCCATCGGATCTTCGGAGAGTCTAAGCCATATATTGAGCAGATTTTTTCTGTAAACAAAGTTAGCTACCTTGCAATGTATAGCTCCTGCCTGCATCTTACATTGTTCAACTATATGTTTGTGCAATCTTGAATCTTTTCTAGTATGGCTTCGATGAAACGATGACGATGCTTAGTACCTGTTCGTGTTACTATGATCAAGGCTTCAGTACTGTCTTTTAGTCCAGGTTTCCGCTCATTAATAGGATTTTTTAATGATTTGTCAATGGTACATCCCATGGAGAGTCTTAGTCCGATGTGGTACTTTCTCTTTCTCTTTTTTTCTTCAGTATCTGTTGATATTTCAGGAATTCAGGCGTATCAGATGACTGGCAAGGCATGCATGTTATGGCAAGGATTTTGGTTTTCCCTGTCTCTTCAAGATCTGTCTATTCTTTGGTAGTACTTAGATGTTGCTATTTTTCATGCCCCATCGTAGTATACCAAGAGATCGCACTTCTCCAGTCCGAATGACATCCTAATATCCTCGCTATGGATTCGAGTTAGATGAATGAGCGATTCAATATTTCGTTAGCTTGTAGCATATGACATCCATCTAGCGGCTAATAGTACTTCTCCTCTTGCATATATATTTATATTATGTATAAATAATAATAAAATAAATAAATGATAATAAATATAAAAAAAAATATATATTACAATAATTATATTATTTTAATAATATGTACAATGGGTGATTAGTACGGAATGTGAACGCTTCGAATCGCAGCCAACTCTATTTTTGGGTCTTTGGTCAATGTTCACTGAAAGCTTATCTGCCTTACTTTAACCTCCCAGGCCTCTAATAGAAGATTCGAGATTAAGAGTAACCTATAGCACCCACAGGGATGAGAGAAGGATTTATGTGTACCTTTTTTGCAAATATTTACGTGTAAATATTTAATAATTGACAATAACAGTGTTTTCAGTTATTATGCGATGGACATTTCCTCTTCTTTTTACATCGTTAATCATCTTGACAAAGTCATCGGCGTTATATCAAAATGGTATCGAATGATTATATATTGTTTAATACTTCTCCTATTTCCTTTTGCTTCATTTACCAGATAAAAAATAATTTTTAAAGCTATTTGAAAATGAAAAAGAAGAAATTCGAAATGAATCATTCAAACTTTTTTCTAGTTCTAGTTTTCCTTTTTGCTTTTTCATGAGTTCAGTCGACAGATGTACATAATATTTTCGCTTCCAACAGTTGAGAAATTCCAGTCGATACGACTCTGGAGAAAAAATGCAATTATCTAAAATCGAAAACAACTAGCTCATATGTTGGAAATTCATGTTTTGTAACAACAACAGAAAAATATGCTACGACGTTAGAAAATTGGCATAAGCTTCATGAGCACTGCAAAGCTTTGGCTGGTTATAGTGGTCGAATGGCTTTCATCCGAACAAGAGAACAAATCGATGCTTTACTAAAAGACAGAGTTATTGAAGTTCGTTTCGTTAAAAAATATTCACGAAATAAAGAAATGCACAAATTCAATAAAAACTTCAAATGAATTTTTTCTTATTTGTCGTTTAATTAGCTGGTTTAACTTTCAAGATGAGCTATTTTTAAAGATAGCTGGAAAATAACTACAGATCCTCAGTAATACCAAAACGACTTTAATGTTTTTTTTCAGTTGCATGGTCGATATTACATCGGTGCAAAGCAAGAGCCACCATCTAATTGTGGTCATCGACTTTGCAAGCATAGGGACCCTGAACATCACAAAAACTGGTACTATATCGATGCGAACGGTCGTAAACAAGTGAGCTAGAATTTTTTTTTAAAGGACCTTTACCATTCCTGGTTAAATTCATTCTACTAATTTGTCGGGCTAGACAAATAAGCCTCTTGGCAATTGAAATATAGTGAATCGCCAGTATCACCCCGATTTTTATACAGATTTATTTCAGTGAGTGAGAAGTCTCATTCACTCACAGAGAAAAAAATTTGTAGGGAGAACTCGCCAATTTATGGTTAAACAATGAACCGAACAACGCTGGTGAAAGACCACCTGAAAATATAGTTACGCTTGAACAGCTTCAGTCCAGCAAATTGGGTTTCAATGATGGAAATGGCCAAGCTGAAGAATTTCCTATCCTCTGTGAATATGGTAAAATTTTTTTTCTGAAAAATCGAGTGGTTGTTGCTATAATTATTATAGTCAGACTACCTCTCGAGCATCAGGTTTCAAGCCTTTCCATCTACAGGGGTAAATATGTTATGAAAAAATTAAGCTTGTACTATGGATCCATCTATACTTCTGACCCCAAATGGCGCCAAATTTCTAACAGTAACAGTTAACGAAGCCAATTTCTGATCAGAAATGGTGAGCTACTTTGCGAAATTTTCTACCAAATCTTATCTTATCGAAGCTGATAAATATTACTTAAGTTCAATATTCAAAAGTATTTCAGAAGATTTGCTTCAATGTAAGGACAATTATACTTTGATTGGAAAAAAATGCTATAAAGTATGCTTATACGTATATTTAGAAATCGTATTTAATGAATCTCTTGATCTCGAAAAATTCAAATTTTTTTTTATTTTTATGCATAGATGTTTGTTTCATAGTTTCCATTATTATTGTTAATTAGTCGCAAAATTGTTAAATACAATTTTTTGCATAAAAAAACTGAAAGAAAAACCTTGAGAAATTGGAGAAATATTATATAAGATTTTCGCCGAGAGAAAATACAAATGAATCTCATGAAAAGGATTTGCACTTTGACCCGAATGAAAGCGCTTTGAAAAGGTAGATCTTATAGCTCATACACTATTTAGATCTTCAATGAACCAGAAACTCCTTATGATGCAGGAGAAATTTGCAAAAGTGAAGGAGGTTATTTGCCATCGATACATAATGATCGACAAAATCAACATATTGCAAGTATAGCTAAAATCCTATTATTACTTTCACATTCATGCATTTAAAGTAATTGAAAAAGTTGGCTAAAATTTGAGTAAGTGTCTTCTGTAATCATGAGAAATGAGAATGATAAATCAGTAAGTTCTAATATAATAAACAGAATGCATGAAAATGGAAAGAAATTTTTTTGAATTTTTTTAGATATGGCTCGACATGCTAAGAATATTGACTATAGCAAAAAAAGAGGGAACTTAGAACAATGGGGACCATTTCTAATAGGGCTGAAATATGAGAATGGAAAATGGAGTTGGCAAGATGGTAGCGAGACGGACTACTATAGATGGTATGCAGAAGAAGGAGGTAACTTAAAAACCAGTTATATTATGCATTTGCGCCATCGAAACGTTTTATTGTCGTCCCTGTAGAACCAGCCAAATAAGCAATGGTGTCAGGTGATGAAGCTTAATTAAAATAATATTTATTGCATAACCTTTACATGAAATACGTGAAATTCTTATATTCTCGATGAAAAAAAGCCTTTGTTTTCTTTTTTTAACTAGAGAAAGTAATTTGATCTGCCAACTAAAGCGCAAGTTCAGGTTCATCAACTGTTGTACATACTCCTTCGATTTACAAATATGTCTTTTTGCAAACATCGACAAACGCAAATGAAGGCGAAGCAGGTTTCGGTTACTGGTCAACAAATTTAAAAGGAACTGATAAATTACCATTTATCTGCCAAAAAGCGCCTGACATTATAATTTAAAAATATAATGTATGCGTAAATTTATGATTTAAAAATAGTTAAGCATCGAGAATTAGAAAAAAATCGAACCAAATAAAAATTCAAATAGATTCTAACTTTTACAGAGAGTAAAGAATGAAACCCATGGTCTGTCGCGAATTTTCGAGCCGAATGCTTCTGCGCAAATTTTTAGAACCATTTCTTGATTTTCTTTTTGAATTTTCACTTTAAATTATTTTGGTACCTTGCATTCCCCTATGATTCGTTTTATTATGAAAAAAAAAATTTAGACCAGTCTGCGAAATGAAAAATCGAAGTGGAGCATAGAGTTTGAGTTAAGTGAACGGAAGGCACTGCTTTACTGAAAACTGGAAAGATTTTATATTTGTGACCAAAGTGGAGGAATGCAAAAAAAAATAAACTTGAAAAATTCTGAAAATAAAAAATCAGATTTCAACAAAAAATATTCCGGCAAATTAAGGATATAAAGTTTTGTGTCCCTGTTTCATTTACAAATCAATGAACTTACAGTTATTTTCTAAAAGATCTAAAAATGGCGTTTAAGTGAGTTTCAATTTAAACTAACTGCAGTACCATCAAAGCCTTCTATAAATGGGAAATCCACTAACTGGCTATTTATTTATTATTTGCGTCACATCAGATTTTGAAATTCATGAGGATTCTTTGGAATTATTTGCTCCATAGACGAACAGAAGTCTCAGACTATTTATTACATGGTTTACTCAATACTTTTCACAAACACAAGTTTACAAAATTTTTTACCACAGTGACAGATGTTTCATCTACAATATCTGGTCGAGGATTTCTTCTTTCCAAATGCTAGTAAAACTAATAGAAATATCGCTACACTATACATCAATAGAACGTGAATGAATGGGATTCGATGTCATAGACATTATAGCTGTTGAGAATTTTACATGACCATATGCGCATAATCACAGCCAGTTTAACATTTTTCCGGAAGAAGTTGATGCACTACAATGTTATACTTGTTGAAAAATTGTTTAGTTGGAACTGCTTTGAAGATCCAAAATATTTATGTGATTTCGCGTTTTTCGTTACAATTTTTTCAAACGAACGCCTTAATTTCACTGATCTCAAAGTGCAGAGAAAAAACGACTCCATATCCAGTACATAATGCATTTCAAATGAAATTATCAGTTCCCAGTTATGAAATAATGTTATTTTCGATTATATCCAGTGTGCCACCGTCATTTTTTAAAGTGCCAGACAGTTTTTGAAATATAATTGAATGCTCCTTATGCCAATTATGGTGAGAAATTACAATTATCAATTTAAAAAAATTTTCAGTAACGAAACAATATGCTTTTTAAAACTTTTCCCAACATTTTTCGATATTTACTATAAAAAAGTTAACCACAACCTGAAATCTGAATAAATCAGGTCAAAATTTAAAGTAGGGAATTTTTTAAATTTATAATTTAAGTGAAAAAATCGTAGATGTTTGTGGTTATTTGGAAGTACTTATACAAGTTTTTTCACGAAATTGAGCAAATGTTTGGTTTCCATGCATGTTTGGTACCAAAGTGACTGTACCTAGTTGCTGCATTCAATCACAAATCGAATAATAATTATATATTATATATAATTATATATTATTTAGAGGGTTTTCGATAAATCTCAGTTTTTTATTTTCCGAACAATTTTAATATTTTTTTTATAACATTCATCAATTTAATATTTAGAATTTTTTTATTTGATAATACTTGGCTAAATTTTCGGTCAATTTAGTAATGCTTAAATTTAACAGTGCTTTAGTTTACCTGTAATTTTCACTATTACTGATTATTGATTAGACTGACTCCGCTGGCTACAAAATGTAGGATATTTCAAAACTGTTCGGTACGAAGCCATCGTTGACATAGAAGCCTCGAAGCCTTCCACCATCTAGTCTCATATATCGTTGGTCCACCTATATGTTCAAAATTTTTCCTGCCCGTCCAGGTATTGAATGGTTCTCCTCGCTTTCGACGTCATCCACGGCAGGGCTTTTGACTGCTTTTCGGGAAAATCTCTTCTCTTGACGCGCTCAATGATAAACTGCTGACATCATTTTAATACTGGATCAAGAACAAAAAAGCCAGCGTGAAAGACACAAAGGGGAGAGGGGGAATCTACACAGTCCCGTAATATCAAACAACTCCTCGTTGCATTTAAAGGCCCTTTGGCTCAATCGAGAGGCCTATAGACTTCGGCATATATGTTCTAGAAAACGACGCTATCCAAATGCATTTTGACAGAAATAAGGCAACAAAATGCCTCGACCATGGGCCGCGGCTAAGGACTTCGAAGTTTCCGTGTGAGCGAAACCTAACTCGCGGACATTGAAGCCTATTTGTCGAAATTTTCCACGATTTGTGGATTTCGGGTGGTGTTTTACGTTTCTTATCCATTATAATTTGTTTCGAGAGTAAAATAGTGGTCGATGAATTATTTTCGAGGATTCCTTCCACTTTTCTGCTTTTCTTCGATTTTCGTTTTCCTTTATTTCCATTTTACTTATTTTAAAAAATTACAAACATATTAAATATAATTTAATTTAATTAAACTTTAGATAAAATTTCCTCATAAATTTCTTTAAATAAAATAAAGTGGTTATCGCCACTATTTCTGATCAGACGAGCGTTGGTCGTTAGAAATCTTTAGCGTGGACTGCTCGGAGGTGGAAGCTCACCAGTACCGCTCGGAGAGGGAGGGGGTGAGGGGAAATGTGATGACTCGAATCGAAGCAGCCACACCATTTTTCTGCCCTCAATGGTTGTAAAATGTAATTTAATTAAACCTTAAGGAAAGTCCTATTCTTTAATCTTACAGCATATATGAGAGAAAGAAGCAAACAAGAGACAGCATCCATGTGCTCATCTGAGCTAAGGGTTCAGTATATCAGTACGGCACCAAAAACTATATAAAAACTTTTTTCTCGTACCTACTGGTGATTCTCGGCGAAATTTAAATTCGCTCTGGTTTCAGATGGATGAAAATGGAATTAATAATGCATATTGGAAAATGATTCTTGAATTAGCACAATCGGTAGTTGGAGAAAATAATTCAAATCATTCGATGAAGGAAGTTAAGCAGTTGGATTCTAAGGTTATTTATTATTTAAAATTTCCCTATTAACGGTTTAGTGAAAGGTCGCCACCTAGGTACCGATTTGTTGCAGATGGCTTATTTTAAAAATTAAGCATTAAATTTCTCATCCCATGTGGGTGCTTAGGGACATCCTCAACCAATCTTCTGCTAGAGGCCTGGAAGATTGCTACTTCTGCACCAATACCTTCTGCACTCTTTTGGATAGAAATCTCTGATGTTGTTCCTGGAATCTTTTGAAGCCACTTTTATAGTTTAATGATCACAGTTTTTAGTTCTCCAGTTATCACTGGGCCTTCTTTGGGTTTAACATTTTTTAGTTTCTTTTTCAGCCTCTTGTATTTCTCTTCTCATATTCCTTCTTAATGTTCCTGTAACTTCGTATAACTTGGTATATATATCTTTTGCTGATTTCTGAGTCGTGTCTGTTACCACAATATCTGGTTGACTAGCCAGTGTTTGTCTGTCTGGAAGTCTCTCAGAATCATCGCCTTATTTTGTGATTTTCTGGAGAATCTCCCATTTAAGATCGTCACCAAATATTGTATAATAGATAGTCCTGTAGACAGTGCCAGTTACACCCTTTATTATATATTATAATATAATAAATAAATTCCCAAGAATAATATAATGACCCCAAAATATACAAGAAAAAAGTGTTCAAAAAAGTACTGACCAAAAGCAACAGTAGACATACAGCATTTAAACTTACAGACCTGTACGCTAATAATAAATCTTTTCTAAAAAAGAAAGAAAGAAAAAATGTTAAACAACATTTGACCCTACGTATATTGTATTAATTATTGCCGATTAGTCTTGTTATTCTATGGTCATATAGCAATGAGGGGATGTGGAGATAAGGAAGGCTGCAATCTAAATATCACCAAAGAACAAATAAAGGCAAGTCCTCAAGAGCCAACTAATCAGTCTGTAATTTGATATAATCAGATGTGTGTTGATTATCTTAAATCTTTGTTGTAGTTGTGGATGAAACCCTTGATTTCGATCTCCACGGTAGAACCGTAGCAAAGAAATCCTCAAAAACACCGAATTTTATTTTTCGATTATTTAAAAATAGAACTGAAAAATTTCTTATCAAAGCAAAGTACAAAGCGTTTTTTCGGTCTCGAATATAATATAAGCTATTATTTCCTTGGACATCAAGTAAACATCAAGTAAATTGATTGGGCTATACCTTATATTATACTTTATATATCGCATTTATTCTAAATTTTAAATTTTATTATAAATTTTATTTATAAAGCATGGCTTTAGTTTTCCCTATTTCATTTAATTAAACGAGATTTATGCAAGATTAGTTTATAAATCAAGTCTAATTTAATTGAAATAAAAGACATTATGGTATTGTTCAAATGATTATGATTCTGAGGGAAGTAGTCAAAATAGCTTTCTAATTCAGGATAAACAATTCATTGAGAAAGCAATGCAAGAGACAGTCAGAAAAGTGGATTCCAATATGATAATTGCTTCTTGTTTACGTGATCTTCGTTCGTTAATGAATCCCTCTGACAATGATCTCGATTTTGTTACTAACATTGTCAATACTTTGGAAGATGTCATATGTCAAATTGATTTCGCATATAATTTCTGTCGAATGGGTGGGATTGAAGAAATAATGAGGTTCATGGTAAGATTTCATATATTGTGCCTTTATTTCTGATAATTTCGGAAGAGAGTTTACTGAACTTATAATTTGTTTTATAATTTTTCTTGACAATTTTCGAGATTAAATGGTCTTTGAGCTAGATTTAAAAGAAATTGAACCCGGAGGAAGAATTAAATTGAATTTTTCAAGAAGAACTAAATTTTAAATTTTTTAAATTTTCCAAAATATTAATTGTGCAAGCTCGAAAATTTAAATTTACAAATTTATTTTTTATTATTTTTCTACAGTTTAGAATTATTTTTATATTTAGTCGTTACCTTTACTTTCCGTTAAAGAAAGTATTATGCGTTTAATTCCTACAATTGCCCAATATAATCCGCAAGCACAAGATTACATTAATGGAAGCAATTTACTTTTCACTTTGGTTGAAAATTTATTAGTTGCGGATCAAGCATCGGTATTTTATCCAATCTGATTTTTTTCTCATTTAATTTTTTCAATATTTTTGCTTTTGATAATATTGTAAAAATAACTTTGAAAATAGTCAGGTTTAATATTAATAATAATAAAATAATAATAGTAATAACAATAATAAAGAATAATAACAATAATAATATTCGCAGAATCCATGTTTGTCAAGAAGTTCATTTAAATATTTTTGCTGATTTCATTCTAACTTTTTGTCCAAGAATTCGGCATCACAAATGACGATATATAAATATAAATTAAATATAAATTACAGGCTATTAAATATCAATGTTTAAGTGGTATATCAGCTATTGTTCGCAATCATCATCAGTCTTTCGAGTTAGTTAATGTTATTTTTTGAATAATATTTTGATATTATTTAATGTTGCCAATGAAACATGCTATATGTAATAAATTTTCCATTTCCGATTTTTTCTGAATAGCTATTATTGTTTCTGATTTTACATACTGGATAATAATGCATTAATTTGACGATAATCTTTTTTTCTCTTTCTTTTTTTAAATTTAATTTGTAATTTTTTAATTTTTCCACTTTATCACTGACGAGGAGTAAATCTGTAGCCACTCGTAACTCCATCTCAAATGACTTTATGGTGAAAGAATCAGATGCTCTTGACACGGAGTCCTGTCCTCCGACGCGTGCACGATATTCTCATTCCATTCATGTGATATAATATATAATATAATAAAAACATATGAGATTAACTCGCAGAACAATTGCTCGAAACCTTTCTAAGGAAACGGCTGTTTGTATGCGCGGCGAGATGTTATCCGTAGAAGCATGGAACATTAGAACGCTTATGGATGTTAAGCCAAGCAACTTTTTCTATCCTTCTCAATACTTTTTTTAAATATCGTATAGATATCACTTGCTTGTCGGAGGTCCATCTTCCCACTTCTGGTATCGAGTGATTACTAAACCTGGATTTGAACAGGTGTACTAACTATATCATTGTGGTGTGCCTGTATTAAGGGCCGCCTCGTAAGATGGGAGGAATTCTTTGAGGCGAAAAATAACGATAATGCGCCATCTGTTGGCCTGGACAAAGCTAATACGTTCGTCGAACCATGCGTTTACAATTGCGAACCGCCAACCGAAGAAGAAATCTCCATTGTCCATAAGCTTAAGTCGAATAAGATTCCGGAAGAAGATGATCTTTGGACTAAACTCTTTAAATATTGTCCATTGTCCTTTATAACCCACTTTCAACAAATATATGGCAAAAGAAAATATTACCAGATGATTGGAGCAAAGCAATTTTGCTCCCAATTCCCAAGAAAGATAATAGGATATACTGCGACAATTATCGAGGAATCAGCCTATTAGATATCTCAATAGATTTTTGCTTCCTTTTTACTCAATAGATTTAGACAGTGTGGAACAGCAGGATGCAAGCTGAATTTAGACCTGGGCACGATTGTCCAAATATTCACGTTAAGAAAAGTGTTAAAACATCGTTACATATTTAATGGACTACCTCTACGGCTGCCTTCGATTCTGTTGATGGAATGGCGTTTTGATGAAACGCGGCAGTATCTCGAAAAAGGTCATTCGACTCTTAAAGGCATTTAATTAGCGTACGTCGGCGCAGGTCTATATACATGGGATAATGATAGACTCCTTTGAAATAAAAACTGTCCATCAATGTTGCGTCGTTTCTCCTACAGTATTCAATTATATGATAGACTGGATAATGCACTCAAGAGCTATACAAATCATTCCAGAGCATTATATCACAGATCTTGAATACGCTGATGATTTAATCCTTCGTGAGTTGTGATGAAATGTAAATAATGCTAAATATTATGTCGATAACTCCAGGGAGAATCGAACTCAGAAACAGTACATAAAATGAAAGTCTCATTGTCTTATATACAAGCAGATAAAATACCTCTTTTTATAAATTCGCAGGTTGAGGAAGTGATCGATTTTAAATATCTTGGACCCAGTCTAATCCCAAATGTCCAAGCATAAGACGAAATTACAGCCCGGATAACGGCAGCTAGAAATGCGCTTTTCCGTTCAACGAAAATCTTAAGTATTTATGGAGTCATCACGAAATCACTAAAAACGAAAATCTACGTCCGTATAGCTGCAATTCGATGCTATATGCCAGTGATACAGTGACCAGTGAGAGTGGAGAATACTAAGAAATTATCTGCTTTTGACCACTCATGTCTAAAATACATTTTACGGGTTCGCCGAGTAAAATCTTACAATATCACAAAAAATCGATCGCATCCACCTTCGCGGTCTAACCAGTAATGGTGAGAGTTGTTAAAAAAGAATCTTGTGGATGAATTGTAAAAAATTGCAGGAAATTCATAAACATGAATGGTTTAAATATTGTTTTAAACTGTTATCAGCAGGCTTTGGAAAAACATGATGAGCGAGTAGCAAACAAAGCAGCTGTTATTATTGTTGGTATTGGTTTCGATATCGGTTTTCAAGGTTATATTGAATATCCCTTACTTTTAAATTATATTAAATGAAATTTTACAAAAGAAATTTTTTAAATGTTTTGTTGCTCATACGCAAGTTCTTGCATGTTTTTGCTTTTACTTTTCTAAATGGTTTTTTTGCCACGTTATTTGCTGTATTTTATGTTCCTTGTGCCTTGCAGAAGCGAGTAAACATGGATTTACTGATGCTATCTTTGAAATATTTTGTACGATTCCTCCAAGTTTTGATGCTTGCTCTTATGTGAGAGGCTATCTAAATTATCCTGAATTGCAAAATATGAAGCTCACTTCTGAAATGATTAAAGCTATGCAAGATGCTCTCCAGAGTCATCTGGATTACGAAACGACTCTTGCTGAAAAAGATGAAGTGCGTTTTTTTATTTCAATTAACTGTGAACAATTAATTTTATTTTTAGTGCTTTTCTATTATTAAGTTAACATTTCCAAATTTAAATACTAATGCATATGCTAAATTTAAATTTCTAAATCAAGCTTCCTTTTTGGTAATTATGTTAAAAAATATATAATGAAAATATATTGGTATGATAAATAGTGCCTTTTTCTTATATGATGATTGGTGTCTTAACTACTGTAGTCGACTTTTGAATGATATTTGAATGATATTTTTTAATTTTCGGCCACTGAAAACTAATTATTATCATTGTTAAATGTAATAAAACCAATTTAGACTAAAAATTAAGAAAACGAGTGAAATGTCTTTTAAGTTTTAGTTAAAATTGTTATTTTATTGTTATTTTATTTCATTATTTTATTATTAAAAGAAGCGCTTAGAAAGGAAAAGGGTTTTTTTTTGCTTTTTCAGTAATTTTGATATCTTTTTTTCACAGTGAATATATAAATTACACTGCATAACTTTAGGATTGTTTGCAAGACTATCACTCACCTATATTCTGCATTCCATATTCAAATTTATTTAGGATTATAAAATTGAAATTTTGGTTTATTTTCTATTTTATTTTATTTTATCTTGCAGAATACGATCAATGAACTTAGAGCAACTCTGAAGTCTTTTAATGAAGTTAAATTGTGATAGCTTGGCTTGATGGCTTGATGTTAATAAATAAGAAGCCATGTATAAATTTTTTTCATTTTTTTCCGTGTTCTATGGTAATATTAATTCATTCAGAAGTGTAAAAAAATAAAAATTTGAAAAAATTTAAAAATATGTTCAAAAATTAATATTCATTAGTGATATCCATTGTAAAGCATATAGCATATTTATTTATTTATTTATTGAAAACCAGTCAAGCAGAGCGATAACGTCATGTGGTTGTATTAATAACAACAGTAAAAAAAAAAACAAATAATAAAATTATAAAAATAGAAAGTATGAAAAAATTAACAGTTTAAAGAGGAAATAAAGAGGAAATTGCAGAATAATTAATATAGTATAGTTTATAGTATAGTATAATATAGTATAGTTCGAAGTAACTTTATATAACTTTATTATATATAGATAGTCGGATGGTAAAAGTCGAGATTTCACACTTCCTGCATGATTTGAACTTTTAAATAAAATTGTAAATGATATTATCTAATCTTTTTTTAAAGATAGCTAGGGATGGCGCACAAGCTATATCGTACGGTAGTTTATTCCAGTAATTAATATTATGATTAAAGAAATCATGAGTCCTTAGTCCAATTTCACACATAGGTTTTAGTAATTTTAGCCTATTTTAGTAATTTAGTTCTTGTTGGATTTAAATTTAACCTAAAATTATAGTATTTTGAACAATCTAGTTTAACATAACCATACAAAATCTTATAAGTATAAATTAAATATGACGAACTGACAGAGAATCCGGGTTATATTGTAGAAGTTCTCTTTTACAATTAAAATTGCAATTAGGAGACAGGCATCAAAATATTTTTGCAGTTCTTCAATTATTTTATTGATTTGCGATATCTCGAGGAAAAACATGTAGGCCGAATAACGCTTTGTACATTTTAAGAAGAAAACCCTTCAGTTTTGTTTTTAAACGAACGAAATAAAAAAATAAAAGCATAAAAAAAAAGTAATTTATTTAGAGTTCATTTCAATTAGTATAGGTTAATAGATTTTTTTGTTGACACTGTGAACGCTGTTTTTGCATGATATTATAATTAAGTGCATTTCGCAAAACTTGATAGAATCGAAGATCGAAATCACAAAAAAAAATGGTGTTAAAAAATGATTGTCAGTGTACATCCATCTATAATATATTCTATATAATTTAACTGTTGATCGGAATTTAATCGTTAAATACAGTGGTTGAATAAAACATCAAATTATAATGTACGGGAGAATTATTTGCAAGAGTGTGTTCATCACTCACTTAATGTGCATCAGATCGATCAGGCGCTATGAAGTCGATGAGAATCGTGAAATTTCTGGTTGTTAATTTATATAATTTCAAAATGTGCAATTAGGAAAAGAAGCCAAAACCACTGCATTTCTCTGTATTCTCTGGAAAATAAAAATTTCGTCAACTAATTTTGCCATTCAAATTTTTCATCGTGAAAAATGGAAAGGTTGATTTTTTTAAGTGTCACAAGAATTAGCGGGTTTTTTGTCGTTGAGGATCTGATTTGTAAATGTGCATATATTTCTAGCTTTTTCTCAGTTAACCATTTTGTAATGCTAATGTAATAGTCATGTTACGGTGAAATTTAAAGGGAAGCCGTCATTGTTTTGTGCAAAATAAGTTGTTAAATCTCACTATGGCGGAATAAATTTCAACATCACTTCTGTTTTCCGGATTTTTTTCATTTGCAACTATCAAATATTTTATTCTTCGTGGTGATTTAAGGGTTTTTTGAAGGTAACGCTAATTTAAAAGAAATTCCGTTCCAATTGGAAAGAATTCTCAACGGTATTTAAAAAAATTCCATGGAATTATAGAAGATAAAACAGTGGAAAAAATTTTTTTTTAACATGACAGTGCAATGGTATTAATATAAATTCGAAGTTTTATTTTAAATATTTCAGAAATTCAACATTAAAATTTTAATATTGTTTGAAATTTTTGCAATATTTAACAATGCATTATTATGATATTCCACTAATTTCGCTGGAAGTATGCAATCTTATAGAACCAATAGACAAGCTCAAATCGTTAATTATTTGAATTAGCAAAGTGTTTTGTTGTCTGATACTTGGAATGTACATTTCAAACTGGATAATTGCTTGTCGCTAAACTGGAAATTCCGTGGTAATTGAAGTCGTTTGGCAATGTCTTTATAGGCTGGTGTATGAATAAAACGACTAAAACAGTCCTTTTCCATGAGGCGATAAACATGAGCTTGTGCTCGATCAAAAATCTTTTCAGTCAATATTGAAGAATCCATACATTGTATTTTTTCTATGATATCCATTCTTGTATCGTGATCAATGTTAATTGCTAGCGGCGAATTTGCAGTAATGAATTTATCGAATATTTCTTGAACTCTTTTTTCAAATCGTGGCCGATCGTCGATACACGGTCGTAATTCTTGAACAGCAAGCCTGAAGAATATTTTTTATACTGTATTATCATATGTTGTATTTATTACTATCGTTCTGCTCAATTCAATTTGAATGTTTTAATCGAATTTTTGTCATACTACTAGGGAAAAATATGGAAAAAATTAGAAAATGATGGAAATGATAGAAATAAATCACCAAAAAAATATGTTTTCCTCACTATATTCACTTTGTAAAAATTTTGTAAACTGTATGCGGCCATTCTCATCGTTGATCATTTTATCAAACGCATATGTCCATTCATTTGGACTAAAAATTATTATTAGGTTAATTCAAAGCAAACCTAAGCTATTTTGCTGAAATTTCAAATGCAATTTTCAGCGGGAAAACTAAAAAATCACATGAAACGATTGGAACTTTGCGAGGAAGTATCAAAATCGATTTTTTCGTCTTCAAACAACGATTTCTCGCAGTTATTGAAAAGATTAATCGGCCTTCTTTCACTGCCTATAATAACCATTTTATAAATTAAAGATTAAAAGAATTTCAACTGTTATCATCGTTCTTACAAATAAATCCCAAATGCAGCTTAAGTGAACAGTTAAAACAAGTACATTTCGTAGGTGCATTTTACTTGTGCTTCTATCGTCCTGTAATTCTCTCGTGAGAGAGTTTCTATCTATTTGTCAAAACCAGCTAAACCCGAAACGGAAGTGTTATTTGAAGAACAAATTCCTACTTAAAATTTTTTTTTAATGAACTGATAATTTTTTTTTGCATAATATAATATTGTACAAAATTCTCCGAAATTAATTTATAATTTTTACAGTTTATTTTTCATTTTATTTCATCAATAATATTTATTAAACTCATCAAAATAATATTTAGTCAGTGAAGAAATTATACAGCAATGCTGCTGGACTGTCGATTATTTATTTATTCACCTAGGATTTATTTCGAACGGAGAAATATTATTTATCTAATTTGCAAAAAGCCAAAGAAAAATTCCCTTTTTTCGATAAGAAATCTCATTTATTGAGTAATGCAAATTGATTTAAAGAGATTTGCTTAAGAATTATGAAGATTATTGAATTAAAAATAAATAAAGATTTTAAGATGGATTTCATAAAATTAAAAAGTGCATTAGAAAAATTAAGACTAAAAATTGCAAAAATGAACAAAATTATTTATTAATCAGCAAAAAACAAAAAGCAAATCCTTAATCTAATTTGATATTGATCAAATTAGATAAAGGTTTAGTTTTTTTGCTTTTTTTGTTTCCGATTGAGAAAGTGCCTGATTTTCAGTTACCTTAAATCCACTCTAATACCCAATGGCGATATTACAACTCGGATTACGGCAGTAAGAAATGCATTTTTCAGATTGACGAAACCTTTATGGAGCCGTTATGAAATCACCATAGAAACAAAAGACCATATCTATATAGTTGCAAGACATAACCAGTGAGAGTGGAGGATATTGAGAAGTTATCAGCTTTTAACCACTCATGTCTAAGGTACCTTTTACAGGCTCGCCGAGTGGAAAAGTGGAAAAGACATGATCGCATCAACCTTCGTTCAACTACCACGAGCATTAATAGAGCAATCACATAGCCTTCGCTGGTTAGGACATGTTCTTCGTTCACCCATCACAAAAGTTGACACATATTTCGTTACTTACCAAACTCTCTGATGGGTGGCGTTAGAAGCATGGTGGAACAATCAAGACCTGGACTGACGCGACCAGGAAATATTTTGAATGTATAGATGGACCAGCAATATATGGATTTAGATGATTGAAAAAGGAATGGCTTTTATTGACGATGGCATCAGGTCGTGCAGCTTGGAAATGTAGCCAGTGGAGCCAGCCTAACTAGTAATGGTGAGAACTGTTAGAAGAACTCTAGCGTTATTATTTAGGGGCGAAATAGCCGATTTGTTAGTTATTCAGGCAATCATTCCTTTGTCAAGGAATCAAATCATGCTTCCAACAACCTATCGTTAAAAGTATGGAAATAGTGCTAGAGGTCCAACAATTACAATCCCTAACTGAACCATGATAAAAATTTCTCATTAATAGTCTCACAAGGAACGTGGCCACTTATTCATTGCATTGCATATTATTATTTTGTATTATTATTATTAATAAAAAATAACCCTAGCTATTGCTGCACTTGATCTGATAACCAAGTAGATGAATAACGAATGATAACAGGAATATAATGACAAGCAAGAAATAAAAAAAACAAAATCCAAGAAATGGTTTGATGTTTAAAAAATTTGGAGAAATTTTATCTCTAAGATATGATTTTTATAATTTTTGCTTATATCTCACATGTCCAGAAATCCATGAGGAAAAACAATAAAAAAGGCATAAAATAAACAATATTTATTAATAATATTTATTTTTCACATAGTAAATACTAATTATCTCAGTTATTCAGAAAACTTCTAAAATAATAAATCATCGTGCCAAATAAAATAGTTTTTTTTTGCCATAACAGCTCGTTAATATGCATGAACCTTTGAATGAATAAATCACTTTAAAATGAGATAAGGGAGTGTGTTTTTTTTTTTTTAAATCAGCACCTTTTTCAGTTTCAGATTTTAAAATGATTAGATCACACTTAATATATGGTGTGCGAAATCGGATAAAAAGTAACGAAAAAGAAATGAAAATTAGATGTCTCATTTTAGTAATATTTTCGCTTTTTGCCTAACTTATTTATGAAATGAAATATTCAAAAATAGGTTGCAAATATAAAAAAATAAGGTTTTTGTTTGAACAACTAAATATATTTCACTGGATGCTATAGAAAATTTAGGGGAAAATCCTTTTGAATTTTTTACTGAAATGATGATTCTTTTGTGGATTTTGCTTATTTAATCTTCGATAAATATCCGAGAAAAAGGCTTCATTTTGCGATACAAGTATAAAAAGTTTCATTAAGGAAATATTAATTTAGAGTGGGAAATTTTTTTCACAAATTAATCAGTGTTTTTCTCAATTTCCGATTCACCAACTCACACTGAAAAACTTGCCGTAATAAATGAAGCTTGATGATCATTTTAATGCATTATTATTTTTGCATTATTGCATTATAATGTATTATTTAAAATGATTCGTTCCAACGGTAATCGGAAGAATGAAAAGAAACCGCAGTTTAGAGACCAAAGAAAATTTAAAAAAAGGCAGTGCAACATATATAAAAACATGATAAGCGAAAGATTATTACCACAATGATTATTAGCAAAGTTGTGGCATGGCCTAGCTTGCATTGCCGCTTTAGGCACATATATTGAAACTCTGAACTCACTTAGAGATCTCAGATCATCCTTAACTTGGGCTTTCTTTGCAATTCTAAGACTTGTAAACAAATCTTTAGAACACGAATTTTTTTGCAATTGCAAGATTCTCAACATAGGCAGCATTGTTGAGGATCCTCTAAAAAGACTGAACCCACTACTTTTGTAATATCTAGAGTACAGCTAATAAATGAACATAAATGTACACTCGCCTCGCGCGGTCAGTTTAATTTTTTTAAATAATTACGATCTCAGTTCCCCGTATTAGGATTATAGATATTTAGGAATTAAGTTTAAATTAGCAATATTATGGATATTTATAGATAACCTAAGATAATTAATGTCTTGATTTTCTCATATTCAACTAAGTCAGAGAATAATTTGCAAATTTCAGAGATATTGGGGTTTTAGATTGTCTTTTTAAAAATATTTTTTATGATTTTTGATGAAACGTTGCAGATCGAAGACGGAACATATAGCGCATCACCATGACTTGCTATGCATAGTCAGGCACATCGCACAAGTGTATTTATAGAGAGTAGTATTAAAAAAGGAAATCACAACAGGCAATTCCACGGTAGATGAAGAGCAAATTTTCGATTTTTAGTATAATCGGAATCGTGGATTGATACTTTTAATTATACGATTGCATTAGAGGAGTATGACGAAATAGCATTAAAAGAAAGCAAAAAAGCTAAAAAATGTAGACTAGAAAGCTAAAAACAGGTTTTGTGAAGAGAACAACGGTGATTTGATTCCTATTGGCCTTCTGCAATCCTACTATTCATCACCACAGCTTGTTTGCAAATGCTTATAGATAAATCTTCATATTAATCGATGTGTTGATTATGTTTTGTACAATATGATTTTTTAAATTTTCGGATTTTATGCTTGTAATTTTAATTGTTTTTAAGCGATAATTTTTCCCAAAAATTTAAATTTAATTATATTTCTAAATTATGTTTAAAAAGCAAATATAAATTTAAAAATATTCTTCAAATATTCTATCGTAATACAAGTAATCATCTGATGTAAATCTGATGTAAAATTCTTTCGCTATAAAAATATGAAAAAAATGAAAAAATATATCGAAGAAAAAACGGTACTAATAAAAAATCATTTTTTTACTTTTTTTTTACCCAACTGAGTCAAATCACAAACGATAAGAATGAAAAGATGCCACAGTCATCAAGCAATTCGTTGAAAATGAATAATATAATGGAAAACCGCAAATTGCATGAGGAAGGCAGCTAATGCTGCTTCTCATAATATTTCATAATATTTGATAACATTCGATCAAAATTCGTTGTGATATCTTAGCGATTTTTGTGCAAACGCTAAATGTAAACGATAAATCTATTACCTCCGAAGAGATAAATAGGTATATAACGTATTTGTAGTAATAAATAATTATCTTTTCCATTAGCCTATCGATAAGAAATTCCTCCTCGTTAATCTCCTATAATTTCCTCGATTGAAACGAATTGCACGAATTTGATGCACAAATTTGATGTACCAATTTTATTTTTCTATCGAAGCTATGGAAAGTTATATTCATAATATTTAAAGTAAAGCGATAAAGCGAAACCGTGATTTAGAAAAATCTTTGGTTATTTAGCTGAATTTGAACTTTTTACAAAAGCGAAACGTAAAGCAATAGAGTTCTTCCATAAAATACGGAATTTGACTTATTTATAAATCTTCCCTTTTTATTTATTGCAAATATGATAATTTCACATTATTCTCTTGTCCACTGCCTTGTTTTCGATATCTTTCGTTTTGTGAAAAGGAGAGATTAATAGATGGAATGACAGATGAATTGCGACATTTACAAAAACTCATAATCGTAGAAGTTATAAAAAAATTTTTAAATAATAATTTAAATGTATAGAGTTTAATACAGTTGAAGAGCCATTAACAATGAACTTGCACCAAAGTTGACTAATATTTCTGAAATATATATACTTGACTATAATGGCGAAAACAAAATTATTCGTACCTAACGCTGTCAGCTATGAATTTAATTTCTGCACGACACATCTCTTGTCGTTTAAAATTAGGGATAAAACTTTCCATTGTTGGAAAAAACAATTAAAACAAAATTTCCAAAAAAAAATCAATCAAAAAATTTAGATTGATATATTGCAATGAAAAAAGAGGTATGATAAAAACTTTAAACGTATTTCTTTCTTTTTAAATGAATGGAAATTATTTT